GGACTCTGATGGGCTGGTCCTTGGAGAGATGGACTCTGATGGGCTGGTCCTTGATGAGATGGAATCTGATGGGCTGGACTCTGACGGGCTGGACCTTGTGGGCCTTGATGGTATGAATTTGGTCTTTGAGCCTGGTGATTATGATGAGTCGGCTGGCTGAGAAGGGGCACGTTGGGCGGAGTGTTATGTGGGAAGCTTGGAAGCTGCTGCATTGAGTTTTGCTGCGAACCCGAATTTTGCATAGGGTTGGGCATGGTATGCGAGCTCGCAATCGAGTTTGGTACATTACTTGGCAGAACATGAGGTGTGTGGTGAGGCGTGTGATGAGGCGTGTGGTGGGCCGAACTCGACGAGAGCTCCCGAGGAGACGGAAATGCGTGCGAGTTGGCAGGAGGCATAGCACCACCTCCCTCCATGCGTAAAACTTTACCCTTCAGAATCTCCATGGTCATCTTTAGATGCTCGATCTCGCTCGCCTTATCGCGGATTTCCTTGATGTTTTGTACCATCATTTCAAGGGCTGAGTCCTGTGCCAGAATTGGCTGCATGCGGGAATTCATATCTCGGACGATGTTCGACAAAGTGTCGTGCATTCCTCGAAGTGCGTCGTCTACTCGCTTAATCTCGGAGCGTTGATAGTTCGCCTCGGCCTCGATATGCCGCCGCATACCGTCCTCAAGAGCCTCGAACTGGCGTCGCACGTTCTCTTCCAAGCGCTGGAACTGCTGCTGCTGGGCTGACAGACTTGCCGAGTTCTGGCTGACCTGTGCCTGGACCCGGGACAGGCTCTCGAACTTGACCTCTGAAGCTGGAGGGTAGGCCCGGCCATTGGCCTGGTGCGGCGTCGCGGGAGAGCTGGGAACTACTGGAGGAGTTGGGAAGTCGCGGGACCGGTCTGCGAGGCTTGGTTTGGGGTCCCAAGGCGGCGGCCGTGTGAAAGCCATCGAGTTAGAGTGCTGATGAGGCGCCGCGGGCTGGTGGGCTGGCGGTGCCTGAGTGGTGACGGCGGGCTTGATAGGAGCATGCGATGGCGGCGGCGCTGGCGACTGGGCGTGGTTAGGCTCAGCACGGCGGGCCTGGTGTTGCGGTGGAGGGTGGCCCGGTGGTGCTGCGTCGCCCTCCATGGCGGGCAGAAGCGACATGTCTTCTTGGCGACGGTCGTGGTGGTGAGCGTCAGGGACAGAGGCGAGGCGTGGTTCGACGGGTTCCCAGTGGCCGGCTGCTTCGCATTTCAATTGGATTTTGGAGAGCTTGAAAAAGTCGCGGTCGCTGCGAGGGTCAGCATGGCTTCGACGAGGAACTTATAATGCAGTCTTCTGAGAGAACAGACAATGCAGTCTTCTGAACGGAATAAGATGATGCAGGCTTCAAGACGGGACAGGAAGATGAAGAGTTTTAGAAGGGGCTACACGAGGAAGAGTGGTGAAGGGAAGGCTCGAAGGAGCGAGAGCGCATCCACAGAGCTACACGAAGGAGTGGTGGAGGGAGGCTAGAGGAGTGAGGGAGCATCCACACATCCAAAGCATCCACACATCCAGAGCATCCACCACCTGCGAGGATCCGCACGACATGCAGACCCCGGCTCCATGGGCTGGCCGGCGGCGTGCATGGAGCAGAGTGAAGCAAAGAGCAGGTCCAAATGCAGAGGCCAGAGCAGCTACGTACCGGAATGCGTCCTTGTCTCGCGGGGCGTCCGTGACGAGAAAGCCCAGGCTGTCGCTGCAGTTGGGGCAGCAGAGCGGGCGGATGTAGCTGGGGCGGGTCAGTCTTGTGTACGCTACGTGCTCGCAGCGAGGGGGGCGCGAATAGATAAATGCAGCGGGCGTATAGTGTGGAGATTATTTGTCCAAGGTTAGGAAAAGCAGTTAGCGCCGCAGAATTAAATAGCACTTGCGCGGCGCGCTGATTGGGGGGGACTCGGCCGGGATAAGGGAAAATTGCGACCAAGCTCACCATCCATTTAAAGCCGTGCCAGCCTTCGCCGCCGACACCTTGTCCTCCTCGAGCAGCCGGCTGCTGTACGACCCCAGCAGCAGCGGCAGATAGTAGTTGGTCGTGACCTGCCGGAACGCGTTGTAGAAGTCGCCCACGGACGCTGCACATCTCTTGCAGAAGCCCGTCGTCGACTCGTCGTACTGCGAGCTGGAGGTGCTGCTCGCACTGGACGTCGCTGTGGGCCGATCGTTGTCTAGACGGGCGTCGCCAGCTGAGGCGTGGTGCTCGCTTTGCACCATCGGCGTGTCATCACTGATACGAGATCGCTTGCGAGTGGCGGCCATCTGGTGAGGGCGCAGGAAATTTTTAGTGACGGTAACCCCAGTGGCGAGCCCAGGCTCACTAAGAGCAAGTAATCAAAGCAGTCAGTCGCGTGCTGGGGTGCTAAAGCCGGATGCAAATAGAAAAGGCAAAAGGCACGCCCGGGGTCCTAGGGCCAATTCGGGGGGGAAACGCTGACGCAGCGCACGCGGCCGATATAACGTCGCTGGCCGCGCCCGGAAGGGTAGGATGTGCGTCGACCGAGCACTGATGGCGATGTGAGTGGTGAGCGCTGGGCAGGTGAAGCAGGTTGAAACGGCCAGACAATGCGCCTGCTGCGTGTATGCTTGGACCTTGGATAGTGGAGTGCTTTGGCGAATTGGCAGGAGAGCGCTTGGCCAGTGGCCTTTGGACGAGATGGATCGCCTTTGGGGAACCAAGACGGGGCAATACGCGATGGGCGATGAATAGGCGGGAATAGGGCCGGGCGGTGGAGAGCAACAGTAGGGGTAACGGTGGGGAGTAACAGCAGAGCAGTGGAGGTCGCAGGAACTCCGATCTAGCGGATGCTCCGGTCGCACAGCTGCTCGCAAAGGATCGCAGATTTAGTAAAAGTTAGAAGAAACGCGCGTGGTTTAAGTTTAGGACAGCCGGCACAGGCCCATGGACGCCCTTGACCCAGGCCGGGGCTAGTGAATAGATGCAATGATATGCAGGCGTGTCATTTGCTCCCATGCCGCCATGGCCCCAGCTCGCCGTCTATTACGAAGCCTGCACGAAGCGGAGCCGTAACTGTGAATGCTTTACGGCGCTTGAAGGCCCATCCTGCGAAGCGCCTGCTCCGTACGCACGTAGCGCCGGCCCAGAATTGTCTCCTACTCGCATCAGCTGCCCGAAGCGACTGTATTGCTACAAATCACCCTCCTCTCCAGGCGTCCCGAGGCTGTCTTTCTGGCCTCGATTCATCCGTTCCATCGCTCAATCGTCCCAACCTGTCAACCTCTCCTATCCACCATCATACCTCACACTTTGCGGGCTTCTAGGCACAGCCTGTACCGCCGAGCACACGCTCGATGCCACGCAATCCAGGTCAATCCAATAAACCAGCCTGAGACGAGCCGCCCAGCCACGATCCAAGACCGCTGCCAAGCTAGGAAAGCGACCTGAAATCGACGCAATCACTGAAAGGGCCCTGGGCAATACTGGGGCCCTGGGCTCGCGATACGTACAGCGATAACTATGCCCATCCGACCCCTAGCCACATGCAGTAAACATTAACTGCACCACGCCGGCAGCGAATCAGCAGCTGCTCTCGAAGTCAAATCCGATCGAGCCCGTCATCACTTCTGTCAATCCTCAGCACGCAGGCATTATTGCCGCGACGTAAGAGGAACTGCTCGCCACCAACACTCGATTCATTATCGAACTTCGGCGCCCCACCGCCCCTCGCGAGCATCCCATCACCGAGCCAGCAAATCGCAGCTCTCGACGCCCTGCTGTGCCGTAACCGCACCGTGGAAGCCAGGAAAATCTTGTGCAGTCCAGCTGGACCGCTCGGCGTCAAAAGCAATCCCTCGACTGCAGCCCGGCCAATCGCTTGCCGATGCGGAGTGCCTATTGCGGCGCAGTCCCCTGCAATAGATTGGCCCGGCATCATTAATGCAAGGAGATGCGCCGCAGGGATCTGACATATAGCAGTTTCACAATCTGGAGTCACGGCTATCGCTGCATATGCCGCATCTATTCTCGATTGCATGCCCGCGTTTCACTCGCTGGTCGCTTCTGCAAGCGCTGCCCGAGTGAATTGCCTAGCATACAATGCAGCCTCGGCACAGAGCCCATAGTCACCATACGCCCGGCGATCCTCCGTCGCTATATGGGCCTGATGTGCATCTTTGAAACACCGTCGCACATGCGCCTCGGATTAGTCCCTGTGCCACGGCCACACAAATACTCCTTTCACTTCACCACGACGAACCCAATGCCGTCGCGCGCCTGCCAGCACGCCTTGCGCAGCGCCTGCTCTTCCTTATCCGTCCACTTGACGCTGAGCTGGTCCCATTTCTTGACCTGATACTCGGCGCGAAATCGCTGCTGCATTGCCTGTAGGCGCGCCGTCTCCCGCGGGTCGCCTGTGCCGCTATAGACCATGAATGCTGTGCAAGGTGGCAGTGACTCGAATATCGCCGCAATATCACCAACCGTTTTGGCGACTGCCTCGTAAAGCGCTGGCCCGCTGGCCTCGCCCGCCGCGTCCTTTGCGCCTGACAATGACACCATGGCATTTTCCCGGAGTTCCGCATTGTCGTCTGTCTTGCTCCTGGTCCACCATCCTCGCTTAGCCTCGAGCTCGCGCAGTCGGCCCCAGACAAAGTCTACACCGCTAGCAGGAGCTTCGTCGAAGTCCTTTCCCTCTATAGCTTTCTTAATCCCTTCTACTACATCAGCGTCGTTTTCACAGCCGATCGCCACGCGCGCGAGGGATCCATAGCCGCGTGATGGATCGCCCCAATCGACGACCGCCCCCGACCTGAACTCTTCTCCAGTCGCCTGGAGATGGTGCGGTCTCGGAGACCTGCCCAGCCTCTTAAAAATCGACTCTGTGGTGGCTTCGCTGGTACCCCATTTCGGCCCTTTCTCGCACTTCTGCTTGACCAGGTCAAGACAAGCACGTGCGTCCTCGTTGCTGTCGTGGCCGGTTTGGCCATGGTTCTTCTGGATCTCCCGGGAAAGATACTTTTGCGACAGCCATTTCAGGGATTGCTTGAACGGCGGCCCGCGTGCATGGGGGTAGATGATCGATGTGTCGACAATAAAGGGATGAGTCATCTTTAGTGCATTCATGTCCGAGTTGAGAGAATGACCGACGAGGATAGTCCGCGGTGTGATTAGCTCCAAAAGGCGCGTCTGTATATCAGATAGACTAGTAGTGACGTTTTGTAATAGTTCTTGCGTGATTCCAGAATATCTAAGTGGCGTCAGCATCGTCTCAGTCAGCGCGGTGCCTAAAATACTTACGCGGTAAGGTAATCAGTGATTTGCGATGCCGGCTTGACCAATTCGTCCATTATTATAGCACCATCCCAAGAAACCAAGCTGATGCGCGTAAGCTCTGTGCCTTCTTCAGTTCTGCACATCTCGCAATCCATTGTGATTACATTTCTTCCCGCGGTGATGCTTCCACTTTCAATCTCGTTCTCAGGGACTTCTCCGTCTTCTAATCTCGAGACGTTTGTGTCAACCCAGCCATCGTCTGCAGATTGCTTTGCAGCCTTCCTCCTCGCAAGGGCGTCCGATTGTCGTGGTCCAGCTGGAAACCATGCAGGATGAATGACATATTCGTTTTCTTGCAATTCTGCGAGATTTGCGACGTACTCTGTAATAGCGGTGCGATCATTCTTCCAGGCCTTGTTATTTTGAGGGATGGGGCCCTTGTGTCGTTTGTCTCTCTTCATCAATTTCTCCTCCGGTGTTAATGGAATAGGCGCCGATAGCATGGCTTGCATTGGAGAATGTATGCGCATTGTCTTCTCATCCCCAGGAGTTCTGACAGGCCAGATGTGAGGGAATATAACTGCAAGCGGCCTCAGTGGTTCTGGAAGCTGTTCAGAATTAAGCTTGACAGGGTAGTAATCATCTGGGGATATGTGAAGTCGCCTCTGCGGCACGTCAGGCTTGCCTTTCTTGGAGCTCTTGTGTCCCGTGCTGTGCTCGACAGACTCGGGTTTGGCAGCGTCTTCGGCGGATTCGGGTGCTACTTGGGGAGGCTCAAGAGGTATTTTGCCATCAAACATAGCAGCCTCCAAGCCAGGCACCATCAGCACAACAACCTTTTTAACCGCATGATGATGCTGACAAGAGATCCATTGAGGGGCAGTTCCATCATCAACAAGCAAATACAACGCTAGAGTTTGGAAGTCGCTGATCCTGACACGATTCTGAATTCGAGCATGCGACGAGTGGGTGATGGCAGGGTAGGATCGCTTGCTAGATTTCGCCCTCTTCTCCGGACGTTCAGGACGCCCATTCTTGCCAATTTTTTGCCATCCATCTTCCTCGCCCTTTTCTTGGTTGGCAGCGTCCGAGTTTGGCGACGTGGCGTTCGATCCATTGAGCATCGCGACGGTTGCGCCTAAGCCGAAGTCGGTGTTGTGTTCCTCGTAGTCCGCACGGTTGCGCTTGCGACGCCTACCTTCTCTGCCCATCTTGAGCGTCTTTGCGCAAGCCGGGCGTTGAAGCGTACGGTCGAGAACGCGGTCGAGGGTGTTCAGGTTAGCACATGGAGAGGGAGCTCTTCGAAGAAAATAAACCTGGCAGGGTGGCCTGTGCGTGGCCTTGGCATTAGTTAGACCTCACCCGAGAAGGCTGTGTTCAGGCAACAACACGCCTCGACATTCGCTCAAGCTTTTCTCGAGTTCACACGCCTGACTCCAAACAAGTCCGGGCCGTTTGTGACCTACGTTGGATCAGATCTGGGCCACGAAACCCTACACCAGATAACTGCACGACAGTATGGGAACGGCAACACAGCAGGTCCTGGCTCTGCCAGAGCTTCTATCTACGATTCTTCAACACGTACATGCCGATCAGTCACTCCTTAGCTGTATGCTTGTGAATAGCCTCTGGGAGCATGAAGCAACCACAATCCAATGGGCCGAAGTCGACGAGCTACCACTCCAGAACACGGATCCTGACCGACAGCAATATTACTCCGATAAAGTGCGGAAGTGCTCAGTCAAGCTTGACGACGCCGCCGAGTCAATGCTGTCGCTTGTGAACCACCGATCACTGGTCTTCCCTAGGCTAAAATCAGTCAAGCTCCACGGTTATCAATGGGATAAGCCAACAATATGCGACTCCAGGCTTCATCCATTATTGCCGTCAACTTTGCGGAACATCGAAATCGAGCTCCACGACTTAGACAACTTGCCATCTCTGCTGGAATTAACTGCGGTACGAAAGTCTTTTATTTCGCTTCGTTTCGAAGTGGCGTCTCTTCACTTTGTCTAGTTACCTGGGTGACTTGGCATAGTTCGGTCTCTTCTTCATGCTGCATACTTTGTTCTTCTCGAGGGCCGGGAAATCTTCTTAATCATACTTAGGATTATGTCAATGTTCTATTCGGTTTCACCGCCGCCACGTTTCGTCACAGGTCGTTCAATCATTGGGGCCCCGGGATCTGGCGAATTTCGCTACCCTCTTTTTCAAGCTGCGAGGTCAATAATCGACGAAACCGTGCGGCTAACATGTTAACGTAGAAACGTTGCAATCAAGTGACGAAAGTCACACTTGCTGATTACCAAAAAAGGTGGCGAGGGTTGCGGAGGAACGTCCGGCTGGATAGAGAAGATCAAACTCTACTTGTCTTCCTCCGCGATCTCTCATCAGTCAAACACTTTGAAATCACAGGATTGGGATATTTACCTCCCTCGGAATATCTACTTCAATTACTTAGTTTTCCACAATTGCAAAGCCTTGGCCTGGAAATCCACTCATCACTCAGCCAATGGAATGCATTTGAAACCAGATTGCAGCCTCTGCAATTCGCCAATCTCCGCAGTCTCAACATCTCGAGTTCATTCCCGGTACTGGTGAGAATGTGCCACTTGGTACCAATACTTACGAGCCTGGAGATGACATGCCGGGACGGTGTAGAAGGAACGCTTTTTGAGAGAGGACAATTAGCTAATCAGCTTTTCAATGCTATTATGCGTTTCTCGGAACTACACACGCTCAAACTATGCACTACAACCTCAGAACCCTTCTTAGATCATGCAGGTCACTACGGAGGATTGCGAAACCCCACAGCATTGCCGATTACCGCCTCTCTGTTGGAAAGCATAACAGCGCACCACCCCCATCTTAAAATCTTGCACTTTTCGCTAGGGGGGAAAGGTGGCTGGATTGAACCGACGTTCGTCGAAGCGGACATCGATGATTCTGATATCGAACGGCTAGCCCGAAATTTGCCTCGACTATCATCGTTTGAGTTCTGCGTTACGGCAGAGCGTAAATCGAAGCTATCTGCTGCGTCTTTGGTTGCACTAGGGACACATTGCCGTGCCCTGGAACGCCTTTTATTTATTCCCAATGTGGATCTTCGCGCCTTGGACCACCTTAGAGAACGACCGTTATTCCCGAACCTTACCAACTGGGATGTAGGCTTCTCTGAATCTTTCAGGGCCACGGAGGGGACTTCTCCCGCAATCGCCTTCCTCGACTTCCACTGTCCACGATTGCGAACCATCGGTGGCCGCTACTTGGCACTCTCCCGCCGTCCATGGGAGCTCGTAAAGTATTTTACCGTCGGCCCTAATTGTCTCAATGGATTTGACTTGCGCGAAGAAATGTGGGACGATGGTTATGGGAGCTATTATTACAGCATGCCGCGTGGGAGTACGCCTTCTGTGATCGAATCAGAGCCTTCGGTATGGGGAAACGAGCTCTTCGAATCCGACGAAGCGAGCACGGATGAGGAGGAGCAATCGTGCTCCTGCTCGGGCTCGGAATGTGGAAGCGACTGTTCAGGATATGATTCTGAGACCAGAGATCGACGGTAGACTCCTTGTCTGTAGATGGCGTCCTCAAGCCCTGTTGGAATAAACTCTAGGGAGCCGTCAACAATTTCACACTCATGAAGGGTGCATTACGGGGCAATCGACAGGGACCTCTATCGGCTTGCGTTAATTCGTCCAGAGAGTCTGAAAAATTGGGACAGTCCGGTTATCTTGCAAGACATGATCATTCTTTGCGGACAGAATCTAAACGGGAGCTTTACTTCACGCATTTTCATGCCAGATGCTACGGGGCCTCTGGAGTAATTTGGAATCCTCGGCTAAGGTATTAGGCGTGTTTTTAAGCTGGTGGGCTAAAACTGTTTGCTTTGATTCATCCCACTTTTCTCAAGCTAAAGTCTCGGACGTTTACTCCTCTGTGATAGAATACACCTCTTCACTATAAAGTCCCATCATCTCATTGCAACGATAATAATGGCTAGCACGACTTCATGAAATTACTGGAGAGCATGTGGAGAGATAAGCAGCTCGCGACCGTCTTTATCCCTCTCATTGCCAAAATCGCTCCAGCCATCTGCTATGAGGTTTCTTCGAGGTCACTTTTGATCCACCACCACCCATCTGGGCAGCAACCTCACACTTTCCGATCCCTCCACAACCTTTTGGTGGTTTAGTTACTTGCATGCCAACCGCTGCAGATACTCGCATGGCCCGCGTTCGTATTGACGCCGGTCTGCAGACTTCCAAGGGGCGGTTTCTGCTCCTCAGGTCAAGCCACAAACCAGATTGTATACCGCAGCTCGACACTAAGAGGCCGAAGCTAAGCAGTCATGAGTATCACATGCTCGGAGGAGAGGTGCGGAGATTAGCTCGTGGAAAAGTGGGAGAAGGAAGTCGCCCACTCGTATCCCAATCCTTTCAAACTCACTACTTCTCGTCTTTACAGTTCAAAATATAATCCTTTCATGCCTTCAATGACCAGTAAATAACGACCGTTCGAGTTCTGAAATTACGACCGATCGAATCGTCAGTTGTGTTAAAAGAAGCGACCACGACAAGCAAACGCAGCACCAACGCCGCATCTAGCAAACCCCATTTTCCACGGTTAGATCAGTAAGTATTTGCAAAGAAATCGAGGCAAAACGTCCACGCGAAGGTCCCCGAGTTGGCTTTTTTGCTTTTTTCCCTTTTCCTATATTTAAACATCACGCCCGTTTCTTTCGTTTTAAGAAGCAACTACACGGCGTGAAACACAGTGTCTGAGTATCATCTATCGAAAAAAGTCTCGCATGGTTGAATCCGTAACTCTTCTTAACAAATTGAGGCAATGCGTCCACGCGGACTCCCCGGACTTTACCTTTCTCTTAATTCGCATTCCACCAATCATCCAGGTTAAGGCGGCTGCTTCCGTACGTTGAAGCAACGACGAGGTGTAATATCCGTAGACCACACAACGGCTATCAAAAGCGTTTCTACACGGTTCTATGCGTGAATATTTGCAATATACCTCGACGACGCGTCCACGCGGAGCACCCTAAATTGGTCGTCCTCTTCCTTTCCCCCCCTATTATCCACTCAAATCATGGCGGTTGCTTCCGTGCCTTAAAGCAACTACGCAACGGCTTGCCCAGCGCGTACGCCACGTCTATAAGTACCCATCTCACACGGTCCGACTCATGAATATTTGCAATATAACTCCGCAATTCGTGTCCTTGAGCCGCTCAATGGCTTACCGTATGCCTATTGACCATAACCCCAATTTTAGACCCTTACTGGGTGGGGTAGGGGGGTTAAGATGGGCAGACGCAGTGTACCCACCGCGTCCATCAAAAAGCCCTTTCCCACCGTTCGATCCGGCAATCCTTCCAACAAAACTTCGCAATTCGTAGCATTGAGCGCAATGACTTGCCGTAGACCTCCTACCATGCCTCCGGTTCCAGAGCTATCCTCTGGGGGCCAAGGACCGAGAGGATAGGTAGACGCAGCGTACCCACGACGTATTTCCAAATCCGTCTCACACAGTCCGATCCGTAACTCTTTCTAACAAAACTACCCCAATTCGTATTCTTAAGCTCTTCGGTGGCTTACTTATGCCTATTACCATTGACTCCGGTTCCAGATCCTTACTTAAAGAGAATTTTTTAAAAAAAAAATCCACCAATATAAATAGACGCAGCGTGCCCACGGCGTCTATTAAAACCCCATACATACTCGGTTAGATCCGCAACTTCTTCCAGCCAAAAGCACCCAAGAGCCGTCGATTAGCCCACCGTTCGTGGGCGGCTATCTTTGCGGAGACCCAGCTCGGTCGTGTCGTGCGGCATGAATGTTGCTCAATCGAGGCACTGTAATGGAATGAATAGATCCCCCCCCGGCTTCAACCTCAAGCTGATCGACGACGAGCGTGGTCTAGTTCTGACCAACGAGGCTCCCGTTCATACCTCTCGACGGGGCCAGAAATGATACATTTCTGGTGCTCTGATTTGGCGTGCTGCGGATCTGATATGCGAGAAAAGAGAGAGAGAGTGCGAATTAGAGCGCAAGCTGCAACGTATTTGGTTCAAGGACAGGGGAGAGCGGCGGACTGGCTCCAGTCTCCTCCATCCAAACGCTCCCTATTCCAATGACTAGAATTTCAGCGTGCGCTGCCAATGGCATGTTCAATTGCAACTCATATGAAACGTCAAAAGGATGTACAAAGCTCACCACCCCTAGACCACCCCTAGTCTAGCTTTCAGTCCTTACCGTAGCTCCGACAGCAGCTTTAAGCTCTTGTATCTTCGAGGTTTCTTTTTATATCGAGTGAGATTTCGGCGCTGTGGCTATGCTTGGAAAGGATGGTAATAATAAGCTCAAATTAGGCATATAGACACGTCGAAGTGGTCTGAATTCATATGATACATCCATATTCTCGTGGCTGTCAACTGCAGGCTTGTCCAACGCCGTTTTCCGTGGCTCGGTCGGTTGTAGGTGAAGCATGGATAACCTGGCATCCATATCCATTAGTTCCGCTGAAACGCCGTCCAAGAATGCGTGGGCCCACGTATGTGTAGTTCTCAAGGATGGCGAACATGGGTGACGTGTAAATGCACGGATGGAGAGAGAGCCAAGGTCGTACAATTAGGTATCCATGGCTGGGTATCAGAACTGCCTACCCCCCACGCGGCCCCCGCCTCCCCACCACCCGTCCTGTTCCATGGTTCTCCGGCAACTGGTCAACACTCACACTGAGGAGAGACAGGCCAGCTTTCTCCCGAAGACACACGCCTTATCTCTACACGCTCGCCTCTTATTCCAAAACGCATCCCTATCCTGATTTCAGAAGACAACGCAGAAAGGGGAAAAAAGGGCAGCTACGAAAGCTGGGAGCTCATGAAAAGACGCATACTTCTACCCAAGCGGGATGACAGCGCTCCCTCTTTCTGACAGGGGCGGTAGCAGAGGCGGATGTGTAGCACCCCCGAGTTGGTTCTCTATCGTTGCGCGATGATCTCTAATACAAGCCCGTATCAGTGACGGGGGAGATTGAGTTGAAGAGAAAAAGCATTTGCGCACCTGTGAGAAACTCTTCGCTGTGCATTGAAGAATGGGTTAGCAGGTTTTGTAATGATGGGTCTCTAATGTAGGAATCAAGCTGGGGGGACGTACAAACTCAAAGTGATATACCCATCCCGGTCCTCGTCGTACTTCTTGAACACGTCTGTCATACGCTTCAAGCTGATACAAGCCTGAACAAATAGGTCGAAGCTAATGGCGTTTTCACCGCGCCGGTCGTACGTGCGGTAGAGGAGTGTGACGAATTGAGGAGAGAGACGGTAACCAAACGCAATGAGCGCATCACTGAACTCCCTGTAGGAGATGCTGCCCGATTGGTCCACGTCAAAGCGGTCGAACAGGTTGCGCCAGGCAGAGAGAAATCCCCAGAGACCACTTTTTGGACATTAGCACATGTGCTAGAGTATTTTCGAGGGGTGAGTGCTGTACCAGAATTCGTCAAAGTTGATGGCGCCCGAACGGTCCGTGTCGAACATTCTTCAGTCAAATCAGCGCGTGTCCTCCACGTACAATGCTTTTGAGCACGGGGTTAACTGCTAGGTGTACCTTATCATCATCCGCACAGTATGCGGATCGAATGGAGACCAGTCACCATTCACCAGCGCTGTTCGCAGCTCAGCTTCAGACAATTGCCCGCTTCCTGCGACAGTGTTAACCCTTCAGTCCTAGACATGCGTTGCCGATCACATGCTGGTAAGAGTCGCGTACCGTCCTTATCGACCGTCCCAAACAGCTTCCAAAGGCCCTCTCTGTCGTTCCCGTCCCTTGGTGGGGCAGGTGTCGGAGGGGGCCTGTTTGCAATCGGCGGTCGGTTGTGATAGCCTGCGGGCGGAGGACCCTGGCCATAGCTTTGCGGAGGCGGAGAGCCCAAGCCGTGCGAGTCGTATCTCGCAGGATGCTGGTCGTAACGCGGGCTGTGGGTCCGCCCGTCGTTGAAGCTGGCGGGGCGATCGCCATATCCGGCCTGTGGAGGGGGTCTATCATTGTACGCGCCTGGCGGTGGTCGCTCGGCATAGGGATCTCTACCTCCTTGGCCATAGCTGTTACTGTGAGGTCGCCCGTAGCGGTCGTCGGGTCGCAGTTGCTGCGAGGGGAGAGATGGAGGGGGTTTGCCGTAGTCGGGGCGGGTGTTTGACTTGTTAGGGGGAGGTCGCGAGGAGGCTTGCTGTTGAGCCATCATGGCAGCAGCCTGAGGTTCTGTTAGTCCAGACCGTAGTGGATGTAGTGGATACATCGAAGACGAGGCGTGGTGGTGGGGTCGCATCGGGGCTGGAGGGTCTGACCTGCTCGGGCTCCGCATGGGCGGGCAGCGCATCGGGATTGTAGCCCTTGTTGTATGCCATCGTGGGGAATGTGTGAGGGAGAAGGTCGCTCCAGGTTATGCGGAGGAGAGAGGTGGGTTATAGGACGGCAGATGAGGCTCCAGGGCTCCCACAGCCTCGTGCGGCTGACGAGTGACGGATCTGTCCGCCGGTCGGAATGCCGGTTCCACCGCAGTGCTTGCTGGCAGCCAGACGACGGCAGGCTGTGTGAGGCGTGCAATTAGGTTGGCCTTTCAATACAAGGGGGCGTCGAGGCTTGGTAGTAATATTCGGAGTGTAGAGATAGCAATAGAGGTGGAAGCTTCACAGATCCGAGTCGGCAGACGTCCACGAGGCGAGGGGTCTTTGCCAAGTTGGTGGGGGCTTTCGACCTGCATGCACGAATCGTCTCTATTTCTGGAATGGCGAAGGATCTGCCGCTTTTGCCATTTGAGAGTCTCCGGAACTGCTGATGGCGGCGTATCTCATCATTTACTGTACAAGGGCTGGAAGGATCCATTATCAGGCAAACATATTATGCCTTTGGCCTCAAAAGCTGAGACTGCAACATTACCATGGAAATGAGTTTCGTTGAAGCTGTGCATGTCCGGGAGATAAGTGAGGCCTTGATGCGGTCCCTGATATGGACACCTGAAACTTGATTAGGTGGCCTGGAAGGGCATTTTGACGCACTGTGGATTTGTGGCTGCCTGAATCAGACTTTCAGTTCATGAATTGCCACCCAATTGCAACCCGCATGAGTGAGGCTAGACCGGACATCTCACATACGAAATCTTTAGAGGCCAACATCCCCCTGACACACAGCCAAGGCTTCATGCTTCTGTTTGCTCTATTCCACCTGTCGACTTCAGCCTCCTTCTCGTCGATGCCGTGGAACATACCTGTGTAAGGTCACCGATATTCACAGCGTCTTGTGATTGAGTCAAGCAGAAGTCTTCATCTTCACGCAAATCGCGCTGTTTTCAAGTATTTACAATCCGTCATTTCCTATGCTCTGCGCTGAATCTCACACAAGCCCCCGGGCCCATCTCATCACCCCAAACCACCGGCAGCACAGAAGCACCAAGAAGCAAACCATAACGATGAAAAGCAATGCACCTAGGCTCAGCCCATTCCGAAGAGCGAAAGAAAGAGGACACGACCACGAATCGCGCCATATGCCTGCCTTGGCAGCGCCCCTCCACGAAGTCGCGGTGGCCGCACCGCCCAAAGACAAAAGAAGCGATCGTGACCATCCCCAGGGTATCCGAAACCGGCTCCAGGCTCCATAACTATTCCCCCCCAAAAATGGTGAAACGCAGACAAACGACTCCCTTCCAACAGAAACGAATGTGGGGAAGTAGTACAGTAAGGAAATGCAGAACAGAAACAAAAACGGACACACGGCGCTTTTGACCTCTGTATAACAATCTCGGAAGACATAGGAACATGGAGACCGCCGCGAGAAAAGGTAGGGCATGGCTTGTAGTTTCGTCATTCCCCACATGATTCGGTCTACGCCGCGTATAAGGCCGTTGAAGATAGACATGACACCGTAACACTTATCCCTTCATTCTTTTCGTATTCCCCGATTCCGACCCCTCGGAGGTTTTGCGCTTCCGGTCAGCGGGGTCTTCTCTCCCGAAACTGGGCCCGTTGGTTACAACAGGCGTTTGAAATGTGAGAGGACTTGGGAGCATGTTGTTGGAATCTCCTCTAAAGGAGGTCCAGTCAGCATAGAAGCTGGACGGTGAAGGAAGCAGACTATTCTCCACAAACCGACTGGGGAGAGCAGATATGGGCGTTTCCATTTCGCTCCTACTCCCGTAGGAACTGTTTTGGTTTGGTGGAGGAGGCCGCGCAAATGGGTTTGGTGGACCGGTAGCCCCAGCACTCATGAGAGTACCAGCGCTTGGTGATGGCGGAGGAAGCAAGACCCCTGATGAGTGTGAGTCTACCGTGCTTGTCCTCGCTGGAGTCACGCCTGTGGTCCCTGATTCCTTGGGCGATGAATCAGCAGTTGCGCTCCCAGCATCTGAATGCTCGCTAGGAATCTGCACTGTGAGCTTTGGTCGTTTTGGATCAGTTTGCATGCTATTGGTCCGGGATGGAGGAGGAATATTAGGCGCCGAAGATGTCGAGGCAGTCCGCTGAGGGTGATTAGGTGGTTGCTGAGAGCGCGGTTGAGGTGGGGAATGTCCATTCGCTTGTGCTCGGGCCATGGATGCAACGTCGATAGACTGGGAACGTGGCCCCATTTCGAGCTTCACTGGGCCCTCTGGGCGAGGTACATCTATGTTACTGTTGCCCCAATGCTGGGCCAGCATTGAACGGCTATCTTCTATAGGAGTGAAAATGCTATGTTGCTTCGCAGTTGAGGGGAGTGGTTTTGGTTGCGGCAGGGGAGGACTTTGAAATTGGTTTTGCAAATTGGTTTGCTGGGGCTGGGGAGGAGAAGGATGGGGCATGGACGATTGGGCGCGGTTGTCTTGCGGAAAAGCTGGCGGCATTGACTGCCGCCTTTGCTCCTGCTGCTGCTGCTGCTGCATAAACTGCGCGACTTGCGGCTGAGGTGGAGGGTGTGTATATTGGAACTGCGGGGGAGGACCTGGAGGGCCTGGCGCACCTTTAGCGGGCATTCCTTGGGCGGCCTGGGGGTTGTAAAAAGGCGGGTTTGGCACGAAAGCATAATTGTCGGGTTGAACAGGGGCTTGCGACTGCTGATGATGGTGGGGAGGGACGAGATTCGAGCTTTGGCGACGGATGTGTGCAGCGCGAGAGTCGGGTCGGGAGATGCCTGGCGGGCCGGGTGACGAATGGCGATTGTGGAAGGGAATCTGGCCGTTGCCGATGGGAGGAGAGGCGCTGGGTGCGTGGTTCCTCATGTGCTGGAACGCGGGTTGGGTGTGGAGATGGGGGGGCATCATATGCTCGGGCGGAGTATGTGAGTCGCGTGGTGGCGAGCCGCCTATTATCTCGTCCTCTTCATCCTCATCATCGCCCTCCTTCTTTCCCATGAAGTCCGCGGGCCCTTTAAGCTCGTGTGCGCCGCCATACTAAAGGAAAGTGTCAGCTATCGCTCCTACGTGGAACGAGATGGAAACTAACGTATTGATGGCGGCCGATGATATCGTTGATGTTGGCCGATGAAAACTCATACAGCTTCTTGTTGTGGCCGTAGATGATCACGGCAACCTCTACGGAACAGAGCACAGAGAGCTCGTGGGCCTTCTTGAACAGCCCGCCCTTGCGCTTGAGGAACGTGCTGCGCGATGAGACATCAACTACTGGTCGTGGACGAGGCGCAACGGCACCGCTGGCCGACAGGAGGAGGGAACTCACACCGAACGATTGCGATCGTCCTTGATGGCCTTGATCTCAATCTTCCTGCGACCCATGCTTTATATAGGGCGCGCTAGGAACGCGCGCATCAGTAGGAAGCGTGTGTAGATGAACGATTCGAGAAGGATGCGAGTGCCTTGGTTTCAGGGTTTCGGCCAGTCGCGATGTTGACGGGACCGTGGGAGTGTCGACGCGGACGAGGCAACCCGTAGGAGAATATATGTAGGTGTTGTGAGTGGGGACGTTGATATGCGGCTCTCGAGGTGCCTTGGCTTGGGTCGGAAGGTCTGGGTTTCTCGAAGGTGTGGGCGTTGGAGACTCTATATTTAGGCTCCGTCGGTGGCCTCCCTTGTCGGACAATTTGCGCGGGCGGGCTTGATTGGGCACGCGCCGCGACATCGCGGGTAATTTGCGACCTTTCTGCGTCGGGCGTAGGCCGAACGAGGTCTATTTTGGGGTCATTCACTCTGCACGGGCGCCCATCTGCAACAGCGTTCCAAGCTTCGCGTGCTGCTCCAGAGAGATTGCCCCGGCCCGCTCCACCACTCCTCTGCCGGCTGCACCCACTGACGCATCTTTCTGTCCGCCGTGGCCCTCCCGGCTGCCAGACGGCACTGTCAGCAGCGGCCTGCAGCACGCAGGCACCGACACCTCCCGCGGCCCTGGGAACCCATACGTCGACCGCAAATATAGCAAGGCACCTCGTCCTCTCCAGCACCAAAGCACTGCGGCATGCCCAGCTAAATCGGTCGCCGCCCTGGGGGAGTCGGTGCTGGGCGCTGCTGGGCGCTGCTGCAAACGCGTCGGCCTCTCTCCCGCTCACCGAGCTGGCAGGTTGTGCATCGCAACGGCCTACAACGACGAGGCTCGTCGGGAGAGGGAGACGTGAGACCCATGCCCTGTGGCGGCCCGCACGGCGGAAGGAGCTTGTTCAACGCATGCACGGGGCTGCTCGAGGCAGACTACCAGGCCAAGCGCCAATCGAAGCCTCGGACGACGCCGCGATATCGAAAAGCTCCAGAGCGCACGGCGGTGCGAGCGGAGATTTCTGGCGTAACTACTGTGAAACGCTCACCTCGATGCTCGTGTACCGCGAGATCGCTCGCCACCGCTGTCACTCAGCGTCGATCCGAGTACGGCAGCAGCTGATCGTGGGTGCTCGTGGAGAGTAGCGGCAGGCAGCTGTACGTACCTACAGTGGAGACGCAGGTCAGAAGCTTGCCTCGCTTCTGTATTGTCTCCACCGCGAGTTGTCCATCGCGGCCACGGTCGTCTCCACGGTCGTTTCCGTCGCGGCCATCGGGTTCCGAAAGGGCGAATGGAGTGACGCCGAGCAGAGTGTGCAGGCAATGCCGGCTTCGCGAGCTCGATAAGGGCGTGCTGAAACGCAACTGGACGGTGTGCATGCGCGGGCATTGGGTGAGGTTGGAATTGAAGCCAGCCAGGCGGTGATGTTCGCGGTTAAGCGCCCCAGCCACTGCCGTTCCTCATGCACGCCGGCCTATGTTTAGATCTATCTTTAGCACCACCTGCACCCATCTCACCACCATGCGTCATCCATCCCGCCTCTGCTCCACCATCAGTCGAGCCTCGAGCATTGCCACGGCAAACATGAGGGGCTCCGCCAATGCTCTGCCCACCGCACGTGCATCCTCCCTGTGTCACACATTGAGGCTGACTTCTGTGCTGTAGACGCTCTCGATCGCATTCGCGCACCTCAGCACGTTGGCATTACACAAGGCCAGGCCAATTGTAGCCCTACGCAACGGCTTCTTCACCTATTCCTGACCCCCCCACACCCGACACCGTGGATCTGCCCCTCGCGTACCCCTCACTAAGCTTGGTGTTTCTATTCACAGACCGCCCGCAGGAGCCGCATCCCTCGCAGCCCTGCATCTGGATCCGCCCTACGCCTTTTGTGGATCGTGGCCCCAGTTCTTCAGCGACTTGGCCGACTTGCTGTCCGGATTCTGCTTGGCCGTGGACTCTTGCGCGAGGTGCCGTTTACAGTAAGCTACCACTCGGCGCATATGGTCAATGTCCTCCTGATCGTACCCGTCTGGGTCCTTCTCCGGGTTCTTCTCGAGGATCTTTATGATCTTGCGCCCGCTGTACAGGAGGCGTCAGAACGCACTGATATGCAAAGAAGGAAGATATGTTTAGACAGACCTCTCGTGGCCGATCGTTTCGCCCGATCCGTCGTCCTTGCTCCAACCCGCGCCCGTGGATTCATCCTTCCCCAGCCAGTCCTTTAAATCCCCTGCGCTCATGTTGACGAGCTCATTAAACTCGCTGCAGGTATTCTAGGATCAGCACCAGGATTGTACCGAGTGCCTGGAAGAGGCGTGCGTACCTGATGACTGTGTCGGTATCTTTAACCATTTTCACGGCGCGTATGGAATTTGAAGAAGGGTCGTTTCAGCTTGGTTTCCAGTCTCGAAGATGCTATTCTTGACTGTCTGGGATCGATGTCTGTGGACGCAGAGAGGGAGGTTCAAAGAGAGGGACGACGACTAACTGCGTCGACGTTGTGGGATGTCGAATGCATGATGTCACCATTAACCTGAAAGAGCACTCTCCGTCTAACGCCGCTACTGCAAAGCCCCGAGCCAGAGGGACTGGATCAGAGGATTAAGGCCCTTGCCGAGAAATCAAACCGAGAATCTACAGCATCTGTAAGTCCCGTCACGCCTCCAGAAGCGTCTAGTTCGATTGTCGCACATGTCTGAGATCTGGGTGACCCCCGCGGAGAGTAAGTTTAGGCTTCAGGCGTCCAGTGCTCGAGCTCAATCGACATGGGGATGAGGTAAGGATGCTTAATCTTCTTCAGTGCTCGACAACAGACGCCACGATGGGCTTCTGACCATTCCTCCAAGGCCCTATTTGACGTTCTCCTATGGTAGGGTGACTTTTGTTGGATGTACTTTCGGAAAATGTTCTCCGTTGAGACCGATTCTGCGGGCTTGAATCCTTCGAGATCAGTTTAGCACACCAACGACTGGGGGAGGCTACCTGACAAACGCAGGAAAGTATCTATACAGGACACACCATTTTCTATAAGATCACTTCGATGATTGGATAATATTCCGCAGCAAGCCGAATGATCTTATATTATGTCACGAAGTAACTTATGTTTCTTTACGATCTCTTTTTTGGCCCCCATTTACTCATAGACTGTTTTTCCGCACTGAATATCTCTCTTTTCATTTTGATATAAGCACCAACTTTGTCGAGAGTTGACTGCACTCTATATTGAAGCCACCCCGCATGTACACCTCACGACACATCGTATCGGACTAAAGAAAGGGGAGAGCATCAAGGTGGCCAAACAGGTGCGTTTAAAACTCCCCAATGTCTACCAGCTTTGGAATCACGGTCACAGGCACGAAGCATCCTCCGGCCATCCCAACCACAGGAACATTACGGCCCTTCCATCAATGTCAAAGCACGAGACTCTGAATCACACACGCGTCAATAGGATGACTCGTGGACGCGAGAACGAAGCCCGTGGAATTATCACATCTCACCACCGCAGCTGGCATGACGAAGCCGCCGCGTAATACCACCGCTCTCAGAATATTATCAGACGTTCTAGCCTAATACCCACTACCCTGGATACCGACCCCCGAATGCGCATAGATTACCGTGGTTCAAACTATGAGAATGAAAGGCTAGACCTGTCGTGCTAAGCCCTACGACGTATGCCCAGGCTTTCATACTTGGTTAGCAGAATCTGCTCGATAAGGCATGTGATCATGTGATCATCACGTGACTCGCCTTATATCAGGGAATATAAACTTTGCTCGAATGAATGTTTGTGATTGACCGTGAGAATATCTATGGGGTTTCAGACGGCACGCAGAGGACAAATATGGAGGGTGGGTGTTTGAAAAGGCGGCAACGGGAAACCTTATGGCCCTGGAGGTTGCGTTCAAAGCATCACATCGAAACTATACATGTTGGGGTTCGTGTGGTCGCTCAAACCAGCGTTTGGCCGCGCAAATGGTGTCCGTGGCTGGGATCGCCAGCAGACTTGAATGGATACGATGGAGTTGTCTGGGGTTGTGGACTCTCACCACTCTATGAGTTTGATGGTGTTCAGCATCTTTAGACTTGGTCAGCGCCCGCATTTCTTTACGCATCTTCACAACACGTTTCGAATACTAAGAAATCTTGGCCTAAAGCATGGGTTCTGAGTGATATGCGTGCTTAGCGAAGGGGCGGTAGTGATGAGCAGCGAATTCGGTGAAAACAGTGCCCAACTTCCAGACACCGGGTCCGCGTCGAAATCCTCCATGCGATATTTGAAACTCCATCCAGCTCCCACCGGGCACAACAAACTCCGTTGGCCTTTTTTTCTCATAGCTTTTTGATGCCACCACATGGTTTCGCAATATCGGGTTAGATAATCCCACTCTCATCTACGTGCGAGACTATGAGGAAAGAGGGGCAAACCTAACTGTTCTAGCAGAAGATTTATACCCCCTTTGGATCGGCAGCACGTGCGAGCGTCCAATTGACGTGATATATGTATACTCACTACTCCCTACCTCCATGCGCAGGCCCGTTGAATTCCTCGAACTTTAGAAGTCACGTATAAGTATAAGGTGAAATTTCCATTAAGAGTACAGTAATGTCGAACCGAATGCCGAAACTTTTGCCATGCCTAATATATAGACATATACCTACCTTGAAAACCCCCGAGTAATAAATACAATCCTGACGCGGATGTACAAGACACAAGAAACTCATACCTTCGCTTTTTGCTGAAGGGTAGCAGCCCCATTCCTCAATTCATTCTTAGTCTCCTTCCTCGCCTTCTCCTCATCGCCATCCGCCTTCTTTTCCCTCTTCCTCACCTTCTCATTCTCCCTCTCCCTCCTCCGCTCCTTCTCCCCCTCCATCCCCGTCTTCGTCTCCACATGCTGTCGACTGAGCACATTCTTCCCAATCGCGAACGCGACTAGCAGGCCCACAGCCGCGAATACGACATACATGATCCACATGGTGCTGAGCGAGTCCGCAAACGCTTTCCTAGCCACCTCACGCTGTGCTCCCGGCAGCGCATCAATGATCGCGACGTTCGCGCCCGCCTGGCCGCCGCTGAGCGCCTTAGCGATGCCCGGATTCAGGGATTTCGAGAGCGTTCCGGCGCGCTTCTTCATCTCGTTCTGGAAGACGACGTTGCCGATGACGACGGATATGGCCGTGCCTAGGGAGCGGACGAAGCCGAACGTCGCCGTAGCCGTGGCGATGTCGCGCGGCGCGACGAGGGACTGCAGCGCAATCAGGGGGGCTTGGAAATTGGGGCCGACGCCGATGCCGGCGATGATCTGGTAGATGATGATTTTGGCCCATGAGGAGCCGGGAGCTAGGTCGATGAAGAGGCCGAAGCCGAGGGTCATGAAGCAGAAGCCGGCCCAGATGGGGGGGAGGTATTTGCCGGTTTTTTTGATGGAGAGGCCAGTGATGATGGAGCTGAAGGAGAGGGCGAGGGCTGTTGGGAGGAGGTACACGCCGGAGAGGAGGGGGGTCGCGCCTAGCACGGCTTGGAAGTAGAGGGGGAGGTAGTAGGAGCCTGAAATGAAGACGAAGGCGTGGAAAAAACAGACGCCGAGGGCGGCCATGTTGGACCGAGCGGAGAAAATGGGGAGTGGCATGATTGGGTAGGGTGCAATTCTCGCTTGGATGAGGAAGAAAAGAGCTACGGTCAGGACTCCGAAGACGAGGAGGCAGATAACTGTAGCGGAGCTCCAGGGGAAGCTTATTCCACCGAATTCAAGCCCGAATAGGAACATGAGTGTTCCGCCAACCATGGAAAGTGATCCGAGCCAGTCGATAGCCTTGAGACCTTCCCAGAGTGGCGTCCTGGGGGTGTGGAGGTCCAAAATTAGGAAAATGATGATAAGAGCAACTCCGTCGACGGGTAGGTTGATGTAAAAGCACCATCTCCAGGAAACCTTTTCCGTGAAAGCACCACCCACGATGGGACCTAGACTGGACGCAACCGCCCACACTCCTCCTATTATTCCGAAGTATGCGCCGCGGTCGCGCATACTAAAGAGATCACTTATGCAAATATTGACCAAGACGATGAGGCCGCCTCCACCTATTCCTTGAATAGCTCGTGCAGCGATCAACATGCCGATATTTATTGAGAGGCCTGCAATCAAGGATCCAATGAAGAAAACTATGTTTGCGATGAGGAGAATGGGTTTGCGTCCCCATATATCGGAAATCTTGCCCCATATGGGCGTCGATGCTGCACTGGCGAGTAGATATGAGGATCCTATCCAAGTGTAACCGGCAGAGGAGTGGAAGTGCTCTGAGATGGTCGGTAGGGCGGTCGTAATGATTGTCTGGGAGGTATTAATATATGGACATCTGGATTATCAGATAATACATACAATGTCGATTGCTGCGAGAAAGACTGCCAACTATACATAATGTTAGTTTCTTTGTCGAATGTTCAAGGGTACTTCGAATCCATACACCTAGCGCAAACATGATGAGAGCAACCTTCAGCTTGCTTCGCGCAGGCTTCTCGTCAGTAATCCCAGTCGGCGCGTGCTCCACTGTTGCGTTTGTCGGGGGAGAAGGCGCCTGTTCATCATGACTGGTGACATCTCGTTCTGAACGCGAGGTGCCAGTGGAAGGCCGCTGGTTTGAATCGAGCTCCTTGTCCTTAGAATTGGGTGATACGCTGTTGGTCTGACTGTCAGGTCCTCGCTCCAGAGGAAGATTTCCGTCAGAAGCCATGGGCTCAGCAGGTTGCGCGCGTCCGGCATTGTTTATGGTGGTCGCCATTGCGGTGAGGGGCGATCGCAATAGTTGGGACGGTGACGGGACTCGATGGACCATGTGGGTCTATGCAAGCGTGCTCTAGGAAAAGGATCAGGCCAAACTGTAGCATGGAACAGACATGATCTCAAACGAGAAAACGAGCATTATAATAACTTTGCAACGTCTTGGTGATGTACGAAGAGTCGTGCGAAAGGCGCGATCTGAGCGGCGGGACTAGAGCCTGCCCTCAATGGTTCGGCACTTTCGGCGTGCCGAAGAGCCGTGAAGAGTACGTAAAGCAGCCGTGAGGGAGCTGCGACGGGGCGGCTGCATCTTGTGACGAATGCGAGGTGAAGATGTTGGTGTCTTGGGGTGAGAAGAGCGTCCGAGGGGTGCTGTGTCTCCATTGCCTACTGCTGAAAGGCGCACTCTAAGTCCGTCTAAGTCCGCCAAGAGTGCATCCCTAGGTACTATCAGACACCGCGCAGACATTGGTCCCGTTCGCCTCGTCAGTGGGATCAACAAGCATACATCTATTCACACGGGTATGCACTCAAAGCTCAAAGCGACTACGGCTGCTGCCTTTCCTTCTTGCTGACGGCTTTGTCAATAGCAGTCAGAGACTGCTCGTACAACCTCGTACACCACGTTGCAGCCGACAATTCACGAGATCTGCCTGCATTTGATATCAGGTGTCTTGGTGGGGGAACAACGTCTATACGATTCTATGTACATCTTAGTTGTCCCACTCTGACAGCGAGGTGCTAGATGACGGGTATGAGGCCTTTTTCAATGTACATACTTCGTGCGCTATCCTGGGTGGCAGCTATGGAACTTCAGAATATCCACACGGCAGCAGGAAATGGACGACTGTGCGGAGCTCTGTGCTGATATGCACTCCTGCCCTGCACGCTAAAGCGGAGGAAAGGAGTGTGACGACGCTATATTAGGAGAACGAGGCATTGTATATTCATATCTACGCTGAGAACTTGATATTAATCAGCCCTGCTGCGATGTCCTTAGGCCAACCCGTAATATTCGTATGCGACCATCTACAAACGAACGCGACATCCGTCTCCGTGCCCGACGGCACTCCATCTACCCTAACTCCACCGAGCAAAAAGCTCACATCCACATCCTCCTGTTCTTCATAAGACACATTGATCCGCCGCCTGATCCGCACAATGAACGCTAGATTGTTTGGCTCTTGAGGGTAGTAAGCCATCTCACTATGGTATTCTGGTTGCTGTTTCAACATCGGGACCATCGACAGGCGAGTATCATATAACCAGCGACAACCGCGGCCCAAGCCACGCACCGTCGGCCAGGCGGCGCTAGATTCGAGTGTGAACATGCCTTTCTTGAAACCTTCCGGGCGATGTGGATCGTGGAGTGGAAATATCAGCTCCATGTCGCCCATCCAGGCACTCCCACGTCTATTGTTGCTTGCTTTGACGTCGACGACTAGGTCAATGGGGGCAGGTGAGGCACTTGGGAGAGGCTCTCCGCGTTTGGAATGTAAAGGCCACAATGCGAGGTCAAAGTCATGGAAACATCCCATGGCTGCTTTAGAGTATTTCTGCCAGTCCAGTCGGTGGGATAACTGTAGTTTTGGGCAACACTGGGTGAGTCACGAGCTCCATCGTTGTTGCCAGAGCCGGATTGTATTGCAAGGATGAGGGGCCTGCAGTTTGATTCTAGTTCTATAAATAAGGAGGGTGCACTGGGAGCCTTGGGGGAACCCTTTAGGATAGGTGCGGGTATCAAAGGAGCGTCTGGGACTTTAATCTGTCGAGGGCCACCGTCATGGAAGCTGCCGGTGTTGACTTCAGTCGGCAGTTGGAAGATGCCGGTGCTGAGCTGCAAGCCTACGATCGAGCTGGGGAACCCTTTCCGAGGTCCCAGTCGAAGAAGCCCGGCTTCTGTAGCGTTTCTATGCGTCGTTTGGCATACTCTGGGAATATCAGGGTTCTGTTGGTCCAGTCGTATACGGGCGCTGGTGCGGGTTGGAGTTGGTGATGGTTGAGTTCATTTGTTCGTACGCGAATGTTTTTGATACCCTGCTCTAAGGATGGAAGGATGGATGAATGGAGAAAGAGTGGATGAAGTGACTGTAGAGAGCGGAGAGAGGACAATAAAATCTTCTTCCATATTGCCATGGAGTGATAGTATGCTATGCGAAGCCGCAGTGCTTGTCGAAACACTTTCTCAGTTTCTCTCATGGTCCATTTCAGGTGATGCTTATTCTCATTTGAATAGTTCCGACGAAACTATACTCCAAGGGGACCTAAGATAACGACAGTTGGCCATAAGCATTAAGTATTACCAGAGCCTACCGCCTTGGCAGATCGGGTCTACCTTTCGTAGACCAATCCTTTAAAGTGTTTCCGAGGAGACCGAGCAGTAGAATGACAGTCCCGTCCTTTATTAAGGAACCATAATCAAATAGAGGAGCTTTTTCATCCTCTTGCCACACTCTGTCCCAGTCAAACTTATGCCATGCATGGTTTTGAGACTCCGGCTCCACCAACCCAAAGATCTTCTTGCATCCGCAAGACAATATGTCTACCATGGCCCCCAACTCTGGATTATATTCGAACAGGTGGTCGCGTTCCCACGTGCCGTAACTCCCATGGTACATCACACCCTGGCAAGCAAGTTCGAAGGCCATTTTGTAATGCCGTATGTACTTTGACAAGTACGATGGTTCTACAAAGCGCTCCAATGTCTCCTGCCAACTCTCAAAGAGCTCAGTAGAAGTTCCATCGTCAGAAACGTACAAGCCGAAGGCGCCCTCGACGCTGTTCTGGTTCACTGCGACCTCGTTTATTGGATCAAAAGTTCCGGATATTTGGGCGAGATACCGGGTGTTCTTGTGCATTAAAGCCAGGAGTAAGTTCTGTTGACGTTCTGTCAAGGACACCAATGAATTCGCATCCCCTCGAACTTTAGGTGGGGGTAACAAGGCGTAGAGGGCGTCTCCTGAACTCATGATTTCGCTTTGATTGGAATCAATTACTAGCTTCAACTTGCCTGGCGTGTTGAGCTCGAGCAACGGCAGCAGATAATAGAGGGTGTCGAAGTTGCAGAGCTCTTTTTTCGGATTGGACTTCTCAGTCCAGGGTAGAGACTCTTGTAACCAGTTCACAAAATTGCTGTAGGTTGGGAAGGGCATCTGCTCCAGTTCCGCCCTTAGACTAAGCGATTGGCGTAGTTGTTTGAGAGCTAGCTCTCCAGTGTGAGCCAGTCCATTTAGGATTTCAATGAATCGCTCTTCCTCTGGAGTGATCTTGCCGAGATACGGCTTGTATACGATATCGTGATAGACATCTTCCCAGGCATACATAAACGCGGTCGCAACTTGAATTTCCACAGCGAGACCTGGGTAATCTCTGTACTGTGCATCGTCCGTTTTCAGCTTGCAGCGGAAGTGGATTGATTTTAAGCCTAGCGGCCAACCACCCTCTCCGACCACCCTCTTGGCCTCTCTCTTGATGCCTGTCCGATTGATAATACTGCTTTCAAGGTCGCTGAGTTTGTCATTCAATGGGTTTTCGAGGGGGGGCTTCCAATCCCATGGGTTGAGAAATGGATCGAAGGTTGTCTCAATCATTTCGCGCACTTGATCCACATCATTCGGGAAGGTAATGGCGATCCGAACTCCAGCCAGATCGATCAAGTCATGCTTAATCTTGTCTGTATCCTCGTAAGGTGCCTTTCTTCGCTCCTGTCTTCTTATGATCGAGTCTTTGAGGCTTTTCTGGGCCTTTGGGCGGCTCCTGATCCCGTGGCGTATCTGAGCTATCTCGAGCTTCTGTGTGCAGATTGCTTCAGCTTGTTTCGCAAGCTTCTCGTATGTTTCGATCTCTTTTGGCCAATTATTCACAAAAGAGTCAATGACAGATAAGGCTTCCTGCTGAGTACCCGACATGTTTGTCACTTTCAGATGGCAATTGCGAAACAACAGGTGGAAGCTGATGCTGGTGGGTTTGGGAGGAAACTCGAACACGGGCCCATGAAGCCGTCGGGCAGTTTGGTCATCAAGTCAAATGTCGAGATGTCGATGAGAATGCCAAAATCGATGGACTCGCAGTCTTTCAGCCTGCCAACTACCCAAGCTTTTCTCTCAAAAAGCAAAACTGATCAACGCAAACCAGACCTCGAACCCCTCCACCCTCAAGTACCCCAGCCACATGTCAGACGACGTGGTACCCGCATACAACCTGCAAGCTTCCCTTGCTAAGGCAACTCTCCAGCCTCGTACACGCCTTCAGCTCCCAATGCGAAATTCATTTAATTCGACATGTCCAGAAACCTCGGCGAAAAGGCCAAGGCGGATTTCATGCATGTGGCGTTGCGCCATCCAATCAGCTAGCCGCTTCACAGCCTTTTCGCTTACCATATCTCTCTCGATCAGCTTGTTGACACAGCCTGATCAGCTCCAAGCTACTCACCGGTCATGTTGGATCTTGAAGGAATTCTTCTGCCTATGCGTGAGGGTCTAAGTAGTCGCCATCTAAGAGTGAAATAGCCCTTCACATCTTATTGATATCTTTGATCTAGAAATACCATTTATCTTACTCTGAAGTCGAATGCCAATGTCATACCTAGCAAGAGTGCGGTCCGAGGCACAGCTCAACCCAGGCCTGTCCCCGCTGTTACAATTTCTATCCCAAGACCCCTCCAAACACTCTCAAAAACCTTCTCGAATAAAATTCATCGAGCACCCCAAACTCTCAAGAGCACAAAACCTAGCTCAGGCCCACACCAACCTCCAAGACATTGTTGCGAGAATCGAAAGCGCTGCCACTCAGGTTGCAGCACTACAACCTAGGATCAACAACTCATATGCCAGAAAGCTACTCTCCGAACATCAGCTGTAGAGAACCCAGCTGAAATCTCAGCTGTAGAGAACCGAGCTGAAGCCTCAGCTGTGCAGGGCTCATCTGAACTTACTAGCGCGCCACCCTGGGGGTGGCCCCCTTCCTTCCCCTAGTATATATACAACTAGCTAGACGTCTATAGAAATCAGAGTTCACATCAATTTCAACCTGAGTCTGCCCGAACACCAGACGAAGATGTCTTCGGCTGCACCTTAATGATCGAAGACATCCAACCTAGCCATATCGAATACTTAGGCGAAAGACTTTCCATCGACCCAGTATTCTTCGCAGGCTATCTCGGAACGGATTACAGAGCCGTGGAACAACACCCGTTACCGTTATGGGCCACATCCCTACCATCCGAATCCGCGACCCAGGAATTCTGCCACTTACATTATCAGCGTGTTGTCAAGCTTGAGAGAAGCTTGAAGACGCCGCCCGAGACAACGCTTCTTGTTTCCGCGACTAACGTACCTCGGGCTGTGAAGCGATTGACCCCGTTGAGTGGTGTGGATGTTGCGCTGGCGAGGACTTGTACTTCAGTGCTCAGGAAATGCTTTGATTCTGGGTTTTGGATCTGTAAGCGCGGATGACGTCTTTTCACTCTGGAGTAACAGGATCATGGCTGATTGTTGAGTGAAATAGGTTTGATAATCGTGGATTCTACGACCGCGAAGGTCGTCCCGCAAGCGAGCGCGAGGTACGGTGTGCCGACCTTCGTGGCGAGCCAGACACCGTTACATGGCCCTGTGCGACTCGAAAAGAGCTTTGTGGATATGTCTCAAGCTCAGGTTGCTTTGCAGGGCGACGTTCATTTGTTGTCATCCGAGTTTGATCGTCTCGTTGCTTGCATTACGCGCGAAAATACACTTAGCATGGAGAAACCAAGCATGATCTCACTCTGTCTCAATCCGTTGCGCCTCGCTCTTCGAGAGTTTCTGGTCTACTCAATCACGATGAATCGATACGTCAGGTACTATGAGTACTCCTTGAAGGATGTGGATCTCTCTGTTCGAGAAGGCGACCTCAACGACCTGCAGATATGGCGGCGGCGAGCATTTCAAACTCTGCAGAGACTGTTCGCTATGCATGATTTTGTGGAGCACTGGAACACTAAAGAACGGCCGCCCGAAGAGTCTGAAGCATCTCTTGGAGCCTGGTTGATCAAGGATATTCAACACTTGATAACTGCCATCGAGCACCATAGTCGATCCTTAGAGACGATGATTCCGGTGACGACGGCAATGGTTCAGCTCGCCGACGTCCGTCGATCGACGGAGGAGGCTTCGCACGTCAAACAGTTGACGTACCTGGCGCTCGTCTTCATCCCATTGTCGTTTGTCGCAAGTCTGTTTAGTATGTCTGAGAAAGTAGCACCTTGGAGCAGAAACTTCTGGTTATACTTTGTGGTTGCTGTGCCACTTCTACTCTTTGTCTTGGCAGCGAGCTGGCTGATGCCTTTTAGAGGCCACACAGCGAGACATAAGCAAAAGATGAGATGAAAGAAGATAGTTGTTCGATGCGGACCCTATGTAGTAGCAAGAAATCGTAAGTTTCAGAACGGTAAAATATCTATCCGCCACTGTCTGGGGTGCCCTCACGCATCATTCAAACCTCGAAGGAGATCCAAAATCCTAGAGCGAGAATGAAAGCCGTCCCAAAAGGCTTTGCGGTGCTTTGAAAAAGAGTCTATAAATGCTTGGCCGCCACTGTCGGAGGTGCTTTAGTGCATCGTGCGAACTCCAGATGAGATGCCAGATCCTAAAGAGCGTGAATTAGAGCGGCGCCAAACGTTTCTAATTGACCTATCTCGCCGCTGTTGGGGGTTGGTTCAGAACCAGATTAGAAGTGTAGAAGGGAAGCCAACACCGGCTGCAAGAAAGTGTGCATAGGCTTTTGCTCAGATCAAATTAGGGAGACGGGATCATCCATCCTATCTCATTGTTTTGAGGAACGTTCAAAGGCGACTTTTAGGTCACTCATTCGTTCATCAAGAAAGAGCACCTCTCTTGCTTCATCCTTTCAGTAGACTACCAAGCTTCTTCTTCCCTCCCGCACTCAATCACCTTTTCTTCGCCTTCCAATCCCTGTACGCCGCATGCATCAACACCACAAAACTCTGCCCCTCGGGACTCCCCGTCGTAAACGGCGTCCGATCATGCCAGTTCAGCGGATTAATTGCCGGGCTCACAATCCCCGTCCCCGCATCAATCCCTGCATCCACAACCCCCATCTTCTTCTCCGCCCACTTCGTATACTTCCCACCGAAGCTATCCGGCGCCAGCACAGCCAGCCGAAACGTCGTCGCCGTCAGCATCGCCGTCCCCGAGATCTCGCCGAACCAAGTCGTGTCATTGAGGTAGTTGCGCAGCAGGCCAGAGGAGTCAGTATCGAGAGCTATGGCGCTGTCGATGATGTGCTTGATGGCCGCGGTGAGGGAACTTTGCTCGCTCTCTGTGGCACTGTTGAAAGGGGATTTGCGGAGGGTGGAGAGGACGCGCGCCATGCCGCTGGCGGCCCAGCCGTTGCCGGTGCTCCAGAGGCCGAAGTCTTTGGTTTGCGGACCGGTGATGTGGTACCATGGCCCAGTTGGGGTGACGAGCACGTCTCGGTAGAGGAGGCATTGGCCCGCGGACTCTTTTGCTAGAGCCAGGTTGTTCTTTGCCACGGCGTAGTACGCTAGGAATGGAGGAGCCATGTAGACTTCGTCTGCCCATAGCTCGGGGAGTGATTCACGCTGGGAGATGGCGCCGTTTGGCCAGCGCGGGACGTCGTTCACGAGGTGCTTCTCTTGCCGGACTGCCGCGTCGGTGTAGACGCTGTTTGTCTTCCCGATGAGGAGGGCTGGCACGCCGAGGGAGGCTGGGTCGCCTGCTGCCCCTAGATAGGAGAGTTAGTACAGAGCTCTATTACTGTATATCAAGTAAAGTTATACTCACCAGCGCCGTCGACGAGTGTGACGTTATTCGTTCTGATATGCGGTTTGACATAGTTCAAAGCGTCCACTTGGTCCACGTTCAAGACTGGTAGTTTCCCACCTGGGAACGGATCTGCGCCGAAGACAGACCATTCAGGGTTCTTCCATTCTAGCAGAGCTTCGCATACCGTCCCGTATTCCCAGCTATGCACCGCTAGAGTCACAGCCTGAGAGAGGACTTTCGCAACTAGCGCGGCGGAAACCATGGTTTCGAATTCGATTGAAAGATGATTGAGAGAAATGGCGAGGAACGCTAGATTTCGAAAGTACCTAGATCAAGCTTATATCCTTCCCCTCTCAGCAGCGTTACTATAAAGCACCGTCTTTGTAAGATCCAAGATCCACCCCAAAACGAAACATCCCAAGCATTCGCTCGCGTAAATAGGACCGGCAAGGTTAATTATAGACCCTGCAATTTACTTTCTGTAGCACGTCTACCATGTATCCCCGGTATTCCTAGCGGCCCGAGCACCGGGTAGCTTCCGTTGAGGTGAGATGGGAGATGAGATTTCCAGGTTTAGCCTTTCCCATCAGTGTGTACAGGGTTAAGTGTTTACTTAACCTCTGTACGACGCTCTGGGAGCGAAGAAGGCGTCTGTAAGCATTATTCTGGGTCGGATGGCGTTTCTGAGATGCTGTTTTGAGCGGAGAGCAGGGAAACCAGATTGGTGCAACGCCAAGGTTCGAGTACCTGTGTACTATTTTTAGGTGGTTTGTGGAGGAAGGGTGGATGGAGCGAGCGTGAGTAAGCCGTGATCGGCAGATATTGCGTGCACTATTTTCCTGGCTCTCGGGAAAATGGAAGGATCTTCAAAAATATAATCTGATTGTTGAGGAGAAGGTGGTAAGGGTTGAGGTTGAAAGATGGGAAGGGAGCGTGACCAAAATGGTGCTTTTCAAGCGCAATGCTGCTGAACTAAAGCAGAATCAGGCATATTTGAACCTCGAATGTATAAGACAGTTTTATGTTAAATTGAAAACCCACTACCAACGATTCCAAGAGACTGGCTCAAAATTGATCATCCCCCTTGTTAGGATGACTATTCCCAGAATCTCCATGTGTTTCAAGCATCTCCACATGCACGAGACATGCAGATGCTGTGGAACGCATATCTGCGCTGTAATGTACCCGTAATCGATAGTCTCACTGGCAGTCTAAAAATGCTACGGCGGTTTCTTCATGTATTTTTCGGAAAGCAGTTGATTCGTCGAAGTAGGCGGAGTTGTGCTACTTCTGTCATCTTGCGCGTTCTTGGTCGGATTTGTGAGCAATGCCCATGATCTGTGTACGCTTTGTCGCCACCGCTTGTAGACCTCTGATGCATTTTCAGATTTGGGGACACGCCTCTCTTCGCCCTATGCACGTAGGCTTGTCTGCAACTGCTTCAAGCTGAAGACATGCAACAGTAGTGCGGCTATTTCCCACAATAAGCTCCGGGGACAATAGCGGTGAGAAAGACTAAAGCAATGGATAGGATTCAGATCCCTTCAGAATTGAGCGGTTTTTGCTGAAATTGGAAAGAAAATATTAACTCGATGAGAATGTTCCTGAGGGAGCCTTGTTTCTACAGCAGATACTCATACTCCGCAAAACCTCCCTAAACCGGTGACAGAATAGGCAGGTCCTCTACGTCCTCAAATGTCTCTTCGCCCGGTCACCTAACGCGAAAACCGAGTCGAGCAGGGTTATCTTGTTTCTCTGGGCTAGGACTAATCTTTGACCGGCCTAGAGATGAGTTGGCTCAAAGGCTACTGTTCCGCCCTGAAGACGCCCGAATTCGTTACCTCATACGGTAATAATGTGGTCTGGGTTTCGCGCTAGGCCACCGAACGTCCGCTTTGGACGACGGTCTGTATTCGTCATGCACAAACGTTGCAATCCTTCGAGAATCTCTATGACTCAAGATGGCCCTTAAACACATCTGGCCATAAGAACTCCCACAACGTCACAAGAATTGCCCAACTCATCATCCACAATGTCGTCCACCGACAAAGTCTACGAGCACCTCGCCGCATCCCCTCTCCTCCTTCAAGCACTCCGTTCATACCTCCCATACAGCATCCCACTGTACCGGCGAATACAGGTTCAGGTCCAAAGCCCGACTGCTCACATCTTGGCTACCTTCCCGCCCGCAGAGCAGGACGCTTCTGCTGCCTCGCAATGGCCGAAATGCTTCGCAGCCTGCTACTTCGACCGCTCATCCCGCCCCGAGACTGAGATGTGGGTGTTTGTGAGCGGAGAAGTACCCGGGCATGCCAGTCACGACGGCGAATCTGCTTCACAAGGCGAACCTGGGAACGAGAGCACTGAGAAACTATCATGTCCTACTTGCACATCCTTGTTCCTATCTACCCTCCGCCACGCCTCTACCTTCCCCCTCCCCCCAATTCGCCCGGAAAATCAGAAACACCTCGACCTAGCCGCCACCGCAACCTCGTTACAGAGCTTCAAAGGGCTCAGTCTCTCTATAGAAGACGTCCCACCCATTGCATACCTCACACACCTCCTGATACCCACAGTGGTAACGCTGGGAACCTTGAACTCAAAGCTTCTGCCTGTCCTCATGGAGCGGCACCTCGTGCGCGAGGAGTTTCCCGGCCTCAATTCCCCATGCGGGAAATTCATCTTCAAGGTTTCTGGCACGCCTCCTCCGAAGCCACTGCTAGATGGACTGCGGTGGGGTGAAGTTCGCCCTCAAGATATCGAGATTGTGCAAGCTGGAACTGCCATTCCGCGCGCAGCTGTGACTCTGTTGCAGTTGAAGAGTCTTGCTGTTTTCCCATCGGATTCTGACAAGCCAATTGCATGGGCTTTCTTGGGACATGATGGAAGCTTGTCGTCTCTACATGTCAAACCAGAATTTAGAGGCCGTGGGATCGCCAAGTCTCTTGCTTCGAAGCTGTTTAGGGATAACGTCTCGAGCACCGCAGAGGATGAGGAGAAACAAGATGATTGGGCGCACGCGGATGTCTACGAGGGGAATGTTCAGAGTGAGAGTGTTTGCAAGAGTCTGGGAGGGAGGCCTTGGTGGACTGTTTACTGGATGAGGCTGGATTTAGGACGGTTGTAGGATGTGAATCTTAGAGAGTAAGAAGGGTGCATATGGCTTGCGATAGGGGTTGCAGGGCAGACGTTCGCAGACTAGAGATCGTGTTTCGAAGCCTTCGGATGGAGCATGGTGGTCAGGGGCATTGGCTAATTGAACGAAATCCACTGGCGTCTATAAAACTCGATTAGTATAAGAACTAACAAATAGAACATAGCTTTGGAACGAGTTGTAGTGCGTCATAAAAAAATTAGAGTTGTTGTTGCGATTGAATCCTCATTGGAGAGCTCAGGGTTAAAAATGTGTAATCATCCGCAGGAAAAGTGTGAAAGGAAGAACGTACCTGAGAGTATATAGCAGCCGAGATGTTTGCTGTTCACATCTAATTTCAAACAAGAGATCACCACTACATAACATTGTTCGTTCGTTCTTGAAGATTTGGGATGAGTCTTCATTCATGAGCATATTCTGTACCTGAGCCGGCTTTCATGGAGGTTGTATAGATGACAACGCCTTAGAGGAAAGGCGATGAATCCTCTAATCAAAGAGACCAAAGCCCATGTCCTCATCTTCCGACTCTTCCGCTTCCGGTTCGGGCTCGGCTGGGGCAGAGCCGCTGGTGGGTGCAGCATCTCCTCCACCGGAGGTGGTGGTGGGTCCAGCAGACGCATACTTGTCAGGATTCTGGATACGATCCTTGAGCTCCTCAATCTCGTCCCAGCCGTAGTCGGTCTCAACAGCGACGGCAAGAACCTTCTTGTACGAGTTGACAACGGAGTGGATGACAGATGGCAGGGTGGGGTAGCCAGTTGCGAGCGAGATCGTGGCAATGGTGGCAATGGCGGAGGAGAACGCCTTTAGGAGCTGAGACTCCTCGATATCCAAAACGTCGGACGCGAAAGTCTGACCGTTGTCGTAGATCTGTGAGATGCCCATACCGTAGGTGAAGGGACTGGTGTCATTAGCCCTGCGTTGTGACCGAAGGTAGCATAACAGATACATACCTGATGTTCAACATGTTCAACAAGGTAGCTTCGGAAGCTCCGACCTTGGTTCCACCCTCGACGAGCTTCAAGTCCGTCGTGATTTCAATGGTACCACGAGCAATCTTGGTGGGAACACCGAGAGCCTGGAAGAACGAGGTCTTACCGGGCTCCATACCGGTGTTACCAGCAGGAACGTAGACACTACACACACAGTCAATATCCATGTTCTCCAGCATTTCTCCCCAGGTGTTTGTACGTACTCGAGGGGAGCCAAAGCACCAGCACGAGCGGGTGCCGCGACACGGTTGGAGAGAATCTTGTCGCGAGTCTCCTTCAAGTCGGCATTGGTGAAGACGAATCCGACATTGCCTACAGATCATCAGCGAATGATAGTTATACGAATTGGACTAGAGAGCTTACCCTTGACGTGGGGAAGAATGCGCTCGTACTCTGGGCTCTCGGCGATGAAGCCCTTGATGGCGCGGCGCACCATGGTGTTCTTTCCCATCAGGACGACACCCTCACCACGGAGGCTCTGCCTGATCTCGTGCATCTGCTGGGATGAGACATTGTCGACCGTGACGACGAAGATGCTCTTGTACTCTGCGGGAAACGGTCAATTGCTGGCCCCATGCATGCGCGAGAGGAGACGCATACCCTCGAGGAGGCCCTTGAGCTTGTCGAAGTAGCCGGCTTTGTTGGCGGTTTTGCCCCCCATGATCTTCGTATATGAGAATCCGGGATGTTTAAGGACTTGAATGTGTGTTGTTGAATTATGGAGAGGAAGTTGGCCGGTCTGCTCTCCAAGATGTCGTGAAGCAAAATTGGAGTGTGGGTCCGTGCGAAGCGAGCGCTGGCCGCCTTGGGGATGGCTAATTTGAACAATTTATGCACATCACATAACTAACTACAGTCCTCCAACAACACTTCATCCGTACGGAAAAAAGAATGGCAATTCCTTTCCAGTGCGTTCGGGTGTGTAGACCAGACCCGCACGATCAGAGCTCATGGCTGCTGCTTGCTGCAAGTGGTCCGAGAATTTATAGCAGTCATTCCAGCGGTGGTACTTCCGTCTGGTCATCACAAAAGAGTTCAGAATCTGCAGTGAGTGAAACCCCTTGGGCTGGGTCTTTTGATGAAACGTTGACCTGGGTTTCTCAGGCAGAAAATTGTCACGCACAACGAGTGAGGACTAAGCATTTGTAGGAGCCTGTGCAAGCAGACGAATCGCAAGAACCACCTGGGAAGAAAGTGAAGCTATCGAAACAGGCAGAAGAACCTCCCAATGTATCCAAATTACTGGTCACTAGCAATTCCCAACATCTAGTTGCTGTCACTGCAGAAGACAAATGTCTCCGTGTATTCCGCCTCGATCTCACCGGTCGACTGGAACCTTTGAGTCAAAGGTGAGACTGGTGTGTTGAATTGGACGATGACATAACTGATAGCTCAAGGTCTATGCCAAAGCGTCCATGCGCAGTCACAATGATCGAAAATGACGCGACTATTCTTTGTGCAGACAAGTTCGGAGATGTCTACGCACTCCCGCTCCTACCGTCTCCCACAGATGCCGACGACATTGCCGTGGCCGCACAGGAGAAGGAGACATCAGCATCCTTCGTTCCTACAGCGACCCCGCTTACAGTCCACTCGGGACGAAATCGAAAGGCTCTAGAGGACCAGCTCAAGCAAAAACTTCAGCCCAAGACCAAGGAGCCCCTGAAGTTCAAACATGACCTCCTTCTAGGGCATGTGTCAATGCTTACTGAAATTCTGTACGCTGAAGTCGAAGGAGAAAAGACAGGAGCAAAGCCCCGTACCTACATATTTACTGCCGATCGCGACGAACATATTCGCATTTCTCGAGGACCGCCACAGTCTCACATCATAGAAGGTTTCTGTCAAGGTCACCGGGAGTTCGTCAGCAAACTTTGTCTGTCGAGGTCTGGGGATCTCATTTCCGGCGGTGGAGACGACGATCTCATTGTTTGGGATTGGCTAAGCTGTCGTGTGCTGGAGCGAATCAGTATTAAGCAGCCAGTGCTCGACTTCCTCAAAGCACATCCCCAACATGCTGGATCGCCACAGGAGAGTGAAGGAGACCTTAGAGTCGCCGTTTCAGGCATCTGGGCGGCTCCGTCTACATTCTCAAGGGTAATATCTCTCCTATTGCTTTAGCCCATACGGATCACTAAGCCTGAGCATAGGATAGTGTTCTCGTGACATGTGAGGGGGTGCCAGCCCTGTTTCACTTTATCATCGACGGCAGAAAGAAGGTCTCCAGTCTGCAACAGACGCTCCCACTGACCGGAAACCCTCTGGATTTGACGCTCCTGGAGTCTGGTCCGATTACCGAGTTCATCGTGGTGTCTATCGACCAGACACGTGCACCCGGATCTGCCACAATGCTGCGTCAGAAAGACGTGAGTGTCCACTTACCATTCTCTCTATGATCATATCTAATGATTGCTATAGGACGTCCCAAGTCGGATGCAAGCATTCTCGCTAGGTTCAAGTGGTGGGTGGAATCTTACATCCATGCTAGATGTGACACTTGAACGGCTTAATAGCCAGGCACAAGCGGATGCTCTGCTTGGAAGGGAGGCAGAAGTAGTAAATCCGGAAACTCCTGGGAAGCAAAGTCCTGTGCAAGACATTCTTTACGGTATTGAGAACTTACGAAAGCGAGCGGGTGCGGAGGACTAGTGGTACACATAGCGCGTCTGGCGCAAATAGGGCTGACACTGATTCGGAATCATGAAGCCTGCTGCAATACGTGAGAACTCGCATATCGCCGTGAACATGCCTCCTCATGGATCTGCGTATACTTCGTCACCGGTGCTTGCGGTGCTTGAATATATTGATAACGACGTGGAGCAGTAGGTCACACGTCCAGTCCGTATGCACCATTCTGGTGTCTTAGACGGCCAAAAGCTCATTGGCTGATCTGTTCAATCATCTCACATCTCGTCTAAATACATGGACATATCTTGGAGCACCACGAGGGCGTGCAAACTTATGACAATGCAATGGATTCCAGGCCTGGCCAGTGTTGGTACCTCCTCCGTATCTGCTCGGCTGAGGTTCCGAGGCACATATTTGTCGCAGGTATTATTTCGGCTCGGCTCGTGAATTACGCACCGGACGAAGGGTCCAGAATCCGCATGGACAAATAGAGGTGGGACATGCTACGTCGGTGGAGGTTCGGGCGTGATAAATCCCCAGAGGTCTCGAAGTCGCGGTTCGTAAGCAGGGCGGCGAAGGCCAGACGGCCATCGGCATCGATGGCGATATCGCAGCCAAATTTACATTTGTCTTGTAACTCGACACCATCCACTACTTCAATATCTGTCACTCCCTGCCCTCACGCATCCACGCCGCGCCTCACGCTCTGCGCTAGAGTAATTGTCACCGCTCACCGGTCTTCTGAAGGATTCCCCCACTACTGGCTCTATAAAGCCGTCTTTGACAGCCTCGGACAACGCCCCTCGTGCCCGAGTGAATAAACACAACAAAGCAAACTACCTCGCCAGTCGCCATCCTGTTCGCCTCAACTCTTCGCAGAGCCAGTGCCTCTCCCTTATTCTCCTCCCTCGCAATCCCGATCGCAGCAGCCGCATCGTTCCAGCAGCGAAACTCGGCCGCCGCGGGGCTCCCTCAACTTCCTAAACCTCTGTTTGCCATCGCCAAAGGCTCCCGGAACATGCACTCGAAAGTAGTCAGTAAGTGTTAGCTCCAGTCTACAACTGGAACGTCCATCGCTAACAAAATTGGCAGTCATTGGGTACGTCCAACGCGTCATTTCTTCCCCACACGCGACACCTCTTCGTTGGCAACATACACTGACAAGCAGAACTACAGCTCGGGCCCAGCTGGCCATACAGCTGCCATCTATGCTGCTCGGGCTGACCTGAATCGTGTGTACTCCGATTCTTTGTGGCGGTGTGGACGATAGCTAACCTAGGAATAGCGGTCCTGTACGAGGGCTTCCTCGCGCTCGGAATTGCTGCCGGCGGGCAACTGACTACCACGGATGAAGTCGAAAACTTTCCCGGCTTCAAGAAGATCCAGGGAGCAACGTTGATGGTGAGCCTTAGCTTTTCCCTACAAGCTGAAAGGAAACCAGCTAATACATCTCGCGATGTAGGATCAAATGCGCGAGCAATCTGAAGCATGTGGCGCCGAGATCGTATCCCAGACCGTCGCGAAAATCGACTTGAAGACCCGCCCCTTCAAATACTGGCTACACCCCATGGGCGACGACGATGAGATCGAACCGGAGGTGCACACCGCGGACTCAGTGATAATCGCGACAGGCGCAAAGGCTCGAAGACTGGATCTGCCTGGAGAAATCAAGTACTGGGGCAATGGTGTGTCAGCATGTGCTGTTTGCGATGGCTCGCTGCCGATGTTCAGAGACCAAGCTTTGGTTGTCATTGGTGGAGGCGACTCCGCTGTTGAAGAGGCATTATACCTGACCAAGAAGGCTAAGAAGGTGACGGTCCTAGTACGGAGGGACAGGCTACGGGCTAGCAGGACAAACGCGCGCCGTTTGACGACGCACCCGAAGGTTGAGGTCAAGTTCAATCACAGCGCCACGCTGATCAAGGGCGACGAGAAGAAGAATGGGCTCATGTCGTCTCTCGTTATTAAGAACAATGTCACTGGAGAAGAGCAAGAAATCGAGGCGAGAGGGTTGTTCTATGCCGTGGGACACGACCCAGCAACCGCACTCTTCAAGGGGCAGCTAGAGATGGACGAAGATGGCTATCTCATCACACAGGCTGGTAGAGGCCTGACTAGCGTTGAGGGAGTGTTCGCTGCTGGAGATGTACAAGACAAGCGGTACAGACAGGCCATCACGAGTGCAGGTTAGTAAACCTCGAATCCTCGCCCGGAAAAGTCAAAAGCTAACATGTGACAAGGCTCTGGATGCGTAGCAGCACTCGAGGCTGAAAAATGGCTCATGGACCAAGAACCCACGGTTGAGAACGAGCTCGATACCGAGAATCAGGCCGAGAAGTCCCAGACGAACGGCGTTGTGCCAGAGTACCGATCTAACCCTCTGCTATGAGCGTTCGTGTTGATATGCTCTCAACGTTCGAAAAGCTTTTGGATTCGCATCTCTGCATACCCGCGCGAGTCGTGCGCTAGTTACTTTGCATCTGATGTCTTTTGTACATTTCTTGCTGGCATTATCACCGGCCAGCGACCTTCTATCCGAGACTACATAGACTTTTTTTCATTGTGGGCAGTTTGATTTATTGTGATGCGATACAGTCACCATTAAGGCTCACTAGGCCCGAGGGGCAAAATAGACCTGGCTCACTAGAAGAGTAGATGATGGATTAGGCATTTAGATAGAAAGCTTGATTGGAAAGAAGTAGGAACCCCCACGGCTATATGGTGCAGAAACAAACGCCAGGCAACGCTATGCATGTGCAAATCAAACAACAAATAGTCAGCAGTACTAAACATAGGGTATGCCGCCAACGCCTACAGTATAGTACACCCTCTCAGATGAAACTCAGAACTCGGACACACATCTTCGGGGGCCGGTTGGTGAAGGTCCGGAGTCGACGCAGCTACTGAACGGACTCTTTCACCTATCCCGCAGACAGTCAGGGAGACGTCGGAAGTGAACACTTGTTGCCATCCTCGGTGATGAAGAGTAAGGTCCAAAGCACCCGAGAAGCACGTCGGTCATTGACTTCAGCGCGCGTTGAGCAGATCTAACGCACTCTCGAAGGCCTTGACAACATGGATGTCTACATAGCGGTTAGTCTATGCGCACAGATGGGTACCTGCTCTTTAGCCGTAGCAAAGCGTCACTTACAGTGATTCCTCGTTTTTTCGAGATTCTCTTCCGAGTTTTGCACGTGAGCCATCCGGGTCCGAAGGCTGCATGATATATCAACACTTGCATTCCTAGATCCAGCGATTGACAAATGGCTTTACCGTCTGAACGAGCGGTCGACCTCGTGGTGCTTGCTGGCATCTTGCCATATACTGAAGAACTGTGGTCCAAGGTCAATGTTTGAAGGCAATCGCTAGACCAGGACGGAGCCGATTACATTCATGAGATTGGCCCACTCTTCCGTGAGCTGTTGCTCGACATCTATGTTCTTGTCCATAGCTTCATGGTATCGGTCTTCGAGTTCACCCCAGTTGAAGTCTTCGATCCTCTCCGACGGGTCAACGAGCTCTGTTGCTTCGGCTCCATTCATTTCTGGCGCATCGATTTCGTCCGAAAGGATCAGGCGTTGAGTGGCTTGCGAGTCTGGAGATGATCGCCCTTCACCCTTCGCGGTAAGTGTTGGGCTCTGTGAGCCCTCATCCCTTCGTGCAGTGATGGGCTCCTTAGCTCGTCCGTTCTTGGACTGTCGAGTATCAACCATTTCGGCGTAGGACCTCTTGCGATTAGTAACCACGTTCAGAATCGCAGGTTGCCCGCACGATGCAGGTGATGTTGGCGGGTCAGAGAGATCGGATGAGGGAAGGTCCATAGAAGGGCTGTGGGGAGCAGGATCAGTTGCTGTATGTGAGTGAATGATCAAATCATGTTCCCATGCGCGGAGAAGCGTGACCCTGTGTTGTGGCTGGTGGCGGCTTGCGGAGCCTGAGGCACGGAGGTAAGCGTGGAGGTCCGCGTTCTGCATTTGGGGCAGGCGTCATTGGGGGAACATGACCGACCTCCCACCTTACCTACACCTCGCCGAAAAGACGCTCACTCCGCCACAACGCCCCTACAAATACACGCCGCTTATATTCACTACTCGCCCTTACGTTCTTGGCTGTCGCTACTTTCAAAACACAACTAATAGCAGGCTGGTGAATATGGAGCGTTAAATACCCTGAGAGCCGCCCGCCGCAACCATGCTGCCTTACAGCTTCGCTCTCCGCACATACACCACCATCGGTTGGATAACCTCGATCCGCCCACCCCACCAAGCACCATGGAGTGCACTATCTGTACGAGGGCCATAGGCTCCGAATTGTCACCTTTTAACTGCGCAACATGCGCCCGAGCTACCCTGTTCCCCTACCGTGCGCAGCTCGCAGAAGTCCTCCTAGAACGCGAGAAAGAAGCAAAGCGCGTCACCGCCGTAGTCCAGGGAGATGAGAGTGCAGAAACCCACTACAGCATCCGTAACTCGCACACAACTATAATGGTGGACCGGGAAAAGTGCACCATGGGCGCGGAGCTGGAGCAAACAAAGGCTGAAACAGCCTTGATTAAGGAGACTACAACCCAGATCAACGAGCATGCTACTATGCTTCACCAGCAGATAGAGCAAGCTAGAAAGGATCTCGCTGCTCGAAAGGCTGTCCTTGCCCAGCGTCGCTCTGATCTCCAGTCGGTTGGGCATAACATCACTGCTCGACGAAAGAAGGAGCTGGATAAAGTACAAGAGACCATCCAGAAAACGGAACATAGCTGGGACAAGTATCATAGCGGTACCGTAAAGGCTCGCGTAACACTCTGTGAAGAAGCTGCCAAGCTCTCTGGTTTGAAGCAGAAGTGGCGGAAGGCTAAAGACGGGGGTTTGTACGATGTATATTACATCGGCCCGGGCGATACCCTTCCAATCGTCGATCTTCGAGACTTGAACAGTAGGTTCAGCCTAGCGAAATTGTGAGTAATAGCTAACCTTTTCCTCAGATGCTTCGTTCTTTGAGGTTTCGGCTTCCATGACAGCTGTAGCTCAGCTCGTGGTTCAAATATCTCACTACCTTACCGTCCGTCTTCCCGCCGAGATCACACTAGCACACCGAGACTATCCCCTTCCAACAATATTCTCTCCATCCTCATCCTATCAGTCTCGAGACGTACCTTTCCCGGGGTCAACGCCAACAGCTTCGACGAGCAATAGCCCTGATGCATCGCGAAACTTTGAGCACCACAGGCCTCTCCCGCATCCTCGAACACTATTCATTGACCGACCGCTGATGGACCTGGCTACGCAGGATCCGCAAGCCTACGCTATGTTTCTTGAAGGAGTGTCACTCCTGGCATACGACGTAGCTTGGCTGTGCCGAACCCAAGGCATGCAGGATGAGTTCAACGACTGGGAAGATGTCTGCTCCATGGGAAAGAACTTGTTCCGTCTTCTTCTTGAGCAGGGCCATCGACCAGAAACGACCAGAAACGATTCGCTACGAGAGCCCACATCCGGTGCTGGCAGGAGTCAAACCGGAACGCCGACACAACCTTCTAAAGCGAGTGTCAAATTCGGCGAATTCTCTCATGGCACATCCCACTCCTTTCTCGGGGCCGCTGAAAATGCGGGCTACCTCCGAGGTTGGAAATTGACACCACCCAAAATCGTTGACAGCTTGAAGGCTATGCTACTTGCCGATCAGCAAGTCCAAGGCTGGGAGGTGCTAGACCAGAAAGAGTGGCACGGCATGGACGATGTGATCGCTGAAGAGCCCATCCTTGTTGGGCCAAAGCGGAGGAACACGGGTCTAACAGACGATACCCGCAGTGTGATGAGTGTGGCCACATCTGCAGCGGCTACGGCCGCCACCGCAGCTGTTGAGACCGAGGGCGCGGGACAGGGGAAAGCGAGGGGCGTGAACGGGTGGACGAAGTTGAAGAGCCGAACGAGCGAAGGTTCGAAATAGATAGTTGCAATATAACTCCTAGTACGCTAAATACTGGAAATAGCTTAGAAAAAGATATCGTTAGAATATATCACTTCATAAATAATGTTCACATCAACCAACGAGTTTCCTCGCCTTCTAAGTATCGAAGTGACGGTATATATGTCTTTGGCTCAAGTTGATAGTCCGAGCCGCGGGCACGTGCACAAATGACGGTCTACTAAAGACCGGTCAGGGATCTCAGGCCAACATCGGCACCACCACGAAGCAGAGCCAACAATGCGATGGCCTTGGTCGCAGAATCCGCACAATAGCGATGACGGCGACAGTAAACGCCCTGTATCATGGGCTGAGAGCTTGAACGCGACAGACTGGTCGCAGTACACTGAAGCGCGGACTGTTGTCCCTTCGGTCCTCCTCACGATCACTACACTTACACTCATTCGGCTGTACAAATCTTACCTCCGGCGAATACCTAGTGTCAACTATATCAAACCAGACCTTTTCAGGCGGCGGAGTCTTTTTGGGAAAGTGACGAGCGTTGGAGACGCGGACAACTTTCGATTCTTCCATACGCCGGGAGGGAGGATAGCAGGATGGGGCTGGCTTCCATGGAAGATGGTGCCCAAAAAGCGGGAAGAGCTGTCTGCTAAGACTGTATGTCTCGGTGCACCAGAGTATCATGTACTCGCACTCACTTCCCCGAAGCTCGTGCTCACAAACATGTTCAGCTTCACATCCGCATAGCCGGTATCGATGCACCTGAAATGGCACACTTCGGACACCCTGCACAACCATACTCCAAAGAAGCTTACGACTGGCTATCGGCATACATACTCAACCGGCGCGTGAGAGCTAAGATATATCGACGCGACCAATACGACCGGGTCATAGCCACGGTGTTTGTTCGCAAAGGGCTTTTCAGGCGGGATGTGGGGCTGGAAATGCTCAAGAGTGGTCTGGCGACTATATATGAAGCGAAAAGTGGCTCGGAGTTTGGCCAGTTTGAGGAGAAATACCGGAAGGCAGAGAAGAAGGCGCGTCTAGCGACAAAGGGCATATGGACACAACCTTCGTTATGGGAACGGCTTCGTGGGCAGAGGGCAAAGGATATGGAGAGTCCGCGAGAGTACAAGACGCGTATGGCCACGTCGGACAAAACTGAGGTCAAGAAAACCGAGGTCAAAAAAGCGGTGGTCAAGAAATGAAGATTGTAGTGGAGCTGCATATAGCGTTAGCGTTGTCGACCACATAAAACTCTCGGTCAGGTTGCGCATAATCGTGAATCCATATATTTGCAGCTGAAGCATCTTTTAAGATGCTGTTACTACTCTCCGAACCCTTCTACCTAGTGATTGAAGTTGTGAATGAGACCTAATTAGCTTCTGCCGTGGTTGACTTGTTGCCTAGCTGGAGCTCCCCTCATTACCTCCGCCAACTCCGCATCATCAGACTATTCCAACTACGCCACCTGCACCAACCCCAAACTCTCCTTCCTACACCACCCACCATGCCCGCATTAGACGTCCCTTCAGCCCTCGCGCGGGTGGAGTCTTCCACGGCAGCCGACAAGTCTGCTGGCTACAACGAGCTCCTCCAAGCAATCCTCACGACGTCCACCCCAGACACATTAGCAGCCAATCTTATCACCTACGTCAGATCACTTCTCGGAGATTCCCTAGGCATAGTCGCCTCCCGTCCACTTCTCGCCGCCTTCGTCGACCAGTTCCGTCGTGTAGAGGATCCAGATGTCAAAATCGAAGTGGGGCAGAAAGTGCTCGAGCTACTCGCGCCCAAAGTAGTTTCGTACGAAGAGCAGGACACTCAAATCAAGGAGATACTAGCGGATGCGTACGAAACCCAGGAGGACTTCCGGAGCTCTGCGCAGATCCTGCAGAGGATAACGCTCGACTCGTCCCAGCGCGCGGTGTCGGACGACGACAAGGCGAAGGTGTGGATTCGGATCGTGCGGTGCTATCTAGAGGAGGACGACCCGACGAATGCGTTTGGCTATATCAATCGCGTTAAGAATGTTCTCTTTGGAGTGCACGACAAGGAAACCAGGTTGCAATTCCAACTTAGTCGGGCCAGGATCCTCGACTCTCAGCGCAGCTTCCTTGAAGCTAGCCAGGCCTACCAGAACCTGAGTTTCGAGACCATCATCGACGAGGATGAGCGGTTGCGAGCTCTATCTGCAGCCATCGTGTGTGCTGTTCTCGCGCCTGCTGGTCCCCAGCGTGGCCGGACACTAGCAAGACTGTACAAAGACGACCGGGCGTCGCAGGTCGAGGAGTTTGGCATTCTGGAGAAGATATTCTTCGATAGGCTGCTGTCTCCCAAAGAAGTCAAGACATTCGCTGAGAAGCTGTCGCCTCATCAACTGGCGAAAACTTCGGACGGTTCAACGGTTCTAGACAAAGCCGTGTTGGAGCACAATCTTCTCGGTGCTTCACGGCTCTACAACAACATCGGGCTTGACCAACTGGGGGAGTTACTTGGTGTGGATGCCGAACGGGCTGAGACATATGCTGCACAAATGATAGAACAAGGGCGGCTGGCTGGCCACATTGACCAGATTGACCGATTCATCTTCTTCGAGGGCGAAGGTAGTGGAGAGAGGAAGACTGGTCACGCGGAGAGGGTTGTTGGTAGAGAACTGAGGAAATGGGATGCGAATGTTCAAAGTCTGTCAGAGGAGGTGGAGAAGGTGACGACTATGATACAGACGCAGTATCCTGTGAGTTGGCAGCTGGAAAACCTATCGCTCTCTTTCTAACATTAACAGGACTACTATGCAGCTCACATGGTACATTGAGGCGCAGGCTTTCAGAGAATGCAAATATATCATGGCGACATACGTTATGTGACGTTAGTTGGTCCGGCTGGCTCTGAAGGTAGGCAAGGTCCCAGGTATTCTTCCACAGCCTTCGCTGGTTTCAAGAAAGAAATGGACAGCAGGATTTGCGGAGCATCTCGAAGGTGCACCTCAATCTTGACGCCGATATACCCGTTAGTAGAGTAATAGATTCCGGTCCAAAGAGACCGGAGAGACCTTTATATACATGAATCAGAAACCTGACCAATGTTGCCCGTCACAATATCCCTTGACATAGATTATACAATTGATGCGTTCGACGTCTCTGACTCTCCCTATGGCTCTTCCACCTCTCCCACATCCTTAACATCCACCTCCATAACCCTCAAAACCGTATACCGATGTTTGCTCTTCACCGTCCTAATATGCCGCTGCCGCCTCTTCGTCTTCTCCTTAACCCGCATCGGCTCGCTCTCCGTCCCCAACACCGTTGCCCGGCAGGTAAATAGCCTCTCATCCAGATACAGCGTCTTCCCCGGCCCGTCCCGCGTCCCCTTTATCGGCGCCGGCGCGCGGAGCGTGAAGTCGCGTGAGCCGATGTGTGTAGCGCGATTGAGCCGAAGGATGTCGCCGGGCTGGACGTCTGGCATCCGAAAAGGGAGGCGGATCGTGTCACCGGCTGTGACGAGGTAGGGGCGCCCGTGGATGTGGGTGGTAATGTACCATGGGGGTTGCGCGCGGAGGAGAGGGAGGAGCTCTTTGACGCTTTTTGTGAGGGCGGAGGGGGTTGCGGGGGCTTCGATGGAGGTGTGCTGGGAGATCGATGAGAGTGGAGATTGTGGTATGGCCGTAGGTAGAGAGCTCGATTGAGAGTCAATGGCGGCGGATTTGGGTGACTTCCTGGATATGGAGCCGGGATTGACGAGAGTTTCGGGGATGCTCGAGGGGTCGGTGGTGTGAGAGACGGTTGTGATGGCGCGGAGTTGAGGCCTGAGGGATGATGAGAACGCGCCTCGCGCCTCGAGGAGAGCACGGCGGCATATCATGGTGAGATGTTGGACTGAAGCTGTTGAATGTCGATGCCGAAGAGATGCCCAAGTCGAAAGTTGTAGACGGCGGATTGGTTGATCCGGCCGGCGAAATCTTGGCGCCAGCCCGATTTCTTTTCAACCTCTCGGATTCCCGCCCCTCCAGCAAGAATCATCTCCTCCTCTCCACCAACGGAGTACTACCGTTACAATGCCTCAGAATGAGTATATGGAAAGGCATGCCAAGCAGCATGGCAAGCGGTAGGTCTCACGAACAGTATTCCCGAGCGACTGGTACTAAATTATCCTACAGCTTCGACTACGAAGAACGAAAACGCAAGCGCATAGCCCGTGAGCAGCACAAGGGCAGCGAAAATGCGCAGAACTTCCGAGGTCTCCGTGCGAAGCTGTATCAGCAGAAGAGGAGGAAGGAGAAGATCCAGATGAAGAAGACGATCAGGGCGCACGAGGAAAGAAACGTCAAGAGCAGCGAAGCCGCCGAGCCGTCGTCCACGCCCTTGCCGCAATACTTGCTGGATCGGTCATCTGAGAAGAATGCGAAGGCGCTCAGCAGCGCAATCAAGCAGAAGCGCAATGAAAAGGCGGCCAGGTTTAGCGTCCCGCTACGTAAGATCGACCCGACCGCTGCACTCAGACATTGCTGATAAACTGTAGCGAAGGTCAAGGGCATATCTGAGGAGGAGATGTTCTCGGTCGTAAAGACCGGAAAGAAGACACAGTAAGTATCTCCTATCCGTCCCAGCTATACTACTCAGTAGAGTGTCGATTCTGATGTCGAAACAGAAAGAAGGGATGGAAAAGGGTTGTTACGAAGCCGACTTTCGTTGGGCCTGATTTCACTCGCCGACCTGTCAAGTACGAGCGCTTTATTCGACCTATGGGACTGCGGTACAAGAAGGCCAATGTCACGCACACCGAGCTCGCAGTCACAGTCCAGCTTCCCATCATATCCGTCAAGAAGAACCCTCAGAACCCGATGTACACACAGCTCGGCGTCCTCACTCGGGTAGGTCATTGTACACATACCAGAGTCCTCTAGTGTCATTGTTCCTAGGACTGTGTTGAAACACGGCTCACGTCGTGCCTGAACACAGGCTCAAGTCGTGTTTAAGCACCCATTTTAGTCGCTTTAAACACCGAAAGAAGCCAAAATGGTGTCTCAAACACGATTTGGGTGGCACTCAAGGACAATTAACACCAGAGGATCTGGTATCTGTCTTTTAAAAAAGCCCTTATTCATGAGAACCCGCTAACATGTACCTTAAGGGCACGATCATAGAGGTGAACGTAAGCGATCTCGGGTTGGTTACTGCGGGAGGCAAAGTCGTATGGGGACGTTATGCCCAAATCACGAAGTAAGTCAATCTCTTTCAGCCAAACATTGATTCAAGAGTGGTTCGGAGATGATGCTAACAGATTCCAGCAACCCGGAAAATGATGGCTGCATTAACGCCCTACTTCTATGAATTTCGAGCGGCTGCGTAAGGAGAACGAGAACTTCTAAGCATACATTGGTGTAAGGCGTTTGGTATTCAGTCTTTTTGGGATCACTGCGGAGAGTCTGGACGCCGGCGGTTCAATCGAAAAGTCTGAGGCGAGGTGATGGTGACCGAGCGCGTACATACGCTTGTAGTCATGGATTCAGCTAGGAGTCAGAAAAGATACCTGGATGTTGGTGTGGACGAGGCTCCGAGAGTGGCTTACGACAATCGAATGAAACATACCTTCAAGCATGAAGGCCATTGTAATGCACTTCGCAGCCTGTTGCAGTTGTCCACCTACCCCACGTCTAACAAATTGAACTTCGCACGGTTAGATTCGTTACTTTTGTGGACATTAGAGACCGACGGGGTTCGACGTTGCGGCCCTAGATAGGGGTAGGCTGCGCCCCTATATCCCTCACACTACGTCTAACGAATTTAGTTCTCCACGGTTTGATTCGTTACTTTCGTTAACATTAGCGGACAGGAAGGCTCAACGTTGTCTAGATACCTAGTGTGCCTATCTTCCCCCCGCCCAACGTCTATCAAAGTAACTCTCGCGCGGTTCGATTCGTTACATTTGCGAACATTAACGGACGAGAAGACCCCCCGCTGCCTACATACCCAGCGTACCTGCACCCCTCACCCAACGCCTGCTAGCCCATCTTTCATGCGGTTCGATTCGTTGCTTTTGTCAACATCAGAGCACAGCGAGGCTGTACGCCGTGTAAATACCTAGCGTCCTTGTCTCCCCGACAAGAGGTCTGCCAATCCAAGCTTCACATGGTTTGTTTCGTTCCTCTTACTCATAAATTTGTAAGGAAGGGGCTTACGCTTCGCAGATATATGGCGCGTTCACATAGCGTGGACGTATCCACCTGGCGTCTCCTAGACTGACTTTCATGCGGTTCGATGCGCTGCTTTTACTTGTATTAGAGCAGGAGATGGGTCTAGGCTGTGTGGTCGCGTCGTGGGGCCACGCAAGGTCCAGAGGAGCACGCGGGCCTTACGAAATTTGTGATCAGACGGTTCGATGCGGGACTTTTACCACATTTTATGTTTAAACTGGTGGACATTGCGTGGATACATCGTAAGGACATGTGGAAAATGGTAGGATTTAGAGTTAGGATATAATTTAGCCTCACTACTAGCCAAACAAAGCTCTTGAGCGCACAGGAGAAGTAATATGTACAGGGGAGTGTAATCGAACGGCCCCCTTCGAAGAGCGAGAAAAGCTCCCGTGAGGATCTTGGTAAGTACACAATATGTAGGACAAGAGCCTGATAACCAAGGCTGGGATATCCAACCGGAAAGGGACGAGGGAATCCAAAACTCCACAAGCCAAACGCTCCGCTTGGAAAGAAACCGCAAGCTCCAACGCTCGATGCCGCGAAGAATGCTCGAGAAAGGAAGAATAAAAGGAACTCGTGAAAGCATGCTTCTTCAAAGAGTTATAACCAATAGACGAGCAGCTATCCAACTTCCAGCAAATCTCTTATCTTTAAGTAAAAACTCGCGGGGTACTGTCTTATTTCCTCATCGGTTGGTGGTCCCTTCTTTGGATCTCTAAACCTGTCCGCTACGCGTTGGATAATCTGGCCGAGCAGCTCTTGTGGGATTCGTAGGTCTTCGCCAGCGTCGGGGTACAGGAATGGGTCTCTTTCGTTTAAGAGAGAAGCTATTGAAGGTCGGCGAGAGGCGTCTCGCTGGAGGCAGTGTCGCAACGTTGATCGTAGGCCGGCGGGCACCTTGACACCGCCAACGCCTGTCGGCGGGTATTCGATGTTGACGGAGGGGTTTACGATGGCCATGACGCGGTGGATCTGATTCGGAATGTGCGCAAATGGAGGCCGTCCGTATACCATTTGGTAGAGGATGCATCCAAGACTCCACACATCACTTGGCTTCCCTAGTTTCATCATCTTTCCCAAACTAGCGCCAGGCTGCGCTCGCATTCCCGCGTTGGTGTCTTCCAGAGATTCGGGCGACATGTAGTTGGGTGTTCCTACATGGCTGTCCCGGTGGACATTGACAGTGTTGTCAATATCAATTGCGTTTGCGATGCCGAAGTCGATTAGTTTTAGCCGCCCTGAGCATAATAGGAAGTTGGCTGGCTTGAGATCAGAATGCACAATGTCGTACTCGTGCACCGCAGCCACACACTCGAGCATCTCTTTCCAGTAGTACCGCGTGAAACACAGGTCGAGCTTTGCGTCTTCGGGATCGAGTTTCATATGCAGAACGCGCGCAAGATCAGATTCGCCAATTTCCATAAGCTGTCGCTTTCGTTAGAAAAGCTGGTCGTGTGACTTCGTAGACTGGCTCAACTTACGACACTGAGGATTTGTCTGTTCTCGTCCACCTCCCAATCGAACAATCTCACAACCCTTTCGACATCATCCAATTTCCGCAGTAGATCGATTTCACCCTTATAACCACGTACAGCGCATTCGTCAGCGTCTTCTAATTTTACTCTCTTCAATGCAAACATCTTCGTGTTTTCCGCCATAACTCGATAGACTTCCGAACTTCCACCCTTCCCGAGCTTCCCCATATGCGAGTATTGCTTTCCATTCACCGTCATGTGACCCCGTTTCCGTCGCTCCCGAGTTCTTGTAGTCGCCGCCCCCGCTGCCGCCGTTGCAGTTTCCAGGACTGACATCTTGGGCGGAGGTGGCGGAGGCGCTGGTCTTCGGGGTGTGTTGACGCTGACCTGGGATAGTGGCATTGGCTTCTCTTCGCGCTGAGCTAAGGGCTGTTGCACAGTTGGCCGTTGAATGCTCTCGACCTTCATCATTATGGGTTCCACCTTTGACTCTTGCCTGATCACTGATGGCGGGAGATTCTCCTGGTCTTGCGACGGTGGGTGGTCATCATCTCCCTGTGGCGTCCGCCGTATCTTCCTCATAGGCGCTCCGCGTACTTGAACTCTCTTGATACGCAACGACGGCGCTGGCGTAATAGTGTTTTGGACTGGCGTATTTGATTCTGATCCCGAGCCATTGCGAGATATGCGCAGCTTCGGCCTCCGGGTCTGCTTCTCGGGCGAGTTGATCTCGTTCTGAGCGAGGAGGGCGGTTGTCAGGGCGCTCAGCTTCATGGGCTGGGGCACCTCGTCGTCGGAGCTGTCGCCAATGTTGATGTTCTGCATCATGGGCGCGTCGGCGGAGAAGCCGTGCGATTGCCCAAGCACGGAGAGCGGCGAGTCTCGTCGCGAAAAGGGTCGAGTCGAGGGCTGTCGCATGCGGTTATAAGCGCCGAGGGGGGTGGGCGAAGCGGTCGCCATTGTTGTAAATGTTATGTACGGTGCAAGAGCAGAGTAACGAATGTCTCCTGTGTTAGTAGCTGTCCATACATGTAGGGCGCGGGGCGGCGTGTATCGATGCTGCGGCAGCAAAGTTTGAGGTCGCGGTCGGAGCGCGATGGGGACTGCGGAAGTTTTTGGTGTCGTGGTTGCCCCATGAACCGCCGAGCGTAAACAACCCACGCCACCGCATTACGGCAGGGGGCAGGCCTAGCCGCTGCAAACCATTCACTATTCTCGCGCCATTATCGCACTGTTATCGTGCTCCAGTCGTGGAAGAGTAATGCATTCATGTTTCCTACGGCCAAAGGTTGTCGCATGTCTGTGTCTTCCTCTGTTCATGTCTCACCCTACCTTAGTAACGAACTCACAGTTCACTTTATCTATAAAGGTGTATTTCTAAGCCATAGAAAACGAAGAGGTCGCTAGACTCTGCGTTTGCTTCAATGATTCAGTCGAAAAGTAAATCCATCATACAAAGGAGCTTGAAACGTTACACCTGTATACTATCGATGCTGACCGTATTTAACCCGGTTCGTCTGACCTCGGTTGACAGCTCTCCTCCCCTCCTGACTAAGGAAGGCATGACCACGCAGCATGCATCGAATTACTGTCTAAAACTTACAGGACTCCAGGGCAGATGTAACTTTAAATGATTTTGGTCCTTTCTCATTATCACTTCCAGACATCTTAACCAATATCATCATGGCGACTCCGGTAGTGATTGGAGTGGGCGACTTCAAGAACAGGTCTCAGAAGCTGGAAGATGCTATTGAGCCTGCCAAGCTGATGCTCGAGGCCATCCGTCTAGCCATCAAGGACACTGATCTTCCATCCGCAGTTGCATCTACTCTTCAGTCAAGCATCGACAGCATCGCCGTGGTAGAGACTTGGACTTGGCCATATCCAGACCTCGCAGGTCTCATTGCGAAGGACCTGGGCGTAAATTCACGTTACAAGTATGTTAGCCCACATGGAGGAAATCAGCCGGGGAAGATATTTGATGAAGCTGCTCGCCGTATCTCTGTCGGCGAGGCGAAGGTGGCAGTAGTCACCGGCGGCGAGGCTTTGGCTTCACGTACGTTGTCTCCATGGATGAAATAGTCGGCAAAACATGTGCTCAACTCATCTTCTTGATATTCTAGTAACTGCTTGCGCTGTCGCCAAAAAGATGCCGCCCCCTGGCTGGACCAAACCCGCAGAGAATGTTGATTCGGTCTTTACTGCTTCCAATACTGATCTTCTACGAAAAAGTAGGCGTGCTCGGACTCGCTTTTGGATATTACTTGCTCACACACCTTAGATCTTGGCTCCATCCACTCCATCGGTCTACCCATTCAAGTCTATCCGATCTATGAGAATGCGTTTCGAGCACATCGCGGCCAGTCCATTCAGCAAAATACCGAGGAGTCAGCTATCCTGTATTCCGAGTTTGCCAAAGTAGCTGAGTATAATCCTGTTGCTTGGAACTACGGAAAGCCTGCCGAGTCTCCAGAGGCTATTGCTACTGTGACAAAAAAGAATCGAATGATTTGTTTTCCGTGTATGGCCCATGGCATTTCAACCAGAACATCAGCTAACACGCACCGCAGATCCGCTCTTGATGAATGCTTTCAATACCATCAATCTGGCCGGAGCTTGTATATTGACTTCCACCGATTACGCAAGAGAACTTGGAATTCCCGAGAGTCGGTGGATATATCCCTTAGGAGGTGCGGGAACTAAAGATGTTGATAACTGTAAGGCTGCTTTCACATTTATAAATGAAGGCCAAAAAAGCTGACATCGACTCCTTTTCAGTCTGGGAACGGCCAAATTTCCACGCCAGCCCGTGTATTTCGAGATCGATAGATGCCGGCCTAGAGATCTCCGGTCTCACGAAAGACGACATTGACCTGTATGACTTCTACTCGTGTTTCCCGATCGTCCCTAAGATTGCTTGTCAACATCTGGGCCTGGATATCAAGAACCCTACGAAGCCCATTACTCTCCTCGGAGGATTAACGTCTTTCGGTGGCGCAGGTAAGCGTATCCGAATGGAAAGCAGAACTCTGACTAACGATATTTGAAGGAAACAACTATTCAATGCATGTAGGTTCTTCCGGATACAGTTCACCGGCGCCAGTGATATATCCTAACCTTACTAGGCTCTAACCGAAATGGTAAGACAGCTTCGGAAGGGCGACAAGAAATACGGCCTCGTCCTGGCAAATGGCGGCGTTATGAGCTACCAGCATGTCGTGTGCCTTTCTTCGCAACCAAGGAAGAACGGCAGCGCGTATCCTAGCAAAAATCCGCTACCTGAACTGCTATCAGATCTTCCTGTTCCACCAATCGAGGAGCACCCGGAGGGAGAGGCGACGATTGAGGTAAGTCGATACCTGTCAACTCGTAGCAAGAGAAACCAAATGCTGACGAGGGTTGTGTCAGACATACACGGTGGAGTACAACCGTGACGGCAGCCTATTGAGAGGCTACATCGTCGGTCGGTTAAAGGCCAATGGTCACCGATTCCTGGCAAACGACGCAGATGCGAAGACTTTGAAAGAACTGTCCAATCAATCTGAAGAGCAAATCGGACGAAGCGGCTGGGTGAGAAAGGATACCGAAAAGGAGGGCAGGAGCTTGTTTAGCTTTGAGAGGAGCACGAAGCTGTAGATCGAGTTGAAGAGGTGCTCATAAATGGCTTCTAAAGCCTGTACCTTATATCAAAGGCAATGTTAGACCGAGTTGTCACTTCCTACGGTCCGTGTTGTTCTCTTCAAAGCTTCGCCCCATCAACCAACCCAACCGCCCACTCGGGGCATGAAAAAAGTGGCACTCTTAGTCTAAGCAAGCTGCGGGAATGGGTGCCTATGCGTGGATGCCACTGTTTGGGGTGCTTCCATGCATTTTCAGATACTCAGCGTGATGGAAAATCTTCGCCTTGGGCCAGTTGAAAAAACGTTGAAGCCCTCCAAGCACTGGCAGACAAGTCTACACAGAAGAGAAATTGTTGAGTGTGCCACCTTTTTCCCGCCCAGCCGTGCCGCCGCATAGCTACAAAGGAGCTCGTTTTTAGTGTTGCATGACCGAAGTAATGCTAAGCTGCTCTGAACTTCCGTGCACTGCACCCACACTCTAAAATAAAAGAGCATATGACTGGAAGAATAGGATAATGTATGCCTAAGAAGCGTAGAGCCCTTTTCCACAATTTATTTAGCCTCGTGGTGGGCACTGGAGGTTGGTGAAATGGTTATGTGGTTTTGGTTATGCAGCACTAAAAACGAGCTCCTTCGTAACCATAGTCCGCTTCACGAAAGCTTCTAGTTGGTGGAGAACCTGACAGCATGTGACATGTCCAGCTCAGTGTACACTGCTCGACCGCTGTCTGTGGTGTCTCAGACAAATTTCAAGAAACCTAATCGGAATCCAAGCCTATCGTTTTGAGTATATGTCAAACTCGCTAGGCCACCTCAGACAGGAGCAAAGGGGTGTAAGTGTATCTCGTAGCACCGGCAATGTACTCACGAAGCGTCAAGACCAAGGGTATTCATTCAAGCAACCGTTCCGGCTCACATGTATTCTCTAGGTCTGCAAATCCCCCGCCAGTCCAAGTTCATCAAGCCCTCCGCGAACGGGACGGCCATCACGACCCAGCTGGCAATAACCAACTCCCCAATCCACGATAGCGCAGCTCGAACCCAGTGCCTCTTCTTTCCCCAGACAGCTACTTCGATGACGGTGACGATTCCGTTGACAACGAAGAACAAGCCTATCCGCTTGACGCCTTCCTGCGACAGCAATGGCGCCAGGGTGTACATGTGGAAGATGGCCATGAAGGAAAAGGAGGCCAGTACCCCCGCGACCCTGGCGACAGATTTGGGGAGGCGCGATGCGAGGACGAGCTTGTAGATGGGGCTGTATGCTAGAGTCATGCAGGGGGCCGTGAAGCAGTTATGCCAAGTCTCCGCCCAGAAGCCGGAGAAGCTGTCTATGAGATACAGAGGCGCAAAGAGAGGTGGCGAGTTCTTGTAGCGGAGGAGAAGCTGCATTGAGGTGAAGATGATGTAGAGCGAAAGCAGGATCTCGTAGGCTAGGACGGGGGGCACTTGCGGGAGTGACTGGAGCACCGCGAACGCTGCTGCGTGAATGCATAGCTGGATAGGCTCTGAAAACAGTTTGATGTGTTTTGGTAGGCGGACGTAATTAGGTGAGAACGATTCGTAGCGAAGTTCAGTTAGGAGGATTAGGGCGAATATCGAATCGGAGGGTTTCGGGCCAGCGGTGTACTCGGGGAGGTTGTCGCGGCGAATGAGAACATCCAGTAGCTTCATGGTGCCGATTGCGACTGTAAAGTGTTACTTGCTCCCTTCTCGTGCCGCCGTATGGGGGCGAAGCTTACTTGGGAAGTTAAGGAGAGCGCGCGCGGCGCCGCAGTTTACTGGGGCGGCATGTGGACTGCACCAGAGTGTGAAGATTGCGCCCGCGGCGAGAACTTGGGAGATGGAATGGCGGTTCTTGACACAGGCAAAGATAGATGAATATATCAGAAAGAGTGGAATAAGCAGAATAGCGAGTGCTCTAGGAAACTCGCGAAGCATCTGCTGTAGGTAAACATCCTGTTCTTGAAATAAGGACTGCAAGCCCATTGCAGACCATAGGAAAGTTGTGAATGCTGAGAAGCCTGCCCGGAGTAATGGGTGGTGTCGGAAGTTGTGAGATTACAAAAGTAAACACATGATGACTGGAGGAAACAGCACTCGGCTGTGCCGGAACGGAAGCCAGGATGTGGACGAGTAACACACTTGCCACGCTGGTAGATGACAGTCGAAAGCCTGCGTTATACAAAGTTCATTAATTTTTCTAAAAAGGTGTTGAGGCTAGTCACGCGACGGCAAAACAGTGTACGCCGATGTGAAATATGAGAGAGAAAGAAACAAAGGAGGAGTGCTATTCCAAGATAAGGCTGATGAACCCTGTCGTATGAGCACTTTTATTAGCCTACTGCTACGCCTCAAGAATTTAGGTCCTAGGTATTGCTCCCAGAGGCATGCCGTGGTCTCGGTCATGTCCTCCCAAGATTACCTGTCAGGCGGCTACTTTGAACACAGTGTACCAGTCCAGCCCGTCTGGGGTGGCCTGGAGAGCTATGAGGTTTACCAAAACTATTCCTTTAGAGGTTCTAATAATATCTCAGGGACACCAAGCAGTGCTATTCAAGTGTACACAAGTCTGAAAAGAGTAAGTACCTCAAGATAGAAAGTTTAGGTTAAAATTGGTCTGGACTAGCCATTCTTGGCTGGAACGTCGCATATTTTACCAGACGTCAAAACACCACAACTTCCCAATAGCCAGTTCAAATCACCGGATGATAAATAAGGATCAAAATAGGTGATTGCTAAATCAAACGGTCGCGAGCCGCATACGTAAATTACAATGCCTAGTCAGAAGTCTGCACACTGTCTTGCCGACGTCTGTGGTCCTCCAACACACTTTCAGCACCAGAAATGGGATGGAAGTTGGCGGTTCTGAACAACCTGGAAGCCTGCTAGGCTACTTCAGACGGGCCGTGGCCTAGGATACCACATGTCGACTTCTGATCTTTTATGCCTCGGAAGCGTGATAGACGATTTCACACACTTATGACAAAGCTCCGTCCATCTACTAGTGACTCTCATAGCATAGAAGTAGATCTTCAGCAGGTCCGTGATTATACCTTGGGGGGTTGCGGACAGTATAGATCAGCTAGGAACATTCCGCTACTGGTGTTATGCGAGTAGTTTCAAAAGGCGTTGGGTCTCAAAATGGATGACTTACTGCGTTTATGTAGGGTTTGAAATGTATTGACGTGAGAATTCTGTAGAAGTGTATTTCTAGTAGCTCGTTGCTCCACACTCTTTCTGGTCCTAGATTTATGCGAGTAGTATCTAAGCATTACTAGATGGAGGAGTGAAGGTCCAGCCCATTAATTGTTAATTTCTAGATTACATTTAAGTCGTTTCTAGAAGTTTGGAAATGAAATTTTAGGATGTAGAGATTACGTGAACCAAGTCCTTGAAAGACATGAGGACCTGACTAGTTGTCGTTCAGGCGACTTGATCTGGCACTGTATTTGAAGATAATGATGTCTTAGTTGTAACTACTGAATGACTTAAATGGTTTCTCTTCGATCTCTGCAAATACGAGGTGCGCTACTTTCCATGGTCGGAAGTTGGAATGACGGGTAACTAAGAAGAGAGGTAATTGGAAGCCTTTTTGGTAAGGTAAAGCTTAACTGCAGAAAGGGCACCAATAATAGTCATAGGGGACGAATAGGAAACCTCAGTTGAAAATGGTGAACGCCAGATATGGGAAGGAAGAGAATCAAGAAAAGATATAAGTGAGAAAAGTAATTTCCGAGAGATTTGCAGAAAGAAAGTAAAAAGTTGGGCCAAAGATCCAGAGGAGAATCGGGGACTTGGTGGCATTCAATCCTTGAACAAGTCTTCAAGGGTTGAGTGAGGTTTCGAGACATCTTCGAGATTCCAAGGTAGGTTTTTGTCGTCAACTTCAATGCAGGTGAGGCCATCGGAAGTTCCTGGAGCTTTCTTTAGACGCGTACAGTTCTTTAGTACGCCTTGAAGGATAGCAGACGTGTCCCCTTTGTGATTGCTCAATGAGTTGGTAGGAAACACTCCCGGGCTAGCGAGCAAATTGTGTTGTCGGAGTAAGGACGCCCAGGTCGAACTTTTCACCCACTCACCGTTGGCAACTTGGTGATAGAGCTGGGCATAGCCACGCTTCATCCCTGAGCCTTTGCCACCTCTGATGCTCACACTAAGAAATTCTCTGAACAGTGTATAGAGCCTTCCGGACATCCCCGCATTTGTAGTATAGGGAGTGACGAAGAGAAGCTGCTCTACCACCATCAAACCAATCCGTAATTCTGATCTTGCATGTTGGAAGTATTTGAGAAGGTGAAGCTCTTTGAGTTCGCCTTCCAGTTTTTCGAAATCTTCGACACAGAATCCAATAAGATGTGTTGCTGCTTCTTTGAAGATCCAAGTCGACTTCACCTCAGTAGCAAGGCTGATCATTGCAGTTGGCGTGGTGTGGCATGCGTTGAGAATCGTTGGCATGAAAGAATAAAGAAGATTCTCAACGGCCATGGTAGTAATCGGCGTACAGGTGTACATATCCGCAAGGCTTACAAGGCGGACTATGGCTGTTTTTGTGGCTTCGAATGTTGGCTCATATTTGGGTGGAATGGTGTAGAACAGACCAAGGAGTTGTCTGTGAGTCGACACAACCGATTGACGTTCAGTGAACAAGGCTGACTCGTCGGTATGTGCTAAGGCTGCAGTAGTCTTCGTCAGTAACTCAGTTTTGGAACTGTCTTCCGGCGGTACTCCTTGCTGAATAGTGTTTTAGCACTGAGATTTGCACTAAAGTTGCGAGAGAACTAACGTCTCGAGTGAGGATTGCGAGGTTCGACTTTTCTTCAAATCTCAACTCATACTTCCAACGGATCTTGCTACCAGGAACGATCAAGGCAGTGTCACCGCTTGCCGCCCATCGTTCGCTGAGGCTTGTTTTGAAGAAGGGAGAGTGCAAGGCGAGGACAAAGCTGTGTAGTATATAGACGTCTTTAGGGGTTTCAGAGAGTTTGATCTCGACATCTCCGTCATCGAAGCTTGGGAAAATGTTTTTGCCCTTCTTTCCCATGCTGGGAGCCTGAAATCGGGATTAGAATGAGTGATCTAGTCTGTGGCCTTATGAAGAACGTTCAATCGCTAGACTTAGATTGCGACTAATGTTAGACTACCTGCTTCACGTACCATGGTGGAAAGACTGCTTTCACTGCATCGAGGCGCTGGCGTTCTATCGTAGGAACGTACGACCGTTAAACTTGGTCACACTAGAGTTGTTCGAAGTTATCCTCTACGTTGTAGGTCGAAGCTGTGAGTTTGATGAGTCTAGGAGTTTGAAAGAAGGAGGCCTGAGGAGAAATAAAGTCGAAGAAGTAGAAAGGCAAGTAAAGGTGAGAGACTATCAGGCTATCTGTGATATGAGCACGAAAAGGTGAGGTGAACAGCTACCGTCCTATCAATGATGAGGCCTCGAAGGATTTGGCCAATAGGAGGCTCTCGTTCAGGTCTCCGTGATAGAATCTACAGACAACGTGAGGCTCTTCGAATTGCTGTATATAGCTATCTACGGCCTAGTCCTTGGAGTTGAGCATTTCTAGATGTTCCTTCCAACACTGCCTACACGTAGGCAGCCATGGCCTTGCCTTGCCCTCAGGAGCGTCCTCCAACGCCAGGTGCGCCTCTGCATACTGATTTGTCCACACAGCCATCCGATCTGGCATCTCATCGTCGAAAAACAAGCTAAAAAGGGCCATAGGACCGCGTCTATCAGTGCCGAGGGGGACAGCAGCTTCACCGGGGTCGTAATAGTCGTCTATTTGCATGGGCTCGAAGGGCGGCAGAGGCCACGGCTCTGGTGGAGGCTTTTTGGATGTTTTGGTGCGAGGATCTTTCCATTTCACATAATCAATGTCATTGGATGTTCGAGGCATTGTATTGTATTGATTTGGGCTTAGGGAAGTAGCTAATTCGACTGTTTACATGCGCTGTTGTGCCTCCTGTACAGCTGAGCACGATGTTCCTGCACGGGCAAAAACCTGGCCAAAGCGTTGTCCACCAGCGGTGCAAGGGATACCCTTTCTTACTAGTGCTCATTGTGCTTCGAAGTGATCTCGTAGATCTGTTATTATCATTCGACTACCGTGATAAATTTGAGGCGGTCCGGCGAGTTTATAAGTCGATTGAAACGATATACTCCCTTTTCATTTAGACTTCGATGGACAGGTACAAGTCCCGCAAGAACAGGCAAGCAGAGTATCCCTAGGCTCACCTCAATGAATTGGAGGTCAATGTGTAGGGGAAGTTTGAGATCCAGTCTCGTAAGTGATCACAAACATGGCTCATTTGATGACCAGTATGGTCATGTGCATGTGTTATTCGGTCACCATAGAGACACCATGTTCGATTCGTTTAGCACACTTGATTGATTTGTTTTGATCTCATCAAGTACAGTCCATTTTCCCTCAAGCAGCCATGCAACCCGGTACCCAAAGCAATTACTTAAGAGGAATGAAACGGGAAGAGTGGGTGGCACCGATACCCGGCCGTCCGTGCTTGACAGGCTTGCTGTAAATTGTTAGATTATCATCCAGAATGGCATCCCCAAAAGTCATCGAGAAAACGTACTATGAGATCGAGAACTCTCCAAGGTAATGTCCAACCATCTCCGGCTTGATTTCGACCTGGTTGAACTCCTTGCCGGAGTAGATACCGATGACGCTGCCAATCATCTCTGGCACAACGATCATATCACGGAGATGAGTCTTGACGAGGTCGGGCTTCTCATTCGGCTTGGCCTCCTGCTTGGCCTTTCGCAGCTTCTTGATGAGGCCCATGGGCTTTCGCTTCAGACCACGGTTGAATCGACGACGGGCGCGGGCATGGACGAGATCGCGGAGCTCCTCGGAGGACAGGTCAAGTAGTCTAGCAGCTTTCCGTTAGCATCCTCCAATTTTCCTGGTTGTCAGTTTCCAATACTGGAGGTCCTGAGGTGGGCAGAACGTACTGGTCGAGGTCAACGCCGCGGTAGGAGAACTTGCGGAACGCTCTCTTCTTCTTGAGCTCTGTGTGAAAGTCGAGTCAGCCACCTTCCAAGCGGAATTCCAGTGCAAAGTTTCCTCTGTTTCAGATCTCTATTCCACGTCGAGTATGTGTATCGTGCGGGGAAGGTCTGTTCGCGAAGGGAGTGGGAATTGGGGTGGCATACCGGCAGCCTCCTCGGCGTTCTAAGAAATCAAGGTCAGCATTTCAGCAACATCAAGGGACTGCTCGCGAGGGTACGCACGTATTCGTCAGCCATGATTGCGAAGTCTTCAGGTGGTGGACGAGATGGCTTCGGGTTGCAATGAAGAGGTCGTGGGCGAGCGTGCAGAGGACGTTGACCTCGCCGCGACGACTTGAGTGGGCAGACTAGCCCCGATTTGGATAGTTAGGCGAATCATAAAACCGGCCGTGCACAACATTTGGCATCGTCGAGCTCATTTCAATATATCGATTGCAACGTCACCACCAGCATGATATTCACTTTGATGTCAATAGTTGGAAGAGTACGACTGCTTCATTGGCATAGACTTGTCTTCAGCATCTTCTAGGTATTCCAGAGATTGCTGGCATTGAATTGACATGCAAATTCGAGCCATCCAGCTCGCGCAACGGCTTCCAAACTCCTCCGCATGCCACTCGTCGAATATTCCGTAATGCAAACACCGTTTTCCTTTCCATGCAATGTGTTGACGAAATCCCACAACGACACGCTTAGTCGAAGAGACCGAAACCCATGTCCTCGTCGGACTCTTCCTTCTCCTCCTCCGCAGCGGGCGCGGCGGCCTCCTCGGTAGCAGCAGCAGCGCCACCTGGATATCAGTTAGTTTGAGAGATGTGATAGCGGAGCAAATATCCATACCGGCACCACCAGCAGCTGGTGCTCCGCCTCCACTGCCACCAGATGGCACGGACGCGAGCTTGGATGAACCCTCGGCGATGAGCTAGAACTGTGTTAGCATGGTCTCGCTGCTGAGCACTCCCAGTCCATCGCATACCTCGGAGATGTCCTTCCCCTTGAGCTCGCTCAAGAGCTTCTCGAGACGGTCGGAATCGGCCTCAATTCTAGGTCCATGAGTATTTCCCAATGAGATCTACAGCGATATCACTAACCCAACGGACTCGAGCACTTCGGTGATGTCCTTAGCGGAAGGGCTGGTATTTCCACCGAGGCCGACTGTACATAAGGTTAGTCTCAGCAAGCGACGAGGCGCGAAATTACTGACGGAGAAGGTATGCTGCGAGATGCTTCATTTTGGTAGATTGTGGAGGGTAGGCTTTAGAGAACTAGAGACTCAATCGATTTAACCGCGGTGCCGGAGACTGAGAATACGAGTCCTGAGGTGTGGTTGTTGGTGGAGTCGCAAAGCAAAAGGCGGCGGCCTCAAATTGGACATCCGTTCGTGGGTCACGTGCGCGCCAAGAAATTATTAGCGTCGAATGCGGTTTCCTTGGCTTGGTCTGTTCTGCCCACCTCATCCGTCGACTCTTCCACGCCACTCTCCCGCACATTCACCTGTACACTCTCTCTGGCTCGCGTATAAAGCCTGCCCGGGTCGCCGCCTTCATTCTTCTTCCACCCTCCCGCTCTCTCCAAGCGCAGCATGTGCGTGCTGCCTTCCCACCGACACGACCGGTAGTTCTGAGTCAAACCTACTATCTGCTACGCCACAGACATGAGCGTGAGTCAACTCTCGTCGAACCGCATGACTTTGCTGACTCTGAGTCCTTCCAGTTCCTCACATCACTTCTCTCGGATATCGATCCCAGCGCCGCGGCGCAGGCCCCAACTCCCTCAGTCAAACCGCCGCAACCTCCCAAACCCCCGAAACCGGCACCGATCCAAGCAGCGCCGACCAACGGGATCGCTTCGACACAACCCACGAAGCGCAAAGCTGAGGGCGACGCGACCCCGGTTCCGAACAAGGTCCAGCGTCGAGATGCGCCAAATGGAACGAGTGGGACAGTTCGGCCTGTGCAGGGAGTCTACGGGTCGAAGCCGAAAGCGCCAGGTGCTCCCGACCCACTACCATATCGTGGAACTGCAACGTCCACTACAAATATTTTGAATGCGTCGAAGCCTCAGAAGCGAACTCCGGATCCTTCCTCCAAACCGAGCACAGGAACGCAGTCAACATACACGGGTTCAGGACCTGCAGTGAAGGCCGCGCCGAGGCCTGTGGTTCCCCAAGCGCCTCCAAAGGCCGGGTCTTATGCAGCTATTCTAGCAAAAGCCAAGGAAGCAGCAGCAAATCCCGCAGTCCTGACTATCAAACACAAACCCGCCGAGATTTTGACGAGGAAGGAAAGACTGGCACGGCTAGCGGAGGCCAAGGCTAAGAAGCCGGCTGGGGTAGATAGGAAACCTGCGCCGAACAAACATGCCGCCCCAGGCCACGATGCTGTTCGTGCGAAAGCGGGACCAGCTGGGAAGGAAAAGCCAAAGCCAAAAGCCGTGGATCTAGGATACCAAGGCACTATGCGCCCAAAGCCAACGGTCGAATCAGGTTATCAGGGCACGATGCGCGGTGGACCACCCCCACCACATACACGGGCTGGAACTGGTCCTGCGGCTCGAAAGCAGAGCTTTGACCGGAGTCGAAGTGGTTCTCTCGCCGTAAAGCCGAAAGCAGCAGCACAAAAGGGCGGTAGAATGGCTGGTCGCGCCTACTATTCGCAGTCAGACCTTGACGATGAAGAAGAGGATGACTACGGCTCCGACGAGTCTTCTGACATGGAGGCGGGCGCTTGGGACGTTGAGGAGGAAGAACGCAAAGCGCTCTTGACTGCTAAGAAGGAAGACGAAGAGGAGTTGAGGCGCGAGAATGAGCTTAAGCGGCTCAAAGCCGAGCGTAAGAGGAAAGGTTACAACTAAGTCTTCGTGACTGACCTTTACGGATTGCTTTCAGATTGGTTCGTTGGCTACACTTTTTTTTTTCTCGGTTTAGAGATCATCATGTCCCTGTTTACAGGCCGGATGGAGTTTGCTGCATACCTGCTCGGTGCATGGGCTCGGGCTTGGCTGGTCATGACATTAGCAAGGCGTCCATGTTTGTGTTTTTGGCATACGACGGTCGAGGATCGGTGCTGTCTTCGATGAGCTTTATATCACAGGTAGTACTGCTGTGGGCGATAAAGAGTCCATAGCGTAATTACGAGTATTTGGTAAACCCGTTCTGATCAGCAACCTAATCGATGAGTGACGTACAAAACCTCCTTATAGCTAATACATGTGCATTCAAAAGCCTAACCAGGTATCTGACCGATTATGATAATATCATGAGGCACCACAAGCAGGGGTGGTAACGGGTACAGCACCTCATGAAGAGAGGCTACAAAGGAAGGATTGATGACAAGTATTTTGCTGGTGAGTCTATTCCCTCGTAACCATTTTATAGATCAAGAATTACCCAGAGAGACCAAGGTTTTGTGAAGCTCCAGACCCCAATGTCAAAATATGTATGATGTAGCAAAGACCCAGTCCTAGACACGTCCCTAAATGGAAACCTAAATCCACAGCTCAAACACCAACTCCACAGCATATCGAACATCCACATCTCTCAGCACTCCACAAATCCATCACAGCACCTCCTCCTCCGGCTCCAGAATCCCCGTCGCCCTCCCCTTAATCCTCTCCACCAACCTCACCATCCGCACCACCCCCAACTTCATCGTCTTCACATTCTCCGCACACATACTCTCAATCCTCTCCAGCTCTGTCCGCGGCACCTTCGGGCCCCCAAACTCGCCCTCCTCATACGGCAAAAACGCCACACTCCCCTCCCCCATCTCCAGCACCTTCCCCATATCCCCTAACTCCCTGCTCCTTACCCTCTCCAGCACCTCCCGCATCCTCGCCTCCCGCTCCGCCCCACTCAACGAATCCTCATGCACCGGCACCACCGGCGGATCCTCCCCCTTCCCAAAACTCTCCCACCGCCACCCCGCCGGCATCTTCCCATCCTCCCCCACCATCCCCCGCTTTTTGCTTGGCGCAAACCGTCCCAGGCCACCAAACCGCTTCTTCTGCTCCTCCCGCACCTCCGCGCCCACCAGCCCGTCCACCCACCGCCACATCTCCCACTGCCGCCGGTAGCTGCCCGACAGCAGCTTGTTCCCGTAGTCCAGCGTCGCCTTCAGGTCCGCGATCTCGGCGGCCTGCACGGCGAGCTTTGAGGCCTGCGCCTCGAGCACGGCGGGCAGGTGTGCGGTGTGGGAGGGGTGGAGGCGGTCGAGGGCGCGCTGGGCGTCTTCCTTCGCTTCGCGCTCGGCGTCGACGGAGGCGTGGAGGGCGCGGATGAGGGCGTTGGCCGTGCGTAGGGTGGATTGCGCGTGGTGCAGGCGGGTGGTGGGGGATTGGGGGGTCGAGGGGGAGGAGGGGGGGAGGAGGGTGTAGGCAGAGTCTGAGTCTTCTTCCTCTTGGTGGTCTTGTTTGTGTTTGTGTGAGTGGGGGTGGGCGTCGTAGCCGCCGTTCGCGGTGTTGTAGACGACGTCGTCGACGGTTGAGTCATGCGTCGGTGGCCAGAGGTTTGGGTCGGTGGTTGGCGGTTGGGTCGATGGACCTGCGATGCCGTCGCCTAAGGATATGTCGCGCGGTTTGGTGGCTTTGCCCTTTGATATGTTGCCATCGCCGACGCCTAAGACACCGTTCGGGAGGTGGGTGTCGGGGGTGGTTGGTAGCAGCGTCAACGCGAGAGGGTTCTTCTTCCTTGGGCGCCTGGGCTTTGGACTCAGTGGCTGTATTCCAGTGGCATGAACCAGGTGTGCGAGCTCAGGCACTACAACGCCTTGCACTGGCTGGACGGGCTCATCTGGCTCGACCGCTCTACCCTTTCCCTTATCCGCCTTGGCTGCAGTCTCAGGGGCCGCATCTTTCGACTGTGTGTTTCCGCTGTCACTGCCTCCTCGACGGAACGGTGCCTGCAGGCGTTGCGTGAGGCGCAACAGAGTGTTGGGCATGTCTTCCAGGTCCGCTTCGGAGATTCTTTCGCTGAATATAAGAGATTTGTTTGTAGGCGGCATTATATTATCGTGCTGTTCTGTGAGACAAACCAAGATCTGGTAAACGGAGGCCAAGCGATTGGATATAGGTGCTGCCAAATATACCTTCCTTCACGTTAGAGCTCATGATAGCCATGTGGACAACTAAAACAGCGGTGAGTGTTGCCAGGTCACGATGCCTGGACAACACCGATGATATCACAATGACAATGGAGTGAAGATGAACGAGAAACAGAGATTGAGCATAAATACAGGGCCCTCAAACATCCACATTTTGCTTTCAAGAAAATCGAGATGCGTATCAACAACTGACGAAGAGGATATGAGTAGTGGGGGAGACTTTGATTTTAAAAGCACGTTGCCATGCGTGACACGAGTTCCATATTCAGACAGCCGATGGGGGGACGCATGCTATATTACACATCTATGCGGATGACCATCAGCATAACTGACACCAAAGCTTTGTTAAGAAATACACTGTTCATCCTTCTTTTACACGAAAGACTTGGTGAAGCTGGTGATGATGTCCTTCAGCTTCGCTTCTAGGTCCTTGCTTAGGGCACCTTCCCGGTCGATCTGAGCCAACACCTCAGACTCGTTGCTTCGGAGATGGGCAAGGAAGTCTGACTCCCAGGGGAGGATCTTGGCCACGGGGACGTTGTCGAGCAGACCGTTGACACCAGCGTAGATGAGAGGGACCATCTCGTTAACGGCCATGGGGGAGTATTGCTTCTGCTTGAGAAGCTCGGTCAGACGCTCACCACGGTTAAGGGTCTGCTTGGTGGAGGCATCCAAATCGGAACCGAACTGGGCGAAGGCAGCAACCTCACGGTACTGAGCCAAGAAGAGCTTCAGGGAACCAGCGACTTGCTTCATGGCCTTGAGCTGGGCGGCGGAACCGACACGGGACACGGAGAGACCGACGTTGATGGCAGGTCGGATACCCTTGTAGAAGAGTTCGGCCTCCAAGAAGATCTGGCCGTCGGTGATGGAAATGACGTTGGTGGGAATGTAGGCAGACACGTCACCACCTTGGGTCTCAATGATCGGAAGGGCGGTCAGGGATCCACCGCCGTGCTTGTCGCTCATCTTGGCCGCACGCTCGAGGAGACGAGAGTGAAGGTAGAAAACGCTGTATGTGGGTTAGATGTTGGATAATTCGAATGTTGTACAAATTTGTGACTTACTCTCCGGGGTAGGCCTCACGTCCGGGAGGACGACGGAGCAAAAGAGACATTTGACGGTAAGCAACGGCCTGCTTGGAAAGATCGTCGAAGATGATCAGGGCATGCTTGCCACTATCCCTGAAGTATTCCCCCATGCTTGCTGAAGGAATAATATTTAGCAAAGCTCAAAATCTTCCTTTTCCTGGGGACTTACTGCCGGTGAAGGGAGCAATGTACTGGAGGGGAGCGGCTTCGGAGGCGGTGGCGGCCACAACGATGGAGTACTTCATGGCGTCGTTCTCCTCCAGGGTCTTGACGAGCTGGGCAACGGTGGATCGCTTCTGGCCGACGGCAACGTAGACACAGTAAAGCTTCTTGGTCTCGTCGTTGCTGGAGTTCCACCTCTTCTGGTTGAGAATGGTGTCCAGGGCGACAGCGGTCTTGCCGGTTTGACGATCGCCAATGATCAACTCACGCTGACCACGTCCAATGGGCACCATGGCGTCGACGGACTTGAGACCAGTCTGTACGGGCTGGTTGACGGAGTGACGGGGCAGGATACCGGGAGCCTTGAGCTGAGCACGACGCTTCTCGGTGGTCTTGATGGGACCCTTTCCGTCGATGGGGTTTCCAAGCGCATCGACAACGCGACCAAGGAGCTCCAAGCCGACTGGGACGTCGACCTACAATGCGTTAGCTGAGCCTCATGAGAGCTTGAGAGGAATGCGTACAATCTCGCCAGTCCGCTTGACGGTCTCGCCCTCCTTGACCAAACGATCGGAACCGAAGAGCACAACACCGACCTGGCCGGCTTCCAAGTTCATGCACATGCCCTTGACACCGGACGCGAACCTGATGTAGCTGTCAGTATGCTATGGCCCGCAATGGGTTTGTTTATTTCGGGACGTACTCGACTAGCTCCTCGGCCTGGACATTGGCCATGCCGTGGACACGGGCAATACCGTCACTAGACACCAATTGTCAGCTGTGTCCCTTTCCAATGGCAAGCCAAAGGCAATGCTGTTGTGGTGTTCCAAACATACCCGACAGAGAGAACGCGGCCGGTCTCGGCAAGGCCCGCCTCCTCCTGCACACCTCGAATTCTCTGCTCGAGAATCGAGGACACCTCGGTCGGGGCAGCCTTCGCATCGGCGGCATAGTTGCGAACCTGCTTGGATGCGGTGTTGTAGACGGCCGGGATGGATCGGGTCTATGGTGAAGCGTCAGTGCTCGGCTCGAGAAGAAAAAGCCCTCCTGTGGACCAACAGCGCCAGCATCACGACGAAGCTCTACCGTGGAACCGGAATCGGCCATGAGGCGAGGGCGAAGCTGCAGGCAGGTCCGAGATGAAGAAGGACGCCAATTGCGGGCGCATTGGATGAACTTACCGATGCAATTCTGCCCGAGACAGAGATTGCCGCGACCCGGCTCGACTGGCGGATGGCTCTCGAGAACATTGTGATGAGCTCAAGAGGCTATTCGGATAGCACTGCTATCAATTGAGATTGAAGCAGGAAGGATAGAGGGGAGATTGGGAGAGGGTGCGATGGAAGCTGCTGGGGAGAAGAAGCAGGAGCGTCGGCTCGCTCAAGCGGATTCCAAGGTCCTGGACGGTCACGTGCTTGGCCGCTCGACCCGCCAGTGCTTTTCGAGCATAGCGGCATTTTACTCAACACTCCCAGCACTTATAGCAATAGTCCGTAGAACTGAAGTAGTTTTATTGAATGCATATACAGTTTTCTGCTACGCACGAAATGCCCACAGCATTGCACAGCTTATTGCCCAGCTCAGAAATGCCTCCTCTCCTCCAATCACTCCCGGAATGCCTTCCCCAGCGTCTCCCCTCCAAATGGGGATGCTCAGTCGTATTTTGATGCCAATTTAGCTTCGTCACACATAGATAGAAATTGCCGCTGCTGAAACGGTCCGTCATAGCTATGCTTCCCACCGAGTGATAACCTCCTCCAAATTGAGCCCGCCCTCGGTTCCGCCGATCTGCTTAGCCATCACCATGCCCTTGGAAAGCCCACCTCTCAAGGCGTCTGCTGACTAGGTCGTCTTCTTCGCGCCGTTCGCCTTAGCCTCCTTCTCTTGCTTGAACTTCCGAATCTCCTGCTCCACCCCCTTATCCAGCCGACGCCTCAATTCCGGGCGGTATCCGAAGTAGAACAAGACTTCGAGCCAGACGAACAGCGGAGCGAGGAACAACGCCTGCACGAGGTTGTCCAAGAGCGCTGGGGCCCTGCCCTCGAACTTCCCATGGCCAATGAATTGGAGAATCCAGGCTACCGCGTTGATGCCCGCCGCCCAGTAGTTCACAGGGGCTCCATAGATCGAGGTAAGGTAGTTCGAATACGCCGTGCTAGGAATGATGAACAGTGACAGCGCTGTCCCAGCCACGGGCTCCATTAGGACGTAAAGCGTGGAGTATAGCAAGGCAGCCACGGTACCCAGGTTCAATGGATAGTAGGGTATGGAGAGCCATGAAGGCAGCGGGATATTTGGAGAATTGGTGGCCTAGAGAGTATTGCATGAGCGGGTACCTTCGGATTAATGCGGTAAAGTCTTACAAGGAGCATGAACGTCACCAGTATGATTGGGACGCACGTAATGTGAATGCCAATATTGACCTTTCACATCTTATATTAGTCGTCAAGCGGCGGACAGTGCATCTGGCGAGCTCACTGGGTTGGAGTGGTAGGCTCCATACTGCGCGCTGCTGGTTAGACTTGGCGATGTCATGCATTCTCTGGGGGGGCACATACGAACAGGAGCTGTTTCTCGAGGTTGAGCGACATGGCGGGAATGTTGTTCCGGGTTAGGGTTTCCTCAAGCAGACAAAGAACAAAAGTGGCAGCGTCTTGCAGCTGTTCGGGGCATGCTTTGATGAGCAGAGGGACAAAGCGGCCAGAAGTGAGGCCGGCGACACCGCAAGAACTAGAGGATTCACAAGAGCGTTGCAAGCTGCCTCACGACATTAGCGGACAGCAGAGTCGTTCGCTGCCGAGGACTGGCTGTGTTGTTCTCGCGCCACTATTCACATGACCTGGCCGGCGATCGGCGAAACTCGTTCCGCTCCCATTTTCTCGAGAAGGCGCGACGGACCACGCTGCCTCACATCCTGCCTCCAACCACTCCTCGACGCGCCCTCTTCCACGACCCCTACTGCGAGCCCTTGACAGTGCAAGGTGCTCAGGGCATAGCCGCGACCACCGCTGGCATCGACTGCGCCGGCGCGCATGGACTGTTGGGTCGGACGCGGACATACTTTTACATAGAGGTGCTCTTGGACTGCCACAGGCACAGGGACGAGCGCGCATCCTGTCGCAGCCTCTAGAAGAGCTGTGAGATACTGGGTGAAGACTAAAACAGAGAGCCTGTCGAGCGGCTTTCACCAGCGAGGAGCGCAATACCGCAAAAAGCGTGTCCGGAGCGCTCTCCTTACCGCCTTCTCGACACTCTCCTCACTTGCCGTGAACGCGCCACAGAAGCATCATGTTCTTCCTCTACGAGCTGGAGAAGACGATCCAGCTGCACCCCTCCTTCTTCGGCCCTCTCATCCGATCGCACATCCACAGGGAGCTGCTCGCAAAGGAAGAGGGCTCCAACACCGGCAAATACACCATAGTATGCATTCTGGACTCGTTCGAGGTCTCGGAAGGGCAAGTTGTTGCTGGAACCGGGCACGCCGAATACACGGTGCACTACAAGGCCGTGGTCTGGAGACCATTCCGGGGAGAGATTGTGCGTGCAACTCTACTTGCGCCGACGTGAGCTCCTGTTGACTTTTAAGCAGATTGATGGTGTCGTGTCCTCAGTCATCCGTTCTGGGTTCTTCGTTGAATGCGGCTCTCTCCAAGCTTTCGTAGGAAGAAGTGTAAGTTGCCGTGATATTGTAGCGTTGCGAACAAGTAACTCAACGTTGCTAGATGATTCCCTCCGAGATCAAGTACGATGCAAACGCTACGCCTCCCCAGTGGACTGACAACGCGGAGCAAATAATTGAAAAGGGGACGCAGATCCGTATCAAAATCAAGGGTCTGCGGTCTGAGGTCGACAAGATGTTTGCCATCGGCACGATGAAAGAGGTGTGTTTTGATCTCCTGGCTTGCTTTGATCACTGCTAACTGATCATGTGTAGGACTATCTCGGGTAAGATCTTTGAAGACCAATATGTGCGTGGAGATGTGCTAATCTGTGCCGCCTTTAGACCTCTGATGAGCTGAACGGCCTGTTCGCCGAGTTTTGCGGGTCTCAACCGCTACCAGTTGCACCTGAAATAAGGGCTATATGAAGGGAATGCTTTCTTCAGGGCGCCACGTGAAGAGCAGTGGCAGGAGCTTTGCTGGACCGCGCAGACCAGTCGATTGGATACCTACTTTTGGGCTTGCCCTGAGGGCTACTCCCATAGCTAGATTAGACACTGTCATAAGGAGGCAAAAGCTTTCAAGAATCAATAATACAAAGGAACTTCTGGTTCCAGATCTAGTTCTCAATAGCTGCCATCCTTTCTGATGTTCTGGATGCTCACAACAAAGCATGTGGCTGGCTAGTCTAGTGCCTCCCAATTCTGGGGAAGCCGAGCGCCGAAGCAGGGCTCCGAACATCAATGCACCCATCCGATACAGGGCACGTAGTAGCATGCCAACCTCGAATTCCGGACCGTATTGAAGCGAGTTTACTCAATTCTCTCGAAACTTGCATATTCGAATACTATTAGACCATGAGATAACCTACACTCGTCCACCTCACCCTCATCATGCCTAGGGAACGCGCCGTGAATGACGAGGAGACTCTGCCTCTCACCAAAGAAGAGTTGCCTCCGCGAACCTCCGAAGACGATTCGAACGCCTCAGTCTCCTCGGCCTCAACCACTTCCTTAGTCCTCGAGCATATAAACGACGAAGCGGCGAGATCGCGACCCCAAGAGAAATATCGAGATGACCACGACGACGACGACAGGCGGGCGGAGGAATTCGATGTGGAAGATGCGCGCTTCGCTCCCATTCAGCCCGTAGACAGGAAAGCACGGCGGCTCTTATGGATACTGGCCATAGTCTGCGCTGTGGGATGGGGTCTTGCGCTGGTTGTATTGCTTATGGGAGGCAGCTACAAGCACGCCTCGAAGCGGCCCCACGACCCTCTCGCGACGGCTTCGAGGGGCTCTGGGAAGAAGGTCACCCTGGACCAAGTTATGAGTGGTGTTTGGAGACCTCGTCATGAGAGCGTTTCTTGGATCGCGGGCCCTAAAGGCGAGGACGGGCTGTTGCTTGAACGTGGTGGTGTATTTGGTTCGGACTACCTCGTCGTCGAGGACATTCGGCGCGCAGAAGGCGATGTGTCTTCCGCGGATAAGACTACGCTTATGAAGTCGGCATCTTTCTTTGTCGGAGACAAATTTGTGAGCCCGAATAGGGTTTGGCCAAGCAAAGACTTCAAGAAAGTCCTCGTTTTATCTGAAGAGGAGAAGAACTGGAGGCATTCATTCATTGGGCTGTATTGGATATTCGATGTGGAAAAGCAAACCGGCGAAGCGCTCGATCCTGCGAAACCGGAGGCAAAGATTCAACTGGCTTCTTGGTCACCACAGTCAGATGCCGTTGTGTTCACCAGGAATAACAATATGTTCCTACGCCACTTGGGCTCCGACTCAGTGACCCAAATCACCAAAGATGGGGGCCCGGAGCTGTTCAACGGTGTTCCTGACTGGGTGTATGAAGAAGAGGTCTTCTCTGGCAACATTGCAACCTGGTGGTCTGAGGATGGCGAGTACATTGCCTTCCTCCGGACCGACGAGTCTGCTGTGCCTACTTTCCCCGTCCAGTATTTCCTCTCCAGACCAAGCGGCAAGAAGCCAAAGCCCGGAGAAGAGAACTACCCAGAAGTACGGAACATCAAATATCCAAAATCTGGCGCGCCGAACCCTACCGTAACGCTGCAGTTCTACGATGTTGCTAAGAACGAGGTCTTCTCAGTAGATATCGAAGATGATTTCGCGGACCCTGATCGCCTCATCACCGAGATCGTATGGGCCGGACGCAGCAAGCAAGTCCTAGTGCGAGAAACGAACCGTGAAAGCGACATCCTCAAAGTTGTTCTCATGGATGTCGAGAGGCGCACTGGCAAGACTGTCAGAACTGTTGACGTAAACGCTATCGATGGAGGCTGGTTCGAAGTTTCTCAAAAAACCACGTTTATTCCTTCAGACCCCGGCAAAGGACGCCAACACGACGGTTACATAGACACTATCATACACGAAGGCTATGACCACATTGGATATTTCACGCCCCTCGACAACCCAAAGCCAATTCTCCTCACCTCGGGCAAATGGGAAGTCGTCGATGCACCGTCAGTCGTAGATCTCAACAAGAATCTCGTATATTTCGTCTCTACCAAGGAGAGCTCGATTCAGCGCCACGCCTACTACGTAAAACTGGATGGCACTGGTATGACAGCAATCACCGATACGAGCAAAGAAGGGTATTACGGAACTTCTTTTTCCACAGGCGGTGGATATGTCCTGCTGTCATACGAAGGCCCTGGCATCCCGTGGCAGAAAGTCATCAGCACCCCCAGTAACAAGGACCACTACGAAAAGACACTAGAGGAGAATAAGGGCCTGGAGAAACTCGCAAGAGAACACGAACTTCCAATCTCGAAGTATGAAACAGTCCATGTAAACGGCTTTGACATCAACGTTTTAGAGCGCAGACCACCGCATTTCAACGCGAAGAAGAAGTACCCCGTCCTGTTCTACTTGTACCAAGGGCCTGGGTCTCAGATGGTGGAGAAGAAGTTCCACGTGGACTTCCAAGCCTATGTTGCTTCTAGTCTCGGCTATATTGTTGTCACGGTCGACGGACGCGGCACTGGGTATCTCGGGCGGGACCTACGCGTAATCGTTCGCGGTGTCATCGGCTATCACGAAGCCGAAGATCAAATTTCAGTTGCGAAGATCTGGTCGAAGAAGAGCTACGTTGACGAAGAAAGGATGGCAATCTGGGGCTGGAGCTATGGCGGTTTCATGACGCTCAAGACTTTAGAGCTTGATGCAGGAGAAACTTTTAAATACGGCATGGCAGTTGCGCCAGTCACCGACTGGAGATTTTACGGTAAGACACTGCTTTCCTCCCTCTCCCTGCTGAACTGTACTAATTACATCAGACTCTATCTACACGGAACGCTACATGCACACACCCCAGCACAACGCCGCCGGCTACGACAACTCCTCAATCCACGACGTCAAATCCCTCGCGAAGAACGTCCGCTTCCTCCTGATGCATGGCGTTGCGGATGACAATGTCCACATGCAGAATTCTCTTACCTTACTAGACAATCTAGATTTAGGAGGTGTGGAGAATTACGATGTGCATGTGTTCCCAGATTCAGATCACAGCATCTACTTCCACAATGCGAACCGCATCGTCTATGATAGTGAGTGCAGTCCCCACTCATAACCTGAATATAGCTAACGTTCTGGTAGAATTAAGCAGTTGGCTCGTCAACGCGTTCAATGGCGAGTGGCTACGGATAGAGCATGCAGTGCCTGTACAGGTTGAGGGGAAGACTCGGAAGCATTGATTGGGTTGGTAGCATCGGCGTTCGGGCATTGGGAATTTGGGCTTAGGTTATCTGTACTTCTATGCAAGTCCGTCCACATTGGAGAGTTATGAAGTGTTGAGTCTTTGGATAGATTTTAGTAAAGCATCGACGCTTATTAGAACTTGCACATGGCTTAGTGAGGACCTTAGCCAGAATATGAGAGTCACGAAGTAGCTAAGGTGATACAGCTACATATTACTTCGTATAATGGGACCGCGCTGGGCGTGTAGACTACTAGGTAGAATTTTAGACTGTGGCTGTCACATTTAGGAGGTCGTGAACTGAACATGAGGGCTTCGAAGTGGGCGAAAGCGCTAGAGCTGCAGATCGAAACATGTGATAGCTTCGCGTTATGGCTATGGGCAAGATATTGGAGGCCGCCTGAGGGATATAAGATGAAGAACTCCCGATGTAACGGTTTGCAGGTTGTGAATTGAGTAAACAGTTTTTAGCTGAAGCCACCATATGGGGTGCTTCAGAATGTTGCTATATTACACAGTAAGGTATACCATCCTCACAGCTTACTCTCCTTCTCCCCAATAACATTCAGGAACGCCTGATGCACATGCTCCGTCAGATCCGCCGCCTGTAAACTCCTCCCCTTCTCCTTGAACGCCAACCTCGAACACTCCCTCGTAAGCGCACTGCCCCCAAACGCCGCCAACGCCAGCGTCTCCTCCCTCCCCAAATCCCCTTCATGCTCCCAGATCCTATCCAAATACGCCTTCCGATACGCCAACAGCGTCGCCAGACTCCCCGTCAGCGTATCCCCCTGCCCGCCACTCCTCTTCAGCCCGCCCTCCCCCTCCGACACCAGCGTCGTCGTCCCATTGCTAATATAATCCTTCGCCCCCTTCTGGATAATCGTAACGCCTCCAAACGCCTTCGCCAGCTTCGCGCACAGCTCCTCCGGCTTCCCCTCCGCCACATCCACCCCCTTCGCCTTGGCCAGCCGCCCGAACTCGACCACGTTCGGCGTCAGGATGCACTCCTTGCAGCCGTCGACCAGCTCCGGCCGCGTCTGCGCTAGGAACAGCCCGTCCGCGTCCAGCACGAACGGGATGCCCTGCTTACGCGCTTCGGCGATCACGCGCGCGCACGTGTCTTGCATGAGTTTGTCGCGCCCGAGGCCGGGGCCGATGACGATTACGTGCAGCCGGGACAGCATGGCGATGACTTCGGAGGCGACGGTGTCGAGGGACTCGGAGGCGGCGAGGTTCTTGGATTGCCGCATGTAGGGGTGCACCATGAGGTTTGGGGAGTAGGATTTTATGACGGCGCCGGCGCCGGGCTCGCAGATTACGTGGCTCTGGGGGAGAGAGTTAGAAGGGTTATGTTTTAGAAGGGAAGAGGGGGAAGGGAAGAGGGGGAGGTACCATGTCGCAACCTAGCTTTGCGGAAGCCATGGCGGAGAAGTAGGGCGCGCCGGTGTAGTCTTCGCTGCCGCCTATAACTGCTACGCGGCCTAATTGACCTGGGGAGAAGTTAGTATGAGGAGTTGATAGCTTTGGGACGAAGAGATAGGGTAGTTGCCTTTGTGAAAGCTCTCGAGCATTGGTGGTATCATCTTGTATACCTTGCCAATCAGCTCTTTTCTTGTAGCGTTCGCCATGATGAAGACTTTGGAGAGTACTGGAACAAATTAGGACGGGAGAGGAAAAGGAATTAGAAGTTTTTGGCTGTGTTTTGGGACTGTAGATCTTTTTGAATGATCATTGCAGCTGTCATGGTTTGGGACTGGTGAGCCGCGGGGTCATTTGGACGTCATGCGGGTGCCTTTAACAAATTTGTCTCCACACTCAAAGTAATTATATATTATAATAAGAAGAGCATAGCTCCAATTCACGTTTTCCGAACTTTGGTACTCCATCTCTAAAATATACCACCTCTAAGAGGTTCTGTAGAAGTCTATATATACACCCAGTGCTGTATTACACATTACCCGATATAGAAAGTACTCGACCTACGAACATCAGCCTAATTTATGGCGTCTAGAACTTTGACTGGTAGCTCTTAGACTGTGTGCCCCCAGAAGGTCCCTATATGTAGTACATATCTGCCCAGCGCCGTAGTTCACTTAACTCAATATGTGCTTCACACATGAACAGACGTTTGCTTTCCAAACTGTAGACATTTAGATCAAGAATCCTGAAGACCCCTTCCCATTCTGGAATTTATTCGACACTATAGGCGGTCTCGAAGCTACTATCCCTCTGAATCGGTTGTGTCACGGTGTTGAGGGGTCCTCCACCAATTCTCTTGGCACAAATCCCAGCCCCACACACGTCATAGGAATCGCGAGTCGCCTCTAAAAGAATCCCATCCCGCACCGCAATTGCATCCTCCCCCCCCCCCCCCCAAACTTTCCCACAGCGTTTCTCCCAGCAAGTAACTCAATTGCACCCCCCCACAACCCCACATCCAACTTTCCTCCCAGAAAACGCTTCAGCCATGTCCGACCTCGATCCCCAAGGCTCGTCCCAACCTACTTCAAACGAAGCGTACACCACACCCGGCAACCCTGCAGGCAAAGACCCAGTCGAGAAACGGCAGGCGGCGCAGAATGCGCGCTCGAACCCGGGCTCTGATGACGTTGAGCATGTGCGGTCGCAGGGCCACTCGCAGGAGGAAGGGACGTTCTCGTCGCTCGGTCGCGGGGTGCGTGGTGGTGGAGACGGAGAAGTAGGGAAGACGGAGGAGCAAGTGGGGAGGCACAATGAGCTGGATGCCGAGCAGATGGCTGTGCCGGGCGAAGGGAGGATCAGGGATGCTGTGGCTGGGAATTCTACGTTCCAGGGGAGGAGTGGAGAGCAGGAAGACCTTGCTTCGGATTTGGATAGGTGAGTGGAATTGATATGAACGAGTTCTTTTGGGGTTGAGGACTAATGAACTGGAATTGTAGGAAGAAGGCTGAGCAAGCACCGCTTCGTGGGGAGATCAAGGAGGATAGGGCGAAGGGGATTGATGTGGGCGGTATCCTGGGTCAGTCTGGTGGTCCTGCCAGCACTGTGGACTAGGTTGGATATGTGAGAACTTCAATCTAAGAGTCGGCCTTTTCTCTTCTGGAAGAATGAATTTGACTACACGGAAAATGGCACTCAGACTTCGACTTGACCTTGTGTATTAGTAGTACAGTACCAACACCTCCATAAGCTTCTCTAGGTTGGGATCTTGAATCTGTATTGGCATTCTGTCTGTGCCTCGATTGAACGCCCGTCTCATCCCATGGTACTGATATACCCACGACCTTTTGCTATGCTGAAGTTTCGCTGCCAACACAACGACGCCAAATGATCCAAACAAACGCCTCCGGCATGATAATGAAGAAGGTATCCAACGCCAAACTCCGTCGCTATGATGTGTGGTTCACTGACTTATTCCGCCGTGGAAAAAAGGGTTATCGTGAAAATCGAAAAAGTGTTAGGCTGTGCCGGGCTGGCGAAGCTAAGTTACCAACGCCTTCATTCCTCCATTAGATGTCCGTTTGTCTCGACAGAATCGACTGCTTTGCCCTTCATATCGTTACTTAAGTCCGGTTTTGCGGCTCGCTGCTGCGTACGCAGCCTCCACTCCTCAATGCTCTCGACAGGGCCTCCCTCGATCTTGACTGGCTTTAGTTCCGACGGCTGGCCGAGGACAGTTCCTTGGTAGCGCGATTCCACGCCGGTCTTGCTGTGCTTCTTCATGAGTGCTATGAACCGTTAGCCACAGATTTCTCTACCTTAATAGCATAACATGAGGATGCGCGTACATGTCAGATAATCCTCCATCTCCTTAGAATCCAGGTCCGCAGTTGTCGTTATAGCAGCAGGAGGCGGCGCGCCCAGTCCCGCAATCCTCTGAATTTCCCGGTTCTGCTCGCCCTCGATCCAGTCCAGGAACGCCTTGACATCCTGAGTGTCTTCCTCATCGCGCTTGATCCGCTCCTTCTCCCGAAGCCCGTTCCTCTCTGGGTATTCTGCTAAGGGCTTGCGCAGCATCTCCTTCCACGCCTCTTCTCCCGGAGTCAAGGACGGCACCAGTAGACCGCAATCTTGGAGGGCCATACGCACATCCGTGATATCAGGCTCCGGGGTGTTGTGGTTGGCGACGGCATTCTCGGCGGTTCTGGACGCGAGGAGGAGGATATATCGTGTTGTGATATCGGTGAGAGTATCGAGGACGGAGGGCTTCGCGGCGTGGAAACCAGCAGCGCGGAGGATGTGGAGGATCGCCGGCCGCAGCAGCGAGTTGTGCAGTGTGTTGGAGGACATTCTCGAGTCGGAGTGAGTCTCCTCTCGGGTCACGGCGGAGAGTGAAATCGACAGCAGCTTGACATGACCGGTAGAGCGGGGGGAAAGAAGGTTTCGGGAGTGGAGCTCAATTCATCTGAGGTTCACGCACGTGACTCACCGCCCGGATGACTCAGCATCGGCCATCTCGCGCCCTTGCTGCACGTCACCTCACTCCCTCACATTCCTGAGTACACGTTATATCGTGAACGCCTCTATATAAGACCTTACCGCTACTCGCACTGCATCTTCGCGACTGAACCTAACTCGTCTGATACCACGGCGCCACGCCGGCGACCTAGTGAACCTTTGAATAGGTGAACCACCAAGATGCCGCTCAAGTTAAAGCTCAAGACGTCGACGCCTGCGGACGGCTCTAGCAACTCACTACATACACCATCCGGGCCTCCCAAAATAAAGCTCAAGATGGGCTCCTCCCTGCCACCCACTCCGGCCAACGAGCACCCTCCCGACCTCTCAGCGCCCGTCCGCCAGAAGCGCAAGTACAATAAGAAGCCCAAATTCGACGCGGACGGAAACCCCATCGTCGCAGCACCAAAGGGCTCCTCCAAGAACAAGAAAAGGGCAAGAGACGAGGACGACGAGGAGGCGTCACCCCCAGCGAAGCGGAAAACCAAAGGCCCTGGGCACCCTCTTTCTATAATACCGCCGACCCAAGGCCAGAGAATGATACCGAAGCTGAAGCTCACCGCCCGCACGCCTGGAAGCGCTGCGCCGGTGTTCAAGCTTAAGTACCAAGGCAAGCCGCCGCCGCGACCGCTGGGTGTGGGCTATGACAGCGAGTGCGAGGACGCTGAGATCGACCCGACGATCCACTCCCAGTTTGTGCTTCGTATGCAACCAGGTCCAGACTGTGACGCCCTACATAAAGCTATCGAAGAGAAGAAGATTGGCAAGCCGTCGAGCGATGGCGGATTTTCAGTATACTTCCGATTCTTCGATAAAGAGGCACGCCGCTCTATCGTCGTGGTCAACGGCACACGGTACGCGGCGGCGATGGTCGACCTCCCTTGCATTGTGGAGTCCATGAAGAGTTGGAACAAGCGAGATTGGGTGAAGAGCGCCGACATTTGCCAGATGCTGCTTGTGCTCGGGCCGTGCAAGACAGACGAAGAAGCCAAAGCCTTCATGCTCCCTCAAGAAGTCGACCCGGAACTCCACCAGTATGCCCATGGGCTGACACCCCCGATGCACTGGGTGCGCAAGCGGCGCTTCAGGAAGCGCGAGAACTTCCGCAAGATCGAGGAGGTAGAGGCTGAGGTGGAGCGCCTGCTAGAACTCGACCGCAGGGCAATGGAGTCGGGTGGCAAGTCGGAGTACAATTTGGTGGATATCAACGACGTCGACGATGATTCGGAAGATGATGGATACTACGAGCAAGACGACGAGGTGGAGATGGACGTCGACGAGCCGGACGAACCTGTAGAAAGGGGCTTCGTGGAGGATGAAGACAACGACGAGCTCGCCCAAATGCTCCAGGAGCAACTCGCAGAAGGTGCAGGTCCTGGCGAAGAAGCATATGGTGATGCAGGCGCAAACGGAACCCACGTAGGCCTCGTCGCCGAATCCTCGCAAGTCGCATCCTTCCACGATGTCGCGATGCACGCTCTCGGCGCCGACGTCACCGACGCCGTCCCGACCACGGAGACCCAGACCCCCAACTCGCCCTCCGTCGCCGAAACCAACTCCGAAGGCGACGACGACGAGGAAGAAGAAGAGTCGGAGGAGGAAATCGACGCGGATACCCTGGCAGCGCAGCAAGAGCTCGCCCAGCAGAAAGAGGAGATTGCGGATCTGGAGAAGGAGATCGCGGACGCGAATGCACAGCTGCAGAAGCAGACGAATCCGCTGCTCAGGAAGCGTATCGTGAGCAAGATTGAAACGTTGACGAATGATTTGAATTTGAAGAAGACGAGTTTGGGGATTGAGGTGGATTGAGCGGTGCGTTTGGACTTGCGTTTTTGGTAGGGATGGGGTGCTGTGGATGGGACAGGTTGCTGCGACATCTGCTTTTTTTTCTCGCTAACGGCGCAGCTTATGATATGTACTTGTATTCGCGGGAGGATGTGTGAATGTGGGAGCGTCTACAGCGCCTTGAGCGGGTGATCGGCGCGCGCTCGGAATCATCCGCGAGGGCTATAAAGTAGCAATTGAAGGCTGCGAGGAAAAGAGCCCGTTGATGAAGAGCTTATGTCTGGTGCTGGCGAGAGGCCTATAGACCTACAGCAGAGCAGAGATTCCAGCGAGACCTTTACGAAAGGTCAGTATTAGATAACGTGGCCTACTCACATAAGTCTGAGAGAGTCCAATGCGCAAATTAATATACTCAAATCCATCTGCTGCGCTCACGTCGTTCACAGCGCCTTGTCATACCCTCCATTTGTCACTAAAGACACATACAATACACCTCACGCACAGTCTCATCTCAGCTCAGCAAGTTCAAAATCAACAGGACTAGCATTTCAATCATACGGCCCAACGGCGATCAGCCGCGCCAAAAACCCGTACCGTAGCCTATTCATAGTTTATATAGCCAGCAGCCCGGAACCGAACGTTCTCAAAAAACAGCACTCCGATCCAAATGCAGAAAGTTGTAACATGAAGGGGATATGATACAGGGGGTTTGAAGAGAAAGAGGAAAATCAACAGCGCTTGCCGATCGGTCTGGGAAGAAGAGAAGAGAAAAGCGCGTCGGCCTGTAATGTAATACAGGGTTTCGATAAGAACGAACCTTGTGAAAAGGTTGAATGGTGGAGGTTGATCGTACATAGCCAATTTGATAAAAAAGCTTCGGCTCGTACATACGCAGCCCAGCCGAGCAAAACAAAACAGTCTAAAATGGGAATCTCAGACCCTATGGTGCCTATGATGCCACGGGTGGGAATAAAAGGAGGGAGGTCGAAATGAAAGCGAAGTTTAATGAACCGGACTCGAGTCTCAAAAACGCCGTTAGTCCGCCGTAACAGGGACATTATGATTGCTTCTTGTTGTCATCCTTCTTGTCTTTTTTCTTGCCCTCGCGCAAGTGCTTGACGCCATCGCTGATGCCGTCCTTGAACTTCTCCCACGGATTGCGGTTGAGGCGGTTGCTCAGCTGGCGGTAGTGGTACATCTCGCCCCAGCAGTCGCGGCCCCACTCGCAGCCGGCCATGTTGACGAGGAAATCTCGGTCCTTCTCCTTGTAGTGGATCATTGGGTCGTCGCCTCGCTCGCCGCAGGCGCCGGGCGGGAAGCTGTTGACTTTCCGCTGCTTGATGAAGGCGACGTGGGGACGCACCCAAGGCTGGTTCCGGTACATGGCCTCCAGCGAGTCTTGCTCCTTGTGTTCCCATTCCATGTGTTTTTGTTCGTACCCGACGGGGTCCCACCAGATGTCTAAAAGGCGGTCGGTCCACACGCTTCGGCGAACGAAGAAGGATCCTAGGTTGAAGCCACTGCAGTCTTGAGGCACGATCAGGTTGATAGAGCTTGGCTTTCCATCACCGACGGCCGACCTAGTTTCTGGATCGAGGTGTTCGCCTGTAAGAGGGTGACTGATGTTGAGGGGATTGAAAACATTGATGTCTCTATAGGTATTCTTTTGTAGATTGTTGAAGATGTGCGATTGGAGGGAGTAAGATGGTTCCATTACGAAGGTGTTGAGATCTAACCACCAAAACCTGCAAGTTGTTAGCAATGGTGTGAGAAGGAATGTAGTCAATACTGACCATTCTGCGTGAGGGTATTTGCGCATCGTATTGCGAATCGTGTCCACCTTTTCCCAGCTCTCTCGCCATTCGTGCGCATAGCGCTTTTTGGTGCTCATATCCACAATCTCCAATTCGTAGCCCCAATTCCTTGCGTACTTCTTCTTGTTCTTCACGCTGTCTCTCTCAATTGCCCATTCACGAGGGCCCTTCCACTCCATGACACCCCCGCCTTGATTGGCTGCTAATATAATCACAAATTTGCTGCCTCCGCCGAGAAATGAGGTCCTGCGCCATAGTCGATATAGCGCTGTTACTGTTAGATAATCGAATTTACGCGGGGATAAAAGACCTACGAGTGACATAAAACAACAGGAGGCATAGAAGCAACGCGGCGACCACGAAAAGCGGTTTTCTCCAGCGCCACATTTTCCTTCCCACCCTAGCCAAGCCTTGTCCCAACCGTGTCCTTTGGAATCTCGCCCACCGGCCTCGGCCAAATTTGTCTTTCTCAGCGTATGAGGGCGCGAATGATGGTAGACTTTGCGATAAAGTCCGCAGGTGTCTGTTGAAGAAGTTGTTGTTGCGTGGCGCGAAGGCTCCGTATCCCTTGACTTCTGCGCTCCGTGCCTGAGCAGCGGCCCATGTAACGTCGTGCGCTCCGCCATTCGCGTATCCCCTCATCGGACTCGACCGTCCACTCGTGCCTTGCGGTGTCATCAGCCCCGGACTCGACCATCCCCCACCGTGATGAGGCGATGGGGATCTCGACGACATTCCAGTAAAGTCGGCGGGCGTGCCGGGGATTGTTTCGAGGTGGTCTCGATGGTCTCGGTAGTCTCCTGCAGCACTGCCTACGGCACTGCTGCCAGAGGTCGACCCAAATCGGTCCCTTGATGTAGAGCTTTCCGGCAGATGCAAGGCCGGGGGAGCCCTCGCAGCAGACGAGCGCCTCCGGCGATGGGCGACGGAAGGGGTGAGGGAGGGTGAGGTCGCCACAATGAGGGTAGGTATGGGACGGAGGGAGAATTCGACGAAGAGGACAGACTGCTCGAGTCTGCGCGGTGCGTCGTCCTGCGGCCCTGAGGTCACTGGGCAGCAGCCAAGCTGTCCAAGCAGGGAGTCTGGTGCAGAGGGTGCAAGGAGGACGGGCTCCGAGGCGCTGTGAAACTGGGCAAGCAAGGCAGCCAAGAGCTTGCGGCGCAAGAGAAGGGCGCAAAGCCAGATGGCACCAGATTGTGAGGGTTAAGGCGATCTCGGCGAGCGTCCGGGGTCGTGTACGCTAAGGGTCTATGTGTTCCCTGGGAGGGAGGTGAGGCTGGTAACGAGCGTGGGATGCAGCTGGACAGGCAGCGTGAGTGGCCGCAGGAATTGCTGGAGCAGGGGAGGGGGTTATATTTGGACGGGGACGAGTTCATCAGATGCCAGAGACAGCGTCGTCCTGGGGCAGAGACTTGAGAAGAGCAGGCCGGCTGGGCGCTGTTTTCAATTAAATGAGGACAGATTTTTGCCAGGCCCATATCGATATCTGCATAGGGGCCAGGAGCATCCCTCTCTCTATCGCACCCGTCATTTGGTGGGCCTTGGCACGCGATTGCACGCCCCCGGCGACCGCCACTTGCGCTGCGCTAGCGGATGGTGCAGTTCTGGTGGAGTTCCTCTCCAGGTTGTTGGCCAGGAACAGGAGACGCGCTGTGCTGACGGGCGAGGCAGCTGAAGACCAACTCCTGTCGTTCGCGACGCGATGCCCAAGAGAGCAGGCCACAACACCTGCTGAGCCTCTATCCCGACTTCAACTGGCAGGACCAGCCTTCCTCTCGTCCCCGATCGGCTGCTGCTGGGCCACTACCGAAGGTAATATAAAACGCCATGTCGCCGAGATTATCGTCTCCTGCACGCCCCAGGGAACCCGCTGCAGTAGCACCTATCACGGCCCGCCAAGCACCGTGAGCGGACAATGCGCCCCCTCTTTGGGCTTGAGCCATGCGGCGGAAAACAAGCTTAACCGCGAATGACGAGAGTCTGGGCGAATGGCCTGGCCCGGTCGCCTCCTCTACAGACATGCAGCTGTCGCGCCGGATGGTGTTGAGGACTCCGGGGAGCCCCAACTCCAAAATACCCCTTGTGCACCACTGAGTCTTAAGATATGCCTGGCTTACTACGAGAGACGTTTGCAGCGTCAAATGTAACTTCAGACGGGTGTTCCAACCTCTCGACGACCTCATCGTGGTACTTTTCAGCTGTAATGTGCGCTTTTCTAGTTCAGTAATTCAATAGATATGCTTCTCACCACCCATGCAAGTCACGATGATAAAGACGGAACCTTGCGAAAATCTCCTGTTTCGCACAGTAAGCATGCATGATTAGAGAGCCAGCCCCGACGGCACATCCGTGAAGTGACAAGAGAAGTGCTCTCGTCGGATCACCTCCCGCCTGCCTTCATATGTACACAACTCCCCCCACCCCCTCCCCCTCCCCCCCCCCCTCCCCACCCCTCCCTCCCTCCCCTTTACGACGACTGGAATCCCGTTAGCTCCCTCTAGCTGCCAAGGGCGGAACGAAGCGTGCCTTGGCGCCTTAGGAGATTAACGGCGCCTAACGCTGCAGGTACAAAGGTACCCTCCCACGACTGGCCGGATGCTCGCCCACTCTCCCAGTCCGCCAGCAAACCCAGCAGACGGCCCTCTCTCACGCGACTCGGCTTCATCGCCGCTCTGATTCCTGTGTGTCCCCTCAGCGAATACCTGGCGCCTACGAGCCTCCGACACCCTGCCCATGGCGCTCGCTAGAGTCGGACGTGCGCCCGTGAGAGCGCGACGAGGTCCAATCGTTGGCGTGAGTCACTGCCCTTCGCTCCCAGCCAGCCGTTCGCAGCCTACGTGTATGCGCCGCCGACGAATCGCGACCTCTGCTGGAGCATTCGTGGAGGATCCATAGAGGCTCTATGCAAGAAATAGCATGGTTGGCGTGGCCTGCCTGGCCGCCGTCGGAAGAGGTTTGGGTCGCGTGTTTCAACACGCTGGAGGTGCTTCGTCTCTTTGCCATCTCGAAGTCTTTGCATCTCAACTTCTTCTGCGTCTCCGCCTTTCACTTCCTCTGCAGCCTCTATTCAAGCCTTCTTTGTTCTATTATTCTCTCGCCCCGTTGTTACATTGTAAACACAGCCCCTCCGTCCAATCAGGTCACATCTGGCCTCCACCAACAATAGACCAGCATCGCAGACAGCCTTTGTTTCATCCTCGTGACAGCCCCAACTGAGCTTCACCTCGCGCCCCGCATGAAAATGACTTCCTCATGAAATCGCCAAATGTCAATGTGCAAGTCTTCCTAGACAAGTTCGAGATCCGACCTTCCACCTCATAACCTACATTCACACCCACCTGCGACTTTGCTACTTCCAGCAACAACTCGAACCACAGTCGGCATGCCGCCGCAGGCATTGCATAACCACGAAGACATGAACAACATACCCTTATTCGAATCCTCATCACCACCGAAACCACTACGGAGATCCACGACTCGCATAACAAAGTTTCCGAGTGCGGCAGATTTCTTAATGGACGATCTTCAATCTTCACAAAACCCGCCGCCCGCATACCCAGAAGCGAATGGACAGCAGCCGGCACATGATACAAACGGGACATGGTTATTACAGGATGATGTTGATGAGCAAGCAAGATGGGACGCAGATGCTTCGCGCGTAGCCGCCAGGAAGGCCATGGCAGCGAAACGACAGTCACGAGCCTCGATGATTCAGACGTCACGAACTAAATCAAGGAGGAAAGCGAAGCAGACAATGGTTACGAGGCCAGGAATCACAGTAGACACAAGTGTCTCGCAGCACAAAGGCAAAGCACCACGTCAACTCTTCCCGCAGAAGTCATCAGATATGTTGAAATCGAGTGGCATCGTTGGATTTGTCAACCTTCCGGACTTTTCAGAGGAACATGAATCTGGCAAGAAGAGTACATGGTGGCAGTTCGGAAAGTCCGCAAAGGGAATCACGGGCGACAAGGGCGAGAATACAGACTCACCGAATAGAGCTCGCCATGGGAACGGATTCGGCTTCAAAAACAAAACAATGCGAGCCCAAACCCGGGATCAAGAGCCACCCTCCATTGTTACGCCCACTCAGGAAACCTATCAAAAGGGAATACTCGCTAAACCGTCCGATGCAGCGGACGAACGAGCATATTATAGCCCTCAGACAGCGGGAACATTACGACCAGGACGATTTGCATCAATGGAGGTTTCACCCGCTGATCGGCCCATCACCATCGGCCTCTCCATACCTTCTGAGAGCCTCTCAGAACATGAGGACTATCGAACAAATCGACAGCGCTCAGAGAGCGATGTGACGCTAGTCACTCCCAACATTATCATTACACCCGCAGCGCTGAAGTCAGTATGGTTACCGGATAGTGAACCAGACTACAGACCCCGACCACCATCTAGCATTTACTCCCAAGCTACCTTTTTTCCTTCTGATTACTCAAATAATCAATACGTTCCACCTGTACCAGCGGTACCATCTCATCTTGTCGGGTCAGGGCATACAGCGGTCCCCGGCCAGTCTGTACGAGATAAGGAAATTGAGACTGGTCAGAAATCGAATCATGTCCGCGATAGCACCATCGACTCGGCAGTCACGGCCTTTGAGGAAGATGAGGATGCTAAACGCAAAGCCAGGGTCACGTCAACAGGAACGCTCTTCGAGGAAGATGCGACACCGCATTCTTCCCGAGAGACAAACAATAAAGGCCATCTCGATCTAAGCATCGATACGGCATTAACACCAACGCCAAGGCTCTCTCGTGGATGGTGGAATGTCATCACCACACCGTTTGAGCTGTCACGCTCAAACTCCCTATGGACAAGAAGGACTGTTGGAAATGGTGATACCACACCAGACGTTCCTATGGTGCCTCAGAGATTTGGAGCGAGCCCCGTTTCCGCATCGACACCATCTACCTACATATGGTCGGCAACGGAAAAAGCTTTCAGTCCAAACGACAGAGAAGTTCCACTGCTTCTCGGCCTCGACCTTCCGAACCAGATGCACGAGACTGCTCGTCTGACGACTTCACAGCCTCAGGTGGCACGGTCTGAGGTGGTCCAAACCCGCGAGCCGTTTACTCAAAGCTCTCCAGAGGCACCCAGGCCTGCTCGTTTGACGAATCCACCACTGCAGATGGCACCGTTTGACGGGCTCCAGTCCCGTGAGCCGGTGCCGCAAACATCAATTCCACAGCCTCAAATGGCACATACGACTACTTATTCGAGGGATTCACACTTTCAGACCGCATCGTTTGAGGGGCCCCCGTCCCGTGAAAGGGCCGCTCAAAACTCAACTCCAAAGTTTTCAATGGCGCACGAGACTCATTGGTCGAGTCCACAGCCCCAGATGTCACCGTCTGACGATACCCAACGAGTTTCCAAGAAACAGGAACGTGAACAAAGACGTGAGCAGAAACGTGAGAAGAAGCGACAAAAGAGTAAGAGATCGCGGTGCTGCTGCTGGCTCAGCTGGTGCTGTATCATATTTCTCGCACTTGTGGCTATCATTACCGCACTTGCGGTCACGTTAACGAGGAAACATCACAAGAAGGACGATATTCCAACGGCCTCTCAGTGGCTTAATTTGACTGGTTATCCACCTATGCCTACAGGAATGTCGACGATTGCACAGCCAGAGGCCATTGACGAAATAAGCGGATGCGTTTCTCCCGCCACCATATGGAGCTGCGCCTTGCCTAAGGAGGAACAGGCATCTGTTTCTCCCAATAAGCCGGACCAGCCGAACTTCAAACTAAACATCGTGTTTAATAATGGAACAATTGCCGACAAATCCAAAACGCAAATTGCTCCTCGTACTGTTTCCAACCCCGTTTCCGCTGGAGCTTTCATCAAATCAAGGCTTCTTAGGATTCGCGACCAACTTACAGCGTCGCCTGCAGTTCCCTCTTTAGACGATCAGAGGTTCCTAGGAAACACGACTGATGATAACAAGATACCATTCGAAGGCGAACAAACCCCATTTTTTATCTCGTTTGTTGATCCAACCACAGCGTCGTCCTCTGCACGACTTGCCAAACGAGGAGGCGGCAATTTCGGCAATCTGAGCGACCTAATCCCACCCCCCTCCATCAACAGCGACGGAACGGCGGCAGCAGCTAATCTCCTCCCTTTCCCTAGCTCGCAGCCCCTGCAGCTTTATGACCGTGGCCTACCCACAGAGCACTACGGCTTCTACAACTACTTCGACCGCTCCATCTTCCTGAAATCCATTCAACCAACAAACAACTCCTTCGGCGGCGTCCCAGCCGACACAAACGGCGGCTCGACCTTCGACAGCGCAACTATGCGCTGCACGTGGGCGCAAACCCGCTTCCTCGTCCAGATCTGGACAAACTCTGGCACTACCAAGCCACTTCTACAAGGCACACCCACAACTTCCACAGCCTCCGCCACGTCGCCAACCTCAACAGTTAGCCCGGCGGCCGATCTCAAGCGCCCAGGTTCTTTCCCATACCCCGTCACCGTGACTCTAGACCGGCATGGCGGCGCCCTATCAAAGAAGATGATCTACTGCTACGGCATGGACACGAACGGCAAGATCGAGAAGAACGCTCAAGCTTTCGTGCTCGAGGACCGTGCCTTCGGCGGTGTTGCGGTTAACCCTGCTAATGGGCCGTTTGATAACGTCCCTGTGGCGACGAAGGATGGGGGACCTGGGGGAATTGATGGCGGGACTGGGGGCTGTGGGTGCCAGTGGGCGAATTGGTTGGGGAGTTGAGAGCGAGGCTTGGGGGAACGACTTCTTGTATTTACGTATTTTTTAGCGTGGGGTAATTAGATTGAGTATGGGAATTGAGGTTTGGTATTCCAACTTTTGTGTTTTGTGAGTTTGATATCGGTCTTTTCTCATTGCTTGAAGGCCTTTGATGGAGATTTCTGAAAATATAAAGCTAGGAAGTATGATAGGTTTGATACTGTGCCAGGCCGCCTCGGTGGTGGTGGATGGGTGTACACACATTGGAGGTGGAATCCGTCGCTCGAGGCTTTCATATGATATCCTTCCATTCTACAAATCCCTATTCCCTATTCCCATATCAGTCCCTGCTTTGCTGTGTTCCTTCGCATGCTGCTTAATATCAAGAGCGTGCGTACACTCTTCCGTCACTGCTTGTCGTTCCTCAAGGTACTGATGTACATCTAGAGCACTGTTTCAAATCTACTCTGTTCACACTTAGTCGCTGCAGTCCAGAGTGGTTTGGCGACTTTACTTACGGCAGTGGTTCACGCAAAAAGGTTTATACAGATCCATGGCCAAGCACTGCACCTTTGAATAGCAGTTGTGAACCTACATAGTACAACACATCGTGTCTGTGCGAGCGTCTCCAGCTCGAGGCTTCACGTGATCCGAGACTGCTCCAAATCAACTACCAGCCACCTCCAAATGGAACCATAGCTTGACGTCATGCCAGACTGCAAAGCGCTCCACATCCAGCTGGAGACGACGTGCCTGAGACGCTTATCTGCATCGTTATCATGCCAGGCAGCACTTCACCTGGACGAGGACTTCACTTTTTTTCACCACTCTCGCACCTGCAGTCCCGCATCCGGCTAGCGGCTAGTGCTGCTCGCACTTTTCCAGTACTTAACCAGCCCTCGCCCTCCGTCCTTCATTCCTCATCTTCCTCTCTTCCATCATCTCGAATTCTTTCTTTCTCCACCATCACCATCAGCTCCAATTTTCCACGCATCAAGCTTCTTCCATCTACACCCACTCCATCGTACGCATACCAACTACCATCTAAACCGTCATCATGTCCGACCAATCTGGAGACGCTGTCGTCAAGGCCACCACTCCTACCCCGCCAACCTCAGCCATCTTCACCGAGAGGGAGCTTGCCATGCTCGGATGGGCCATGCAGTCGCTCAAGTCAGGCCCTCCTGAGGTATGTGCTCACCATCCCCCTCCAGAACGTCAAAGATCTAACCATCTGCCTATAGATCGACTACGACAAGCTGGCTGCGTTCGCTGGCATGACCAATCCGAAGTCTGCCTCCAACGCCTGGGCCAAACTGAAGGCAAGCGTCGCGAGTACATTGACCTGTACCTTTTGTACTCACCTTATTTAGACCAAGCTGTTCACTGGCGATGTCGCTACTCCAGTGAAGACTCCGAAGGCTCCCAAGACTCCCGCTGTTCGCAAGCCTCGGGGCAAGGCGACCAACAAGGCTAGCGACGAAGCTGCCATCAAGGCCAGCGATGAAGCTGCCAACAAGGCCAGCGATGAGGAAGGCGCTGCGGCTGCTGGCGCTCCCGAGGAACCTGCTGCTGCCTCCGACGACGCTGCTGCTCCCGAGCCCAAGACCCCCAAGGCCAAGAAACCCGCCGCATCGCGCAAGCGCAAGTCTCCTACCACCGGCGAGGGTGAGGACGGCGAGACCCCGAAGAAGCGAGGCCGCAAGACCAAGGCGCAGAAGGAGGCTGAGGCCGCAGGTGAGAACCTCGTCAAATTCAGACTCGCTCGCACAGCTGCTAACATGTTAGTAGCTGCCAAAGGCGCGCTCCCGGGCATCGATGTCGCCGCTGCTGTCAAGGACTCCAACGATACCGAGGCGACGACGCTCAAAAACGAGGAGGCTAACGGTGAGGAGGTTAAGACTGAGGAAGAGGCTTGAGCAGAGCAACCTCACCACATCAACAAGAAGCGCGATCTCGATCTCGATCTCGATCTCAGATGACAGCTTCTTCCCATACTACTCATACTCATCACAAAATCGTCGCATGTCTGCGCTCCCGCAAGGCTTGGAACGATCTTCACGGTTTTTCTTACTCTTTGGCTTTCTCTTTACTCCATCTCCCCTTTCTATCTCTGCATTTGGCTGGCGCTGGCACCGCTCCTCAACGCACATCGTTGCTGCAGCGCAATCATCACGGTTGATCTTGGGGTATAACGGAATGGAATGGGGCTGGCTTCGTTGTATCGAGGTCACGGCGTTTTGGGAGGTCGGAAACCTCGGAGGGACTTGATACTGTAGCTTGATTAGCTGAATCAATGAGAACCCCTCGACTCAGACTCATTACTTGCACTCTATTGACTACTACACTCGTGACCTCCTTCTAGTCAGATATCGCAGCGTGAAGCTGCCTCGCCCCTCCAAATCAAACTCGCGATATCGAGCAGACTTCTCATTAACGTCTCCCCACCCCAACAGCACTTCCTCCAAGCTCCCTCCACACTTGCCCAGACCCAGCGTACTCCTCCCCGTCTACTATACCAACATCTAAGCTAACTCAGCACTGCAGTCTTGCGGCCGATTTGACAAAGGCAGACTGCTACTCCGGCCTAGTCCTTGAACTATCTAGATCGGCAGCATGTATGCACTTTTCCTGATTCAGGCAGGGAGTTTGTCGGGATGGTGCGAGCCCTAGGACTAGAATAAGGAAAATTCGTATCTATGCGGTTGGTACCATGGTGAGTTATCCTAAATGCCTCTCCGTGGTGTTGCTAACGAAATCTTCATGAGGTATCTGAGTATGATACACAGCAGAAAGCAGCGCCGACTAACCAATCGCTTAGGCTCGAGATGAGAGTCCTTTAGTCTCATATAGGGCCTCGTTCAGTCCTCACACGCGGCCGACCAGGGCTTCCAGTATCTCTCTCTTCTAGTGTATCCCAATGCCCGCGTGCGCCTCGTTCTCCACCCTCATCCGCGCAGCGGTTTGCTCACCATGAACAAGCAGAACAAAGTATCACACTTCCCGTACCACAGCTGCACCGGTAGCTCCTCACGAGTATCCTCTATCCGGAACCCAGAATCCACGCATATCAACTTACCATCATACCATACCCTGCGTAAACGATTCCCTCGCGCCTCGCAAACACAGCCGAAGAAAGTCTGTATCGATCATGATATCGCGATCCCTCTCATGCGCTTTCTGGAGTACAGACCCAGGTTGCAGAACCAGCTCCAGCCGCTGTCCGTCGCTCAGATCCAGCCGCTCTCCCAGCTCTCGTCGCCGCCACCACCAGCCGAGCGAGTAGGGTGCGCAGCGAATACTCTAGGGCTATTCAAGCCAATGCACCAGATCCGCCCTGAGCATGCTAATGTCAGGCGATCCCATGCCGCAGGCGATGGAGACACTTGAGTTTCTCGCGTGGTAATGCTGCTGCGCAAGTAAGCGCGTATGGTCCACTTCCTGGATCTTCCGAAAGACTGAGAATATCTTGCGAAGCATCTGGAACTTGAAAGCTATTCTGTAACGGTACGAGCAAATGCGTCGTCATGTCTGAGGCTGGTCTGCTGCCGCGCGCCCTGGTCTGGATAGGGGGGATCAGGAGCGTTCGATTCGGATGTGTCGAGCTCCAGCCTATCTCGGGTCTATCTATAATAGTAATCTTGACGCCTGGTTTCAGACCCAGGTCGTGGTAAGTGGCACTTCGATGCGAAAGCCCGGAAACCCATGTTGGGACAGGATATCCCGACCCGTCAGCGAACCATACTGGGCGTAACCGAGTTTTCGTCCGTCAGGGAGGGTTAAGGTGGCGGAACTGTCGTTTGGTGCGAACGGCAACGGGCTGGACAAGCTGTCGAACTACAGCTTCCCTTAAGTCCGTCCACGAGTCCCATCATTTTTCCCACTCTTCTTCATCTAATCCTGCTGTTTGTAAGACAGCCAACCTGAATCGCAGAAGAGAATTGAAGCGCAACCTTCACCTCCACGCGGGCCCTGCCCCCCGGTACCACTGAACGCTGCGGCAAGCATGCCCATGTCCACCTCGGATTTCTCGGCCTTCGCTGGATTCTGCGTCCACTTGCTACCTACACAAACTTCCGGAGATCAAAGCTGGAAGAAGGCGCTCATTTGTCTTTATGGGAATATTGAGCGGGTTCCCGTACTAGTATAGTTTGAGTACGAACCAGGCCGCAAGAAAGTGCCCTAAAGTGTACCAGAAATACGCACGTCTTAGTGACTGGGTGGCGGTGGGGGGCTGATTGGATTAGGAACGGAAAGATTTGCTTCAAATGTCTTGCAACTCCTGTCACGCATTTTCCCTAGCTCACAAAGCGGTAATTACGGGTCTATGGTTGAAAAAAGAATGCATTAAACGGTTAAGGAGAGGAAAAGAGGACATGGCATGCGACTTTGGGAGAAAGGGACTGAAGCTTTCGATATGAAACGTGGGGGCTATTCCGATGCAGAAACCCATAACATCACAGGCTAAATGGAACGAGATGTCTTGGTTTTGAGCGCAGTTCGTGTATATGAACGCTCAGGATGGCTGTGAAGTAGGTGATGTGGAAGCCTGGATGGGTCGGAGTAATAATAAGATTTCTACGTGGGATAGGCCACGTGATAATATTGAAGAATTCGATTTTCTGTTCTTGGCCTGAATGGAGAACATTGGAAAGATGCCAAGCACTTGACAGTGCAAGCCCTAGTTGATTCTTCTATTCTTTTTCTGTGGAGGCTTTTTGGGAAGCACCTGGTAATGATGGAGATAGGCCAGACAAAGCAGTCAACGCCTCTTCATCCCACGCCCAGCCTCACCGTCTTCGTCCATCGCACCCCATCGCCGCTATGCATCTGAATCGGCAGGCCAGGCCCTCGGGGAGCTGCCGCCTCGCGCTCTTGTATCCACCGGGCGTTGAGCTAAAAGGAGCTTGTCTCTCCGCATTGCAGGAATGTCTCCTTCCCGGAACGCCTATCTCGCTTTCAAGATGCATGCCAATATTACAAGAGACTGACGAATGAGATACATTATCGGTACGCTACGACCTGAACAATGCGAATCAGAGCCGACATTGTTTTCCCCCTCTGCGCCGAACCAGCAAGTCGGTGCAGATCTCCGATCACGACATCTGGCCCACCGCATTCGCGATGAAGCCAGCATCACCAACTCAAATGCCGATGTGCAACGGCTGCGACCCCAGTCCAATGCCGCCCTCTATCTGCTGCCAATGTCTGATTATCATTCCGTTGGCTAATTGCATCATCATTCATCTTCCTTCTCCAAGTTTACTAGTATATGTATAAGGTAGCACGGGTGTGCCTAGATCCTGGCTACACTTTCCCGACATCTCTCACGAACCATGGCCTCGGAAAAGGCCGAGCTAGAAGGCACTACGCCTAGGCCAGGCGTCTCTGATGCCTCAGATTCCGACGGGATTGAGGGTCTGCATAGCTCTACCGTCAACGAGACGGCACTTCTGAGGAAGCTCGATGCGAGACTGCTTCCTGCAGTGTCAGTACTGTACTTGCTGTCTTTCCTTGACCGCAGTAATGGTAAGCGTTGTTGTACATGCCCATATCGCTTGCGATGCTGACATTTGGATAGTTGGAAACGCACGTCTGGAAGGCTTGACTACAGATTTGGACATGAGTAAGGCTTTCACGTCATTCAAACACCTCTTGTCAAGATTAACATCTCCAAAGCTGGAAACCAATACCTCACTGGTCTCACCCTGTACTTCATCGGTTATGTTCTCTTTGAGGTATGTTGTCCATGTCCTCGTCATTTCACGTCCCCAACTGACCATTCCAGGTACCTTGCAACATCGTCCTCAAGCGCACAACGCCGAGGTTCTGGCTTCCTACCCTAACTTTAGTCTGGGGAATCGTAGCAACCCTGATGGGTGTCACACAGAACTTATCTGGCTTCTTCGCAGTCCGCTTCTTGTAGGTGCCAACCCCTTTGGAGCTGAACCATGGCTGACTTCATAAGCCTCGGTGTGGCTGAGAGTGGTCTTTTTCCCGGCGTCGTATTCTATCTCTCCATGTGGTACAAGCGCAAAGAAAGACAGTACCGTATCTCTCTTTTCTTTAGTGCAGCCTCGTTAGCTGGTGCATTTGGAGGCATTCTTGCGTACGGTATCTCTAAAATGGGAGGAGTTGGCGGTTACAAAGGCTGGAGATGGATCTTCATCTTGGTAGGCTCAGTACATTCGTCATTGACATCAAAAGACTAACAGCATCTAGGAAGGGCTTCTAACAATTGTTGTTTCTGCCAGTGCCTATTTCTTCATCACGAACTATCCGTCAACCACCAAGTGGCTATCTGATGATGAGAGAAAATTCATCCATTCCCGCCTGAAGGCGGACAGCGACGCTACTGAAGATGAAACGTTCCGCTGGGCAGAAGTGTGGCTTGCGGTGAAAGATGTTAAGGTCTGGCTTTATGGACTAGCTTTCCACACGCTGAGCTTGCCCCTTTACACACTATCTCTCTTCCTCGTAAGTCAATCCCATTCCAGCCTCTATCTCTCTACTAACCCAACTTGCCAGCCCACAATCATCAAAGGTATGGGCTACACCGCCGCCAACTCTCAGCTCCTGACCATTCCTCCGTACGCTCTCGCCACAATCCTCACCATCGCATGGGCCGTTCTCTCCGAAAGAAGCGGCCGCAGAGCCCCCTGGATCATTGCCTCGTCCATAATTGCAATCATTGGTTACATCATCCTCATCACCAACGATTCCCCCACGAAGCGTCCCGGCGTATCCTACACTGGTGTCTTCTTCGCGGCTGCGGGCATCTATCCTTCAGTCGCGCTTTCCCTCTCTTGGCCCGCCAATAACGTCTCCGGCCAAACCAAGCGCGCAACCGCCAACGCGATGCAGATTTCCATCGGCAACCTCGGCGCTGTGCTGGGCACCCAGCTTTACCGCCCCAATACCGCGCCACGGTACCTCCTAGGGCACTCGTTTGCGCTGGGGTATCTGTGCCTGAATATTGTGGTTGTTGGTACTTTATGGATTGTGCTGAACAAGGAAAATAAGACGAAAAACTTGCATTTGGAGCAGAATCCGAATACGGCGGGTTTCTTGAATGATGATGTCGAGAAACATCGTGGAGATAGGCACCCGAGGTGGATGTTCAATGTGTAAAGTGGGAGTGTTGCGAGGTCTGCTTATTAGAGCTTAAGGTCTTTAAACTGTGTGGAGGGCCGGTGCTTTTAATAGAAGGGTATGTGTTGGATGTTACTTTTGGGCAGAGGCCGTAATGTATGCATGTTGATTATACCCTGTGATCCAGGGGCTTTCGTCTCGTCGCAATAGTTTCACACTAATGAGCAATACCTTACGGTAATTTATCATCTGCCAGTGGGTCCCTCCTGTTTGCCTGTGATGGTATTCCAGATAGAATGGCACTAAACCTGTCGTATCCATCGCGTGGTATCTAGTGCAGACTCCTCCCGACGTCGGATCTCATTTATTCCAGCTCAGTTTCATCAATCTTTCGTTTCATTCCATCCCAATTTAATCCACTTCATTACTTCGTCGCTTGTCTACAAAGGTATGACTTGGTCTGCTGTTCTCTCATCCCACGCGATTTGATTATTACACCCGCGAATACGTCGGGACGTATTCCGACATCGAAACGACTTGAAGCTTGATGAATACATCCAGTTTACTAAAGCATCCCTGCAAGTCAAGGGTTTATATGTTTGTTACTTCAACCAACCACCAACCAGCGTCTCCTGGAGTACATCGACTTTCCAACATCATGCATGATTCGCCTGGTGTTTTGGGCCGCATGGGATCTTCCTGCATTGTCAATACACGGATAACTCAAAGGCATGAGAGCCCTTGCTCTGGATATCCTGGTTTCATTATACCTTATACCACTTGCAACGTCGTCATTGGTAGGGTGTACAATTTGGGGCAGGCACGCAGCTCAATTACTGTGAGCTAGAAAGGTCTTGATGTAACTCATTCTCTCGCAAAGTTCATGTTAGAATCATGTTCTCAATGTCTTGTTCTCTACCTCAAGATGGTATGCTCTTCCATTCATTAGGACCACCGAAGCTCGCACTAATGATCTCAAAGCTACCATGGACAGCCAAGCTCCTCCTTGTGACCTCCCTCTTACGATCCCAATTACAAATTGATGCATGCGGAAAAGGTTTCGAAGAAGACTTTGCCGAGGAAGATTTACAGATTTGGTAGTGGTAGATGGGTTTGTGGGTGATCTTGCCCGGTCAATCTTACATAAAGTGATGAAAGAGAACGCGGAGTACGGCTATAGCGCATCATTGTAAGTCTGTAAGTATGTACACTCAGCTGCTGTTATTTGGGCTGCTTCTAGGAACTTTAGGAATGGAATTGTATCATGTCGACTGAGCTGATACCTCACCGGAACACTTCAAGCAGTGGCAGACCAGCGTCCACAGATAGCACCTCACTTCATATCAATCCTCCTCGAAGGACCCACTTTTCTTTTTCTGGAAGGTTCTTAAACCCTTCTTCACCCCCAGTCAGCCTCCAGGAAGTTAGAGTAGACACCAACCTCCTCGCACAACCTCCGCCTACGTTTCAGTCGGTACATGCACCACCTGCGGTACTGTATGACTCCCTGAAGGCCCTCACAGCAGCCCGCGAACCCAGCAATGGCGCCCACGAAGCGCGAACCACCGGCTGCCAAACGGACGAAGAGACCTCAGAAGCCCGAGTCATCAGTTAGTGCGCGGAAGAACAAGGTCCAGAAGAAAGTCTTCCCGCCTTGAAGCTTCATCGGAACAAGCTCGTCAATATCAATGCTCCTGAGGATGACGCTCGAATGATCATGTCAGTTAAATCTCAGTTTTCATATTTAGCCTCGCTCTCAAAATCATCTCCCACTTTTATTCAATGAAGATCCAGAATCATGAAGATGTATCATTTGTTCAACCCAAACCCTCACCATTTACGTATACACGGAGGTCGTTACCAATAACTGACCATTTCTTTAGTGCTAAGCAAAATTCAATCGAGTCTCCACTGCTGCGGTTGCCAACGGAGATTCGTGGAATCATCTGGAAGTATGCCTGCGGTGGAAATCATATACACATCACCAACACGAGCTCGACGAACTATAGAACCCTCAGCTCGAGCGCCTCCGACAAGCTCTTCAACTCTGCTTACGCGCACCCGGAGAATCATGAGAGCTTCTGCCGAGTTGTAAAGTCAGACTGCGGAGGCTTTAGATGCCAATTTCACGCCACCGACGTACACATCACAAACGTCCAGCGAACTTGCCGCCAAATATATGATGAGACCTGGAGCTACCCGTACACCTTGAACCAGTTCTCCTTTGATTCAGTAATGACTCTTCGCGTGTGGCTGAAGCAGCGAGTCGCTATCCAGAAGCGAGTTACCGAACGTCTCTGGTTGGATCTGGAACATATCAGTTTCTTATCAACGGTATGGATGAAATGTCTCAGCGGCGTGAAGGCTGTGGTGGTCTATTGCAAGGTTAGTCGTTCTACGGGATACAGTCACCTTGAAATAGAAATCTCCCAGGCCGTGACAGAGCTCAAGAAAAATCTTCGAGAGGGCTGCGACATCAAGCTTTTGGAGAACTAGGAGTCCAAGCGCACAATTCACAAACACAGTCCTCCAATGCCCTACCGAGACCGGGAAAGCGATGTCAATCTGTAGCTTGGGCGTTGGACCTTGATCACTTGCATATCTTCTCGACAAGACCGATTCGACTGCAATTTATCCACTCTCACCAAACCCCCCTTCTACCCTCTCTCTTCCCAAAATCACAAGCCTAAGTATGCTACTGGACCTCCTTCAATCGAATGTCATTATCCTTCAGCGGCCATCATGGTGGATTTCAAAAGTTCTGGGTCATCACTTGCGAATGCTGCACGAAGTCGTTGGACTTTATTGCGAAAGGAGGTGCCAGGGCAACGTCTGGAGGTTTCTATGATACTTTCATTATATCGATCCACTCTCATGAATCAATCTTTTCGATTCACAAATATCAATCCTGCGCTAAGTCAGTGATCTACCAATACGTCAATGCTATTTATGAGATGGTTTCGATAGCTTCACAAATATTCCAGTGACATTTATAACATTCGAGCATGTAAAGCGGGCTCAAATAACTGAGAAAAAGAAAGAAGAAGTATCAGAGGGACTGATGGAAGTTGTGCTAGCTAACGAGTGATCTCTAGAAAGACCGAGAAGGCGAAGAAGGCTGCTGGTTTCCATTTCCAGACGGGCCCCTAGACGTCTCTGAAACACTCGCGAACCCTCTGGTCAGTCTGAAGCAAACCTTTCTTGGTCTAAATACTCACCACCGGTGCATGTGTGCTCTTGTAACGAGATCATTTCCAAAAATGGCACCCAGAAAACCCGAATGGTTCGGTGCGCAGCGGAAGAGAGGCCCCAAACGAAAAGTCGTCTTCCGCCCTTGAAGCGCCACAGAAACCAGCTTGTAAACTTGAATGCACCGGACGATGATGACCGAATCATATTGTAAGTCTCTACTTGTGACTCTCCACTCGATATTAGTGTCTTGCTAACTTGTGCTACAGGGCTAGACGGAACCAAATCGAATCACCATTGCTAAACTTACCAAAAGAAGTGCTCATCTTGATAAGGGAGTTCGCTTTTGGCGGACACCACATTCACATTACGGGCATCGAGCTGGTAGGAGAAGTTGGATCGTGGGCATTTCCCGCTCAGCAGCAGCTTTCTCGGTCTCAGCGGCTGCCAGAAGAGACAGGTATTGTTCGGAAGAATAAGAAGCTCTACCACTACGTTTACCCAGATCCAGACAACCATGATAGCTTTTGCACAGTTGGGAACCTCAGAGAGACAGAAACGGCTCGACTTCACTTCCGCAATTGTGTATATAAGATTACTGGTCTGCGCTTTACAAACGGACTGAGAATCTGCAGGACGGTATACGATGAATATTGGCACATACCCTACGCGTTGAATCAGCTCTCCTTCAATAGGCCAGATACTATGGAGCTTTGGCTAGGCCGACGGCTTCCAGTACAAAAGCGAGTCTTCCAACGCGTTTGGCTCAACCTTGCACGATCTCACCCATCACCTAGCTGTGGGCCTTTTTATCATTATTCACAGCTCTTAAGCAGATTGTCTGGCCTTGAAGGTTGTTAGGGTCTACTGTGGAGTCCTTCGTGCGATGGATATCGATCGTCAGCAGGCTGGCCGAATTTCCAACTTGCTGGTGGAGCAATCTAGAATGGCGTGGGATCATTTGTAGCCGAGTATTGCCGACGGAGCTTCAATTGAGCTTGTAGGGAACTAGGGATGATATGTACGTTGGGGCTCGTAGGTAAGAAGTCGCGACAGCGGCTCACTAGAATGTGGTGTTGAGTTGGCTTGACTCCAGCTCTTCTTCAATAGCACAGCTTCCGAGCCGCAACAACTCTTTTGATGTCGGGAACACTTGATTCGTAGTTGAAATGGTGAGGAAGATGTGGTTCGCTCCGCTGAGACGGTCGATCTCGATGGAAAACAAGATCTTAGCGGAGATCTCTTTCGCGTTCTAGCGAATGCCTGGGGTCATGCGGGGAACCCGGTAGAATAAAGAGGGGGTGAGTTTACGAAAGATGCCACGGTGCAGGTTCACGCAGAGCTTACCCTTACGATATACCACATACAGACTCATCCTAACGTCGAGCATGGCCATCTCGTTACTCAACACGATCACCCCAAAGGAGGGCAAGCTAGATATTGTAAGACCGAGATTTCTACCCCTGCCGCTTCCAGGGATCTAGGGTCTTCTGGATATGCAGAAGCATCCAGATCGATATAGAAACAACCGGTTGGGTTTCTTGAGCGTTAGGACACGCTAACTCATCAATACAGGTGAAGGAAGCGATTCTGAAATTCATGGATTTCACGACGCAGAAATATCCCGACTGTCTTGGCGCCGAGCTGTTGTATGATGAAGATGGCGAACAGCTTGTTTTGATCATGGCGTAAGTCGAAATTCTTCACTGCTGCAAATTACTCTCCATTATGACTTATATTTCTAACTTGCACAAGTTTCAAGACCCAAGACTCTATTAATACCTTTCTTCGGGAACCATACGTGCTCAGTCTCAAAAAAGGGCTCCCAGCGGAGAGCGTGGACAGTATGGAAGTAACAACGTATGAACGAGTTGGCAATTTCTCAAGATGAGCGGGTAGTGTGGTCAATGAAATCTGCGGCGATTATACAATCTGTTACAGTCCTCCCTGCACTCTGTTCCGCCATTGCGCCGCCCTGACCGTCTACCCGTACTGTCTAACTCTATCACTCTCTGTTTTTCGCACTTCTTCTTTAGCCACATCGCGCATAAGACGCAAACTTCGAGCATACGCATCTACAAACCTACTCTCGTCCCAAAACATGGCATACATGTCTCTTCTTTCAAGCCAGCAACTTACCTTCCGGCGTCGAGTCAGCCCGGTCGAATCAACCCGAAAACTTGCGCGGAAAATCTGACAGCATCGAGACGTAGGGCGTGCGAGACTTCCACACAATCCTGGAAATGGGACGTTTGATTCTGAGCGATTCTCGGCTGGAACTCCGCAGAAGGAGAACTATCGAAAGATTCAAATGCTTTTTCTAAGGATCGTCTAGGTGGCAGAAACAAATGCAGCATGGAATGCCGAAGCGCCACACCCACGAGTCAGAAAAATGGCAGATAGACCAACAACCAATCAAATGCTTCAAACGTGCGAAAAGGCGCCCTCTAGCCGCAACAGGAAGGTCAAACTCACCCGGCCCTCTCGCATTTCCGCGCTACAACTCGTCCGGCGGGCCTCGTCCCTAGTTTCCACGGCATTTTCCCTCGCCTTTCCAAACTATCACTCTCCCTGCATCGGCATTGACATCAGCCTTATGCATATTGAGGGAGTTCTCCATGAAGCTAGCCCCTGTATTCATAGTCTCCGACGGAGTTTATCCCGAGTTCGATCGCTCGCATGAGGCGGCTCAGTGGCGATCGCTTCTGGGGCGGCTTTTTGGTCGCCGCTTCAGCCTCCTCCGTCTTTGCATCTGCCACCTCGGGGCTAGGTAGGGACGTGTTTGGGGTGATAGCATGCCGTTCCCACATGGCTGGAGTATGCAGGAGGTGTGACAGCGTGGGGCTCGCTCCGTTATATCTGCTGCAGAGACGCGTCAGGTCTGGCCTAACAGCTCAGACTGCTTGCTCTCGAAACTCTACCTTCATTTTCCTCGACGAAGGTGATTTAATTACTGTCATGATATACGATTCCGTCCTTTTCTAAGCTTTCAGGCGGCTCGACCGCCCCACGGCTTCCTTAATGGAGTCCAATCCTTCCCATATCGACCTTTCAGCGAGCCGGCAGCCTCAGATATGGGCGGCGATAGGCACAACATACGCCCTGGCTGTAATCTGCGTAGCTCTCCGGTTCCTCGCTCGACGACTGGTCAAGTTCACATTCTGGCTGGACGACTGGCTTGTACTTGGGGCTTTAGCCATCTTGACCGCACTCATTATCGAGACGAAGTACTGGACCGACGCTGGAATGGGTCGACATGTTGCCAGTTTCCCACCCGCAGAGATCCCAGGAGTTTACGAGAAGTTCTTCAAGGGCTTGTTCATGGGCTGGATCATCTACATCGCCGCTATTTGCGTCGTCAAGTTCTCGGTGCTTGCGTTCTACTGGCGTATCTTCCAGTACACCTCGATTCGTATCCCGATCTGGATCCTCACTGGCATCACTGCGTGCTGGGGCTTGTCAACCGTAAGTAGTTCTTCATCCATCCAATCTTTTCGAACACACCTGACTCTCCTCAGATCCTCGTCATAATCTTCCAATGCACCCCCATCTCCTCCTTCTGGTCCACCCCCCAAGGCCCCGCCGTTACCTGCTCCATAAACTACAACGCCTTCTTCATCAGCTCCGCCATCCCGCACATCCTCACCGATGTCGCCATCCTGTGCCTCCCGCTCCCCTACATCTTCACCATCCAACGCCCGCTGCCCCAGAAACTCGCCATCACCGCCATCTTCATGCTCGGCGGCTTCGTCGTCGTCATCGCTATTTTACGGTTGGTGTATCTAGCAGCTGACTCGACCGATGACTTGGACGTCACGTGGGCATTCGTCAACGTCGCGATCTGGACGAACTGCGAGTGCTCGGTCGCGGTGGTGTCGGCGTGCTTACCGAGCTTGAGGCCGGTGATGCAGTGGGTGTTCACGGGCTCGCCGCACTCGAAGGCTGGGTCTAGTGAAGGGAGGCCGGTGGTCTCGTTGCCGTCGTGGCGGTCTAGTCGGTCGCGCTCTAATCACGGAATTCAGGAGCCGCCGGCTTGTATCGTCAAAGAGGGCCCGCGGCATCAGTATCGCTTCGTGCATGTCAGTGCTGCGGAAGAGACGCCGAGGTGCAATATCGTGACAACTAGGAGGTTGTCGCATGATGGGTTTGGCTTCGTGACTCTCGGGGCGTCGGAGACGGAGCTCGCGCGTGGTTCTTCGGAAAGCGCGGTGCGTGGAGGGAGTGGTCGATCGGATCTCGAATCGGTGGGTTCGTCGAAGCATACGGATAGGAGTTCAGAATTGGGGAAAGCTAGGTGGGATATGTATGACTTCTGTGATGATTTATGAGCGTTATGTTAGGAAATTGGGAAAGCAGGATGACTAAGACATGCACGTTAAGCATAAGCGATTAGAGTTGCGAGAAGATATGATGTGTGATAATGTATATACAGATGAAAAAATCGTGAAGAGCCGTCAATGCTCGGTGCCCAATCCTCTAGTGTAGAGTAAAAATACAGGTTCAAAAGATGTCGGAACCATCAAGCGTGATAGAATGGATGAATAGCGATGCTTTTAGTGAATAGTCACGTATTGAACATTCGTGATCGTGATGGTTTCCTGGGAGCAGAGTTCGGCAGCATTCGTCGAAGCATGATGATGGTGGCTGTGCGTGATGGTAGGGGGTTGGGCGGTGATGGTCGAGATGACTGTGGAGATGGACACCGAAGAGACTGAAACGATCGCTGAGCTGCTGACCTCGACCGCAGACACCACCGTCGAGCTCGCAGCAGGTGCGGTGCCATAGCCAGTTGTTCCGAACACAGCGCTTGTGCTGTTGCCAGGGATGGGGTAGTATGGCGAAGCTGTCGAAGAGCTGACCGTAAAAGCGGGTGCTGACGCAACGGGAGCAGAAGAAGATGAAACAGTGGCAGCCTCAGAGGCCACCGCCGAGCTCGCAGCAGCGACAGTAGAAGCAGCCGAGGAGTAAATGGGAGTAGTTGAAGAAGGAACTGTAGTGCCCTCTTCAAAGATATCGTTCTGTGCGCCATTGCTCCATCCCATCTTCTCGCTGTACGAAGGGTACTCCCAAGCCCCAAGCTCAACATTGTTCCCCTCCGCCTGATTCCAAACAACCATTTGCTTAGCGCCCTTAACGCACTTGCTCGCATCATCGGGACAGTATACGGGGGTTTGCCCCTTAGCAACGGGTATGGTGGACGTAGCGCCAGTGACGTTGCATCGATAGCCGGCCATGTACATATTCGGCTGTCCGCAACCGTTGGGGACCCAAAGCCAGGCGCAGTGACAGCCGCCAGGAGGGCAAGCGGGCAGCGCAGCGGGGACAGAGAATGAAGCTAGACGTTTCCATGGCGTGTGAGCAGCTACGGTAAAGACGACGAGGTTTTCGCTTGTCACGTCAGAGAGTTCGGAGTTGTAAGAGATGGCGAACGCGGAGCCAGCGGCCATGGTCTGGTTGTTCGTGTGTAAAGCCCCGGTCCCGTCCGTGATACACTCTGGGGGGTTACCTGGCCCGGACCAGTCCTCAGGGTGCTCTTTGCCATCGGGCCAAATGGATGTGAATTTGCCATCGTAGGAGAGAGTGGTCTGCGCACGATTGTGGGCCATCTCGACCTCGAAGGAACCGCCGGCAGGTAATTCGAGGATGTCGCCTTCGTCTGGGGGATAGGCGTCGCAGCCACGATCGTGTTGGAACCACCAGTCGGCTTTCGCGAGGTTGTAGAGTGGGTTGACGGCAGTGTTGGTGTTGGGGGCATCTTCGTGAGAAGTTCCATTAATGCAGTACATGCCTTTGACCCAGGGCACGGTGTGGGCGGTTGCCAAGCTGGCGAGGACGAATGGGAGGAGAGTTTGGAAATGCATGATGAATATGAAGATTTTAGTGGATGGATGGCGCTTTCAAAAAAATTGAGCTGATTTAGCAATGAAGGAATGGGCGTGAAAAGAGTGTCGGCAGTCTATGCCATGTAACGAACGTGAAGATGAAAAGAATGAATGACTGAGGTGGAAATGTCTTCAAGACGTTCTCACTACTGGATGGAGTTGTAAGTGTGATAGCGAAGGTAGTGTATAAGTAGGCGCATTTTCATGGCATCTCGTACGAATAGGGGCTGGCGTCAGCGCAAGCCTCATGTCACACCAGGCACTGCGTCTTAGCATCCTAGGCCAAACTGTTAGAATTCTGATGAGTAACTCAGATAAATGCTTAATGACGCATATGGGCGTAGTTTAGGACGAGAACGGTGAGTCTTGAAACTCGTGAAGTGGAGAAAGTTGTGGTTCTCGCAGCCGCCTTCGTGTCGTGTTGAAAGATTGACACAGCGCTTGGCAGGAGACGGTCGAATGAGAAGATGCGACATTTGCGAATCCGAGGTGATCTCCGTTTGGAAACATTGCAGCGCGTTTCATTCATTTGATTAAGGGCGTTGTTTCGGGATCCCACCGGGAAGCTTAACCGAATTCGATATGTAGGACGTTCAAAGCTCATGCCCTTTTGTGCCCTTGTCTCAGATGACTGATCAGTAAGTACATCTAAGGATCGTAATAACCATGGGTCCAACGCGAAAGAAGATGGAGATAGTACACAGTAAAAGGGGAGATTCTGGCTAGAGTCTGTCTACTTTCAGCTAGCCTATGCACGTGCCAACCCCTACAACAACCTCATCTCATTTTTCCACCATATCTCATCACCATTATGACCCAATTCCTGCATCTCAATAACGCTCAGCACAAGCCTTCTATAAGATCATGGTATTATTTCCATCGATGAAGCTACAAGCCCGTTTTCGCGGCCTCGAAATGAGGAGATCCGATCGATACGAGTCCAGTCAGAACATATTACTCCCCGTCTACGCTTCCCTTCATGTTCTTCGTTTGATGTTTTACCTAACGAATTCAACTAAAGCCAGATATGAATCTTTCGATCAATTTTCTTTGAACGGCTAGTAGCATCATGAGCACTTCTAAATTCGTCCGTCAAGGTCAACAAACCTTGCGCGGCGATTGGGCGTAAGCATGTGGCTGTAGCACACGCAGGTCAGGCAAGCACTGCGGCTCTCTTTGATTCAAAAGAGACTGGCCGTATTGCTGCTGTAGCTTTGGAGGTACCAGAAGTCCACCGAAGACTCTAGATACCCCAACACCAAGTTTCCCCTCATGCTGCTTTGTGTTGCAGATGCTGCTCTATACATCTCGTATCAAACAGTAGGTTCAAAATTCGTTGCTCTTTGTAGAACCCAAGCATCCATAGACACTTTGTTTGTGTCCATTGCCCAGATAAACTGTGGCACGATTGTCCGTACATTTCATAAGAAGCGCGATAGATGAAAAGTCTACCGCAAAGCTCGCTCTTGCAATCTCGCCACAAGTGAAATACAGAAAGCAGAAGCGAAAAGCCATGGCGAAAGTCAAAGATGAAATCCAGCTGCCACTATTATCAAAGCCAGAAGCTAGCATTCCCGCTCTCTCGTACCCACCGTTCTCCATTGAGGAGCTTTGTTACGCAATCCAAAGTGGCCGCGATTTCACAAGGATCAAAGACTGGAGCCAAATGTGTGATAAAGCGGAGGTAGAAGCTGGTGTTCGCCTGTTATGTGAGAACTGGTCACCTTTGTTCTACGCAGTGGAGCGGAACTGCACTAAATGCGTCACCCTGCTCCTCGAATATGGCGCGAATGCGAAAGACAGGGCAGTCAGAACTTTGATACCAGTCATCGCTTTTTCTATTCTCCATGGGCAGAGGATGGCTTTGAATACTGCGCAGGTCTTGAAGATTTTACTAGCATATGGGGCAGACCCCAATGTCATTCCCAAAGATATGTGGGTCAGGTACCTAGACGTACCTTCGCGAACCCCCCCAGCCCATTATTCACAGATCCCCGAAACTGCGTGGTGCAGCGAAGCCAGACGGTTCCAACTCGCGGATTCAATGAATTTGACGCACCGGTACTTCCTGAACAGAGCGAATCGAATAGCATATACCCCCGTTAAAAGGGAGCAGATCGCTAAAGCCGAAGGTATCACTCGCCTCCTTCGTGTTCCGTACTATATTCTTGGCCAGATTCCAGCAGCCAAGCTTGTTACTGTCAAGGTTCTCGCCCATATCGCAATGAAAATGAAGGAAACGGATACGTCTTACGTGATGGCATTTGCCGGTCCATCCGGACATGGGAAGACCGAGCTGGCGAAACAAATGGGATCTCTCCTGTCCGTTGAGACGACACTCATTGATACAGCCTAGATGAGAGGGGACTGGGACCTGTTTGGAACTCGAAACGGTTACATTGGCTCAGAAGGAGGATCATCTCTCAACAACTTCCTTGCTAGCAACAGTGGGCAGAGAAGCGTAGTGTTCTTGGACGAGTTTGACAAAACTGCACAAGAAGTTCGTACTTCGCTCCTTACGGTCTGCGAATCAGGTAAGTCTCTCGCACTAGATCTTTTAGGTCTAACTTTCAATACTAATCCTAACAGGCAAGTACGAGGATAGGCGCCACAACACCGCTATCGACTGCTCTAGAACAATCTGGATTATGGCGACCAACCTCGGAAAATCCCTCATCGAAACGTTCTACGCGAAGAAAATGGACAACAAATCCGACGAAGAGCGCGACAAGGTTCCCATAAAACCTCTGCAAGACGATCTGAAGAAACTCTTCAGCAAACATTGGAAGGTACGTCGTTACTCTGGAGCGCAGTACGTGAATAGCAAAAGTAGCCTGCTTACAGTTATTAGCCTGCTCTTGCGAGCCGAATAAAATTGATCGTCCCATTCTTTCCCTTCAGCCGGGGCGAAGCCGCAGTGGTAACACATAAGTTCTTCTTGGATTTGTTCGATCAAGTCAAAAAACCAGTCGTGATACGGCCCGGGCAACACCACTGGGTAGGACATTGCCATTTGACTGGGAAAGGTACAGAAATCTGCGAGTACATCGCTAAAGAAGAGTATGAGTGGGCATTCGGCGCCCGAGTGCTAAACGATGCGGTCATCGCTATTGCGAACGATCTTTTCATCTCATACACCAGAGTCGATCGAGATGAAGAGATTACCGAAGAGACGAACAACGGGCCTTTGCAGAGGTTCGATGTCCAACTCCGCCCTACGTCGGATGGCAATTCGGAGGCTATCGTGCTGCACAAGGGACATACCGTGTTGCCAGTGGAATGGAAGTAGACTGGGATTCAAGAAGCTGAGATGGGCGGCGGGGACGTCGGACTGTCTGTGGATTAGCTATTATGGTACAAAGTAGTGTAGAACTATATTTTTTTCTCCCTCATTTTCGATGACCCGTCTACCACGCCGTTACTTTGTCCCTCGCTCTTTTATCCGAAAGCTTTAAGCCGAACTTTATTCGATGCTGACTAGTTCCTATATCTTTCTCTTCCTGTATTATTTCGCTCAATAGCAATAAGCAAAGGAGCATTGATATACTAAAGAATACTCCAGAAGACTCTAGAAGTGTTCTAATGCCTTAATATCCCACTAAACAGCCCATTGCCTAGATCCGTCTAACACGATCCATCACTCCCGCTTGCAAACCACCTGAACCACCCGACCAACACGTGCCCGATCACACGCGCCAAGCTTTCTAATTTCCATTTGGTATAAAAGCCCGCCTCCTCCGTGAACCATTTCTTTTCCTCATGGTGCGAGCATGGCGGGTATGTAACACGTAGATGATGAAAAATTCATGGTCTGCGTGGGAGTCATGCAACAATCATCACCACCTTCTGACGGCTGGGCTGGGCTTGCGGTGAAGGCAATACCCCCGGACATTGAGGCCGATGGTTCGCGGGTATTGGGTGGAGGATCAAAACCTTACGGGCCCTGGGACCATATGGTTCGCCGTATCTCTGGGACTCGGAGAACCGCAAAAATGATGATGTTGACCACCCTCCCTTCAAACTTGGCATCCTTATCAATCGTACCACAATGGCATCCACTAGCGCCTTCTCCAGCTCACAGCCAGTATCTTCAATCTTCCCAGCTGAATGCTATCACCGCATCCACTCTTCTACCCCCTCCATTCTGCCATTCTGCGTGCGCAGTTGATTCAACACCACCCACCAACACCACATCAAAGCTCTGAATGACGGTTTTACAAGACAACGACTTCATAAAAAATGTCGAACTGGGTTGTTGATCCAACCGACACCACCACCTGCATCTTCCCCACTATCTCCGTCGACGATTTCTGCACCACCACCAGACCCATGGGACATCATGGCTGAAGTTTTTGCAGGACCACCGCCACCATTGGAGTTTGCTGCTCTTGTTTTACTCAAACACATGGAAATCTGCCATCACATTTGTTGAAACCGCTTCCTCCAACTCTGCCATGAAGAAGGAATGCGCTCAAGGCGCTGCTTAAGTACGTACTTGAAAAAAGAGTTGGAGCTTGGACGCTTACTAAGATCCACGTGACCGATCCATATTCACGTGACCTCTGCGATGCTTGGACTACTTGGGGAGTTGTTAGGAAGCTGCGAGGTTGACAACGTGGGGACCTTGACGGAAAGACTGAGCTGGTAAAGACAACAGGCAGGTTGCGAGGAGACGATGAGATTCAGAATTTAGTTTACGAAACTAATCGGCCATGACGAGACCCACCCCAGAAGAAAGCTCCCCAGTTCATCGAGCGACACGCAGAAGAAAACTCGAGGGGAAGAGACCTTGGGAATGAAATATTCCAATACATATACACTGTTTCGACAAAAGTTTACAAATACTTCATCTCCGCTGCGTGAAAGAGTCTTACGCAACCAGAGAGCTCCTTCTGAGTTCAGGCGGGTGGCGAGTGTACACACTGTTCAAGAAAATCCTTTACACTTCTTTCATCTTCTCAGAAGCACATCAAGAGACTTCAAACATGACACCCTATTGTATAAGAATTATGCCATAGTCCTGTGCCCACGGTCCCGTGAAGCATAACTACTGCTTCTTATTCTGCGCGTAAATGAAGTTGGCGCCTGAGGATGTTGATTAGCTTCATGGACAAGCATGAGAAACAAAAGAAACCGCAACCACAACAACAATCGAAACCGATCTCCTCCCCATCGCCTACTTTCACTAGTAGCGATTTCCCTTGACATCGACGACTGGCTCTATGGACCGGGCCTCTGATACCACCTCAAATTCCTTGGTGCTAAAAACCTCCGAAGTTTGTGACATCGTTGAGGCATTCAATCTGGCTGCTAGGAGGTGGTTTAGGTCATTCGCCTCCTTCCACCCGTCCACAGCCGTGCGCAACAATTTCCTTATCTTTGGCTGCTCGGACAATTCCCAACTTATCATCTTCGAGGTCACCATGCCCGTCAACCCACTCAACGTGATCTCGAAAATCAGCTGTAGAGTGGGCCAATAGCGTCCGTCCCACGCCACACACACAAGCAGGCCCATCTTGAACAGTATTAAGACGTAGCAGACCGAGACCTTGTCCCACTTTAACCAATAAAAAAAAGTACACTGACCGATAGTGATAAGTCCATTCAGCTCTGACCACCAGGCAGCGCCGAATCCCTGTATACCGCTTCCCCAATGCTTGCGGTCACTCGGCTTGGTGAGGTTCAGTGGTTCCGTAGTTCCGTTCTTCGGTGCGAAGACGAGGAAGACGTAACGGTGTTTCCCGGTCTTGGGTGGAGGTCCGGGCGCTTTGTACGGCATGATGGTTTCGGTCTTGTTGGCAGTCTGCAAGCCTCAGCTATGGTGTATGGAGAAAAGAGAAGAACATACCACAGCAACGATCCAATGGCAAATCTCGCTCCACTCTGGATTGTCCCTCGACGGCGCATCTGGATCCGTAAGGGCAACGACATACGTCGTATTCTTCTTACCTCCCAAGTTCAGCACATCCAGGAGGGTAGAGCCATTTCCACTCTTTAGGGTGATCGTCGGTTCGTCTTGCACGTGCTTGACCTTGAGGGTATTGCCCAACTCGGCGTCCTTCTTGGGCCAGGAGACGTCAAGGGTGAGGATAGGCGAGAAGTCGTCAATGACTGAACATTTAGGTTAGCTAGGTTTGAGCGTCGTAGGAAGAAGGATGAGTGAGACGTACCCGTGGGGATGATCTCGGCTTCCTTGAGGCTGTCCATTCGTTAGCGTGATACGGAGATGAGATGGAAGCTTGAGGCTTGAAGGAAAGAGACGAGGGGAAGTGTGGGCGACGTCTTACGCATCTCGCACACTCGAAAGGCTCCCATCAATCTCCTCCTTCAGTGGCTGTTGATCGGTTGGCAATGCATGACTGAATGTCGACAGCTGAAGCAGCTGCACGAAGAGGAGGCCGAAAGAGAGGTAGCGGAGCATCGTCGATGACGCTGAACGTTAGGGAGTCGACTATAGCGTTAGAAGAAAGTTCGCTCGCCAATTGAGGCGCAACGATGGTGCTGTGTTTAGTTGGTGAAGTTGGTGAGGTCAAAACAAAGCCATCGGATTCCGAAATGCCATGTTGTGAAGTGCATCGTCCCTCCCCGCAATCATCATTTCGTCATCTGCAGATCATCCCTGCCTACAATTGTTGTACAGCATAACAGCACTTGTTGCACATTTCAATATACAGCAAAATACACACGTTTCTCTCATTCAACCTCATTCCCACCGTCTATGTTACAACCCTCAACTAGAAATGAGCCGCGAATTAACGCCCTGACCCTCCTACCCCATCTCCAGGGCGGGCCAGAAGAGCAGAAAAAAGCCGGTGACAGAAGTCGCAGCAGCCATAGCGACCGCCTCCAACGCCAGCAGGAGGACCCAAGTGGAATGATGATGACTATGCACAATATGATCCTACAGTGAAAATACACATCCTTTCCTTTCCAGATGAGCGCTCCACCTATAGCACCTCGCCGACAATCTTTGCGGCCTCTTTGTACGTTTTGAGGAGCTTCTCGCACTTCTCGCGCTCCGCTTTGATGGTGTCGTCCTCGTAGAGAAGTTCTTGGAAGAGGTCTTCCTTGTAAAGCTCGCTGACGAGGCGGTTCTGGACGACATCTTTGGAGTGGTTGACGAGGAGGTGCATGACGGCTTTCGGGACTTGGTCGGCGATAGTCTCGCGGACGATGTTGAAATAGGATGAGATGAGGCGGCGGATGAGTTCGGTTTCGAGGGCCTCCCGCTCGGTGAGGGCAGGTGGTGCGTCTTCTTGAGGCTGTGATGGGACTGTTAGTTTCAAATATAATCGATCGCGACACTAAGTAACTTACGAAAGGATTGTCATAATCTCGTGATGATAAGTCGTACTGATCTGGCACCATCTCTAGGATATGCTTATCCGGTGCACGAGTATCACCTCTACGGAAACTCGCCGAGATGCTTGGTTCGACGTTGGAGCTAACAGATCGGCTCACCGGACGATCGGAAGACGACATTTGCGGTGGTGCGCTTGATGGCATCTGACCCTCTTTACCGAAGAAGTAGTTCAAGAAGCTGTCTTTAGTACCTCCCTGCTGCTGACCGAATGTCGGAGAGCGTGAATGAGCTCCGTTGAGTTGACCTGCAATACCGTAAGACCCGTTCACAAGACGGCCAACTGCTGGAGACATACTCCTGCTGGCTTTGGGGTTGTGACCGCGAATAGGAATTCCGGCTTTCTTCTCTGCAACACCCTCTTCCCCATCTTCCTCTTGTGGGCCATCGATGCCATTTACGCCGTTCAGTTCCTTCATCCGTCTCATTTCTCGCCTCTTCCTTTCCTCGGCTGCTGCTATTTGCTTTTCACGCTCCTGCTTGTCGTTGATCACGGACGACATGGCAGCGGCGGCTCCTAGGAAGTTGGGGTGGTTCGTGTTGATATATGCGCGCTGGATATCAATGAGAGACGCAACATACGACGCTGATGGCCCGAGTTGCTCGCGAAGAAGGTCGGATACAACTTCAATCAGCTTTCCTTGGAGTCTAGGGTATCGGCTAAGTTCGGTAGATCCGCAAGTGTGGCAGATCTTGATTAGTTCTTCGTATACAAGCTCCACACATCGCTGACTCGGGATCTCTAAAAGTTTGATCTGTGGTTTCACAAGCAGGTCAAAGGCCAGCTCAGGCACAAACAAGCTTGGCCTAGGTCCGGTTGAGTTCCGAATTGCTGTCCGGATATCGAGTACGGAGAGGTTTGTTGTAGGATCAATAGTTTCCAAAGAGTTGCCAAACACTGAGTTGAAAATATAGTATATCCTCGCACCCCCACATAATTCCTTTGTCGAGATTTCTGCTGATGTCCCGTCGATTGAGGAGATGAAGGAGGATGCGAAGCGGGTCATGAGCTGAAGGATAAGGGAGCCACGATGTTCCTTTCCGGTAAACGCAACATCTCCGTAGCTGGCCAATTCTTGTTGCGTTTGGCCCATCAAAGTGTTCAAGCGAGCCTTGATATCCGGTAGTCGATCCCGAATGTGGGTCATGAGAGTAGTATTAAGACTCTTCGCTAGGAATTGTGTTCCGCATCGATTGGCCATGTTCCTGTACGCGGGGTGATGCCTGAAAAAGTCACGTTCTGCTCCTAAAGCCTCTGCCAATGATTTGTTGCCCTGGATGTCCTGCTGAGACCGGTTCACTACTCCAATGAAACCCAGCTTCAACGGGTATACGCGTCCTGACAGAATGTCCAGTGCGTTTGTTCCGTGGTCCATGAGATCAATTTTCGTAAGGACGCCGATCGTTCTCCTGCCCATGGGATCCACATGCCGGGCGAGCTTGAGTGCTTCCGAGTTGACGATGTCGACATTCGCAGGTGACACTGCCAAAATTATACTGTTGGGTTTAGCGATATACTCGGAGATGAGGTTTCGGGTCTGTTTCTCGATGTCTGATGGCTGATCGCCGATGGGGACCTAGGAAAGGGTTGTTAGCATCGCTTAGAAATTTTGCACATGCTGCGGCAACAAACTTTTGTCAGACCAGGCAGATCCACCAGCGTCAAACTGAGGACGTGAGGAGAGTAGATTTTTAGGTTTATGGGTTGTCGGTTGATGCCCTTGTTGTTCCCTGCTATTCGCGCTGTCTCGTTTTCGATCTCCCGCTTGACCTCGGAAAAGTCGTAGAATCGGCGGCCGGATACGTGATGGAATTCTGCCCATTCTTGCTGGCCCGCAACGCTGGCTGGAGTATGGGGTATGTGGACTTCATCCTCCTCTGGCTTGTCATCGCGCTCGCTGGGTACGTTGATGAGTTGAAGGATGAGTGGCCGCCGCGTAACGATGCCGCTTCCACGAGGTAGAAAGTCTCTGCCAACGATGTTCTCAAGCACTGAAGACTTTCCGGACGACTGCGATCCGACAACGACCTGTAATAGACTGTCAGTATAGGCGCGGCATTCCCGACACTGGCTGCGCGGGCCCTACAATTTGCGGCAAGTCCAAGGAGTCGTTTCCGATGGTGTTGAAGACCAAGTCTTGCAACTTGTTCACTATGCCGAGCAGGTCTTCGCCCAGCGCTGCCATTTTGATGATGGTGGATGTCGAAATAGTGGCCGACTCCTGATAGCTGGGACTCTCAACCGCGTAAACAAGGCCGGGGCAAGGAGGCAAACGAAGCCTCCGAGTGAAGTGGCAAAGGGCAGTATCTGAGAGAGGAGGGCGGTGCCGGTATGACGTTGAGCACACCGTGCGGTGAACGTCAATGCCACGAGGAGGTATATGGGTGAGTCTTGTGGTTGTTCCTGGTGACGACGATTCCAACTCTTTGAGAGCGCGCTAGCCAAAACGGGTTATTAGAAATTTATGCCGAGAAGAGGCGCAACCCGGAAACCTTTATCTATTCTTCTCTAGGGCACATCTTGAGAACGTAGCTGTTTAAGATGGTCGAGATGTAGGATACCTGTTGCTGAGACTTGCTGTTCGCCAGTATTTTGAAGACTACCTTCACGTGGAGAGTCTCAGCCAATCAAAGGACAAAGAGCACCGGGAGAGTTCTCCGCACTGAGGTGTGTGAAAGGTCACCCAATTTGGTCAAATATGGGTGCTGTACTGTTACTGGCTGCAATTTTGTGAAGATAGATTGAAATACATAAATTGTGTTCTGATATATCAGATTACACTAAAGCCCTCCAGTCCCGTACCAACCAAACGCTATCAAATCGATGTAGACCAATACCTCAGCTACCTAACTTCGACGGTAGCCTCGTCACATCTACCCCCGTCTTCTCGGCGACATCCCAGATCGCGTCGACGACTCTCTCCACATCCTTGCTCTTGATCGGTATCCGGTGATTGCCATCCCATTCCACTAATGTTGCCGTCCCAGGCGCACAGTACTGTTCCAGCAGTCTCCGATGTAGATGTAGTCCCTCATCCGCCAATCCATGCACATGTACCGTCGGTGTCTTCAGTACCGCCTCATCGTCGACCTTACCCACAAACTCAAATCCCTCACTGATTTCATCGGCCGCCACGAGTGCCTTGCTCGAAAGCAATTCAGGCTGCCCCGGGCATAAATTCGACAGCGGAGCCCGTCCCGCCATGAGTATCCCAAACCGCCATCGTATGCTTGAGTCCTCTAGAAACCCAGGCGCCAGATCGTCACCCGTCTTCTGAGCCTGCCGGATCCTCGCCTCCTGCTCGAGAAGCATCGACGCAGCTAGCTTTGCTCCCTGCGAGAACCCGACCAATCCAACCCACTCCCCCGTCGCGCTCTTCGCGTCATCTGCCGCCATCGCGTTGCGGATCGCGTAGCTTATTTCCTCAACCACGCTTTCGGCGTCGACGTCAGAATGCTCGCCCATCCAGCGCAGCCAGCGGCGGAAGGGCGCATGCGAGGTGTACACGGGGATGATGGCGGGGTGGGGATCGCAGAAGAATGGGCCGTCGGCGAAGACGAGACGGAAGGAGGGGCGGAGGTAGCGCATGAATGAGCGTGCTTGGGCTTCGAAGATGGAGGCGTTGACGCCGCCGCCGTGGAGGAAGAGGAGGCGGGGGAGGGTCAGGTCTTCTTGTAGCGGCGGTGGCGCTGCTAGATGAGGAGCCATTGTCGCGGGTGAGGTTGGCAGTAGATCTGATCGAATGATGTTGTTTGATCAGAAAGGGCTCGATAGCATAGTAGTGTGTGGGATCCAGCTGGGCGATAAGTCAAGATCTTGATATTAAGAAATTAAAGTGCAAGATTGAAGAAGACAAGTGAGGATTAAGTAGAAATAAGACGGCTTCAGGTCATCCCTCGGAGTCCGAGACCATCGCCGGGTAGGGCTCGTAAGGCTGAATTAGAGCCGTGGCACAAGGCCCATTAGGCAATTGGTGTGAGACACGATTAGGCGACACCTATAAGGCGGCCATTGAGTCTTACCCGCATAGAGGCCTCTTAAACAGGCCTTCTACAAATGTACGAATGATGCTGTGTTCACGTAGCAGATTGCGCAGGACGGATGAAGAACAGGACTCAGGACTTGTGGGGCCGCAGTCCCCTGTCTAGCGCCTTGCATTTCCCGACGTAGCGCTGACTATTCACCCTCCACTACCTGCATCTTCACACTATAATGCTGATATGAGCAATTGGCTATACAAGATCACTCATAATCCCTTCACCATCTGGCCAGCCGTCATGCCGGATTCACTCCGAAAGCCTTGTCAGACGGCTTGAATAGAAGTGCATTGAGACAACGTCTCTGCACGATTGGTATCTGTTTACCACCTTTTAGGCTTGTAACGAACCTCCAATGCGCCTAAAACATGTTCCGAGAACGATGTAATCAGAGTAAACAATCCTACCAAATGCCAAAAACCAGAGAATCCCTCTCTGACAATATCCCAGCAGCCAAAGCTCAAGATTGTTCCCCCAATTCACCTCCCTTACGCCTCTGTACTCTTGTCCTGAGGCACAGGCAACTGCACCGCCCCTTCTCCCCCACCCAACGCTAACTGTCTCACCCCCAACTGATCCACCTGACTCCCTGGTCCCTTATCCCCTACCCCGTCCTTTTCAACATCCACCTCGACCGCCCTCGCCTTGAACTTCTCAACGTTGGGCGGAGACACTAAATCCCCCACATTCCTCACCACCCTCACCTCTGCCGCCCGACTCAGCCTCAACCCTCTCTTCTTATGCCTGTCCTCCTCCGCCTCCTCCCCACTCCCCGCGCCCTCCAACCCTACCCTCTCATCGTACGCCTCCATCTCGACCGCGCATGCAGCCGCCGTCTTCGCGAGAACCGCCTGCATAGAAGCTAGGACCTTGCTCGTTGCTTGAGCGAGCGGTAAGTCCGCGGCTGCGACGTCGTCGGGGGATTTCCAGGACGCGGTGTTCTGGAGGTTTGCTGCGACGATGGCTTCGCGAAGGCGGGCTACGGTGAGTGCGGCGAACATGTCGCCGGTGCCGGAGAAGTAGAGGGAGTGGGCGGGGACGTCGATGCGGAAGAGGCGGGCGGTGTGGGTGGAGGTTGCGGTAGAGCCAATTATCGTTAGAGTGTTGGGGTATTCTTCCTCTTCCTGTTCTTGTTGGGGTGAAATTTTGGATTCTGAGGTTGGCCAGGTGCTGGGATGGGACGTCGCGGCGTTACGCTCTGGTGTAGCCGTGCGAGGCGTAGGCGCTGAGGATTGCATGCGCGAAGGTGGTCGGGAGGGGAGAGTTTTGTTTGTCGCGGAGAGGACGAGGGAAGTGATGATTATGTGGGGGACTTGGTATGTGCGGTGGAGGATTTGGATTGCGGTTCCGAGAGAGGTGAGGTCGGTGATTTTGGTGTCGGAGAGGAGTCTAGTATCATTCTTTAGCACATGGAGTGAGAAATTGGTATGGAAACCTTACTCTGCTTCAAATTGATTCGGCAGTATAAGATCAGCTTCTCGCAGCAAGTTCTTATACTGCGGCACCTCGTCTTCCGGGATGTAAAGCCTCCCTTCATCACCCATCACCGGGTCCAGAACTACACCTAGTCAACACTGCCCTCAGATTCATCGGTCCAGCGGAACAGCCTCACCCCAAAAGAACGAGCCCGGCTTTGTTCCAGCATTGAACTTCAGTTCTCTTCCAATCCTCCCCACTGTCTGCACAGCTTCGGCGCTGGGTAGGTATCCGGAGAGTAAGACATCGAAGTTGTTGAGATCTGACTGTTTCAGTCCATCGTAGAGGTCTCGTATTTGTTCGGCCGTGGTCTTGGTGCCCTTAACCTGTTTGTAGCCCGTGTGGTTACCTGTGGCCCTGCCAATCAGCCTGTTGCATTTTGTGTAGTAAGATTTCTCGTCCTCGCGTACTGTAGTTGACCGTATTTATCGCAGATACGTTGCAGCCCAAGGACATGAGGACGAACGATACCATTTTGTTTCCGACATAGCTCAAGATTCAATTAGCCCCTAGTCGCTCTGGAGGATACAATCGCGCCTACCCGAAAACAACCTCTCAGAGTTAGCGTTTGCGGAACTCCGGAGCTTCAATGACAGCCTTACATGACTAGCAATGGCGAGAACGCGTGTCTCTGGAACCACAGGCCCGGTGGCCATGTCTTCAAAAGGAGGGAGAGTAACTTCAAGGAAAAATGCGCGTTGAAAGTTGCCTCACACGAGCAAGGGAGAGGGGTGTGTAAGTGTGAATCATTTTTTCCGATTACCTATCTGAAAACTAACGTCCAGGTGACGTTTGGCGGGGCAGCAAAGGCCGATCCACTCCCCGAAAACCTACGCCCAGCAGCCCCAGCAACCAACCCATGCTGCATGCCGATAGGTGATCCCATACACTAAAAGGAACTGCATTATCACAAAATCTAGACATCCCGCCGAATGACGCGCCCAATGCACCGCCGATCGTGTTCTTCGCGTGGCCGAAGCTCTCCGAGCATATTTTCTGCCCGCTCGTGGGGGAATTACTCCTCGTCACCAATCTATTACAAGTGGGTCAGATCATGGTTAAGAATATAGATGGGGCAAATAAGTACCTTTGGCGCGAGGTAGAATCTCAGGTAGCTGTTGTTAGCCAGCGCGTACTCCACAAGCAGGGGCACCTCGTTGGAGAGGCACAGTTTGACCTGACCAGAAAGGCTGCTGGCCTTGCAGAAGCCGACTAGGTACTTGAGCGAGAAGGTCAGGGAGACAGGCTCTGTCAGGTCGATCTCGACGTTCATCTCTGGCTTGTCGACATTGGTGTGACTTCGTAGCGTGACTGATCCAGACCCAATGTCGCCCTGGCAGGCAAACTTCACGCCTTCCTTGCTACATTCGATCGAAACTTCAGCCAAGTCAGCAGCTGTTGTCCAATAATAGTAACCGATGTATTTTGACTGACCAGATTCCGAGAGGGCCATCAAGTCTCTGCAGATACGCTGGAACTCAGCCGAAGGCATCGAGATGGTCGCAGCGTACTCCGTCTCGGGAATCCCCAGATGCTCCTGGTCGATGTCCATGAGCTTGATGTCATATTCGCTGATTCTGTCGCTCTCAGCGCTCTCAAACACGAGATTCACGACATCTGGCGCGTCCTCCGCCTTCAGCGTCAGGATATCCTCGTTTTGTGCGGCTCGCAGGACTTTAGTGAGCGAGGTGAGGTTGATGCCGAGGGCGATATTTCGGTCACATCGAAAGGGTGAGAAGCTTTCCGACTTAAGCATCATGGACACGAGGGCAACGTGGGAGTTGTCCATGGCCTGGAGGGCGATGCCAGAGTCATTGCAGTCGAAGTTGCAGTCCTGGACCAAGTCCTTGATGGCATCGACCACCTGTGTTCGTGTCAGCAAGTGGTGCATTCGAGGCAGATGTGAGACCCAAACCTTCTTGAGAAGATTAGCCTGTTCTAAACGTGCTTCAAGCACTGCACCGCGATGTCAGTATACAACTTTGGGTTGAAGAGGAGAGCAATGCATACTGGCGAAAGTGTGAGTAGTACGACTGGAAAAAAGTGTGCGTGTGTCGCGGTGTGAAACTGAGAATTGGAAGCAGAAGATGGGCTGTTGTAACGGGCAGTTTTGGTGGGATCGAAACGCGAGGAGCGAAATCAACGCGACGCGATTTGGGGTGCTGACAAAGAAAATCAATTAACGGTCACGTGACATCAGTTAGCGAGTTCGATAGCTATGCTGGATTTCTATGTGCAATGGAAGCAAGGACAGAGCACACGGCGATGAGTTCGCGAGGTAAGGAGATAGCTGTGCCGACTGACTCCACCACGTGGTCGATAATAAAATTTCAAAGACTGTCTAGCTCAGGGATTTACGCATTTGTACATCTAGAATCTTGATGATGCGCTGAAGCCTCCCAAGAAACAGCACATATTATGGTATATGTTTTGGTCCATATGCTATGCAAGCTGATATGTGGGGGCGTATGCCATATCTTAAGAGGTATGCGTGAGCCGACTCTCAACATCCAGTCCGAGTCTGGCCGCTACGTGTCGAGGATACATCCACGGTATTCTCCACCGTTCCATCTCATACGTCGTCAACTCTTCCGGGTCTTCAACCAGACGGAACTTCCCCCGCCACATATCGAAGCCTCCCCCACGCCATACTGATCGGTGGCACTCTCTAGGCATCTTCACAACCCTACACCGTCCCCTCGCCACCAAACGCACCTCGCATGTATCCCGCATCTCTTTCCAAATCAATCCTGTCCCCCTCGTCCTCACGCCCTCACTAGCCCATAAAACAACGTCCACGTCAACACAAACCCACTCATCCCACTAAACACCTCACCCAGCCACAGATCCCCGAGCGGGCTATGGAAGTACTCGGAAGCCTTTCCCTCAGCCCGGAAGGCGAATATCAGAACTGACACCAGTAGCGACGCGGCCAGGTAGAAGATGAAGCCGGGGTAGGACTCTAACCCGAGGGTGCCGGCGGCGACGCCGAAGAGGGACGCGGTGAGGTTGCGAATGTTTGAGATGGTCTAGAGGTGGCGATGTGAGCGGGAGGCTAGAGGCTGGAGGGGATGACGAGAGCGAATTTGACGTACCTGCGCGTTATGCTGCACGCTTGATTGCACAATAGGGCTGATGGCCAGTTCTCGTTCGTCGAGCATGATGGAGGCTGTGCTGCGGGATGTGCCGGACAGGCTAGGTTGAGTTGCTTCTTGGTTCGATCGTTCGAGGTGGTTCTCGGACGTTCGGGGATGAGGTTGCGAGTGTCGCAAGCGGGACTTACGGCCCTGGCGGAAGGGTCTTTCAGCTCTGACACCAGCGTCAGGTTCCAAGAATTGGCGGTAGCGAACGATGTGTGCAGTGTTGCTGCGTCGTACTTCGCATAGAGGTGTAGTGTCGGTGGAGTTTGGAGTTACGATGCGCCGAACCGAAACGTTGGCCGACGTCCGAGCGCGACGCATCGGCATGCCTAAACCTACTTCTGTGGGTCTCGGCACACCATCACTCAATTGGTTCACTTTCACTACGCAGGGAAGATTATGGAGAGGATGATAGATCCTATCTAAGTTCCTGATAACACAACAAAGGGCCTCGGGTAGTGGTGAGCAGGAGTACACAGACTTCTATCTATTGCCATTTGAACGAAAGCGAAGCGCCGACCATGGGTATATTGCAACCATGTAAATATACAATACGTCCCAATTTCCGGCCTATTCGTCGAGAAAGCAATCAGACTTTCTATTCTCCTAGCAGATCATTGTAGTCGTCGAGGTACCTGCTATCTGTAAGTATACGAACTTGGACCTTTGTTGGGAGTACTCACTGCCGCAAATGTACCGGAAGAGTGTAGTCAGGCACGTTGTCGGCCAGTCTGAGATATCTGAGCGCTTCACGGAAGTATCGCTCATTGACTCGCGCATATGATACATTCCCCAAGCTCATATAAGCTTCAGCGGCCTTTGAGAGTTTTGTTAGTATGTTTTATTATATGCCCGGACAAGTAGACTTACCGCAGTCAGGAGACTTCCGGTCTGATCCCCCCGAGCCAGTGCCATGTCAACCGCTCGACCTAGGTACTCAGTTGCCGGCAAGAGCAAACCTCGCGCGACTACGTAATCTGCTGTATGCAGTCTCTCTTCAGCCTCCGCCATAGCTCTGGCTGCCTGTCTTTCATCCTCACTCCTGGTAAGTGATGGGGAAGATGTTATTGCTCCCATGCTACTTCCACTGCTACTTGAAAAACCATCTAACTGGTGTATTCTTGCCAGGTTTGGCTGGGCCCTCGAGAGCCAGTTTTGCCCTATCACTACGCTGAGTTAGTAGGTAATTCTTGGTAATAAAGCAGGAGCTTACATCTCATGAGATCAGCTTCTCCGGGCGCGAGTTCCAAAACCGTAAGCGCTTGTCGTAGGCACCAGTTGGCTATATCGGGCACGCCCTCGCTGTCTGTGTCGGAGTACGCAAATCTCTGGAGGACATCAATGAGCCAGATCTGCCACTGCCTGCTTGCATGCTCATGGATCACATTTGTGAGCTCCAAATGCGCCGTGATCTGTCTTGCTGCAACAAGATATTCCCTCCATTGATCTGGCGCTGTGTCTATTACTGTGGCAATTTGGTTCACTGTGGCCGTCACAGTTTCGAAACTCTGGTTGTCCATGACCACCTGACCACCTAGGACACGCTAGTGAAGCTAATAAGGGCTGTCTTATGATGATGTTGATGGGAAAAGAGATGATGAGGGCGTTTTGGTGACGTAACCACAGAACCAACGACCTTCGACGATACTTATACTGTTTTGAAAAGGATCTCAGTTGTAACGCTGTGTAGGACCTTACCACTCTGGATAGGGTTGCAAAGCAGTGGCGACTGACCGCAGGTTTTGACAAGCCGCATGATAGACTTCAAGGAAGGAGACAGGCAAGGAAAGGTGAAGGGCAGGGCGGCCAGTCCGACATGAATGTCAACAGGTCAATGGAGGAATTATATCCCTCAGCCAGTGCGAAACAAGATTAGAGTCTGACTCCTCTGGCTGCACCTGTGCAAGTAAATATTAGGGCTTTGCCACTATGCAAGCCTTACGCGGGTGACTAGGAAGTCGGCGCATGTTTGTCGCGGTATAGGTCGGCCGACCCAGTCGGTGAGTAGCTCCTAGCAGCACCGTCTATGTGGCGATGGCTCCGCGTCTCACGATAGAGAGCCAAGAGGCCTCGAGTAACGCAGGCCCTCGTAGTTTGGATGATAGCATGCTGTCAAATCCAGAAAAAGCCCCCAGGTCGAGTTTACGGCCTCCACAGTAGGCCTTCTAAACTGTCGGTCAGCAAAACGCCAACGGCGATCATTCGGGAACGAGAAGCGACAGAACAGTAGACCAAGGTGGACAGCACTGCGGAATAGAAGCAGGGAGAGAGACAGGCGTGGAGTTGAAAACCGCGGGTTTTGTCAGCACCCTCATCCCACGAAGCCGGCCGGGATCTGTTGTGCCAAGCATCACCATGTCATAGCGTGTGGCTTGCAGGTGGTGTACCTGATTACATGTACACACACCGCGAGCCTAGGAGATAACATAATCAGCACCAGGGAGCCCGAGATCTCCCATCCTGGTACGTCATACCGGGCCGTGGGCTGCGCCGTATCTTCACGTTGTGACGCCTTCCAAGGCTGTGCGGAAGAGTGCCGTAGTGCCGAACTGCCAGGGATCTCGAGCGCCGTGAAGAGCGAGAGAGCTAGAGATAGGAGACAGTCGATGCTGGCGCGGCCTTGAGACAGCCTCGCTACATCTGTAGTTTCGACAAAATACTATCGTATGAAGTTTTTTGGGTCCAGATGTGGGATTTGAATGCTTACACGAAATGGCAAATATGGATATCACGTGCCTCTAAACGGAGACTTGTTCCTGTCAGCAAGTACTCATACTCCCAAGACACAGGCACGACGGGTTCTCTACTTGAAGCGGACTCTTCAGTCAGCTTCCTCTATTCCAAATCTCCCATCTTCCTGTTCAAGGTTCTAGCGCAGGACGACGGTCGACAAGTCATCAGGACCTCACAATCGACAAACCCCGGACAACCCACATGTGATAGTATCTTGGAAGTCTAGTCAGCCCACAAAAACGAGGTCGTACCGATGCGCCTCGAGTCTTCTCTTATGACTAGTATTTTCTCGTGCCAGATCGGGCAGAGGCAGGAGTTCGTCAATCAAGTTCTGGAGATGAATGACTATATGAACATGAAGACGCTCCTTGCTCCGAACGTAAACCGTGAGATGGTCGAAGTTCGGCACCGAGAACGAGAACAGGATGAGTTGCAGGCGTGTAACGTCGTCGAGAGAAGTAGTCATCGTTGATGAGAAAGGGCATGCAGAAGTAATTGAGGGCGGAGACCCAGCAAAACTTGAAGTCAGCATATTCTCACCAACAGACCGGATCGACAGCTGCTATGTTTCAGACATGGTGTTGGCTTTCGGAGAGTCTGGGGAAAGGAACATCGAACGAAAGCGCGCGCTAGAACAGGGCACCCGCTTGGGCCACACGGGCACTGCCAGGGTTGCATTCCATAGATCTAGACAGACACCAGGCTTGTGCGCGTTGCTAGGGCTCGTCTCCGTCCAGCTCCTGACATCTGTGCCTTTTGAACATCTCCTATATCTATATCGACCCCGTGGAACTCGGAAATGCTGCCTTGAGAGACCCCGGTGAAAACTACGTCTCGTGAACAACCTGCTGTTGCGCGCGAGACCTCCGCATCGCACCAACATGATCATTTGATGGAGAGTATTATCTATGAGGACTCGCCGTTGGCCGAGTATTTAGAAGGTACACCGACATTTTAGACTTCTAGACTCCATGGAATCTCGCAGGCTAATGCCCTGTGAAGGCGAGGGGAGAGGCAGGGCTTCGTCTCCGGAAGCCTCCGTACCGTCATCACCTACGACCACCAGTTTCGCTCCCCGTGGACCCTCCACCCTACAATCCCGCATTCGAGACAAGCTGCCGCAGCCTTTGCGGATACCGATTCCCAAGAATGGGCCTATTGCGCGGATACACACCACCTGTTCGGTGAGTTGCGGCGAGAAATGCACGCAGCACACTGCTGACTTTTGGGCGTTGCAGCGAGCAGTCAATTCGCGACTAGGACGAGCAGACAACCAGCGCTTCATCGAACATTTCCGCTACCTCATAGTCGCATCCCAATTACTCAGCGAACATACTGGGCAGAGCAGCTTCAGGACCGTGGCGATCCCCAACTTTGGCCCAGACAAGCAATCCCAGGCACCCAACTTCAAGGTTGGCAGTATCAGCCTTACTGGAGCAGTTGTGACCGGAGCAACAGCTTTTCTGCTGGTATGGCTACTACATTGGTCCCGAAGCAGGTCGTCGGGTTTCAGTAAAGGGAGGCTGCTACTCGTATTCCTGGTGTTTGCCGTGGTTGCAACAATATGCTACGCATATATGAGGCGGCACTGGCTTCAATATTTGAGACAGCAGGCGGTGGATGGAGCTTCGAACCTGATCACCAACCTGCAGGCATTCGATGCCTCTACCGCCTCAGCTTTAGCATTGATACAGGAAGTGGAACTAGTCTCGCGAGGATATCGACTGTAAGGTTTTGATCACGATAGGCGCACATCGTACTAACTATAATGCAGTAGCAGTCCACTCCCCCCAATCACACGACTCGAGGAGAAAGGACAAACGCGACGGTGTCACCGACTACGTAAAAGTCTCAAGAGTGCATTCGCAGCAACCATACCATTGCTCGCTGAGCAATGCGCCACTCTACGACAGCTTGTCGAAGAGGATGACTTGGAGAAATACCTTGACGTGTATGATATCAACAACCCAGACCTTCAAGAGGCGCAGTTAGGCTACTCAGAGTTGGAATTCGAAGATACAGAAACGCTAAAGGCTCTCCGCACATATCAATACCGTCTTGCCACGCTACGACGACTACTGCTCTGTTCGCTCTTGGCGTTAGAAGCAGATGGTGGGAAGAACGATTTTGCACGGTGGCGTGTGGCTATCCAGGCGATTGAACAAGTTACGATACCTACCGGAGAGTGGAGCGACAAGATAAATCACACCTTAGGCGAGGAAGAGCGTATGCGTCTTCATCCACACATTATCATTACTGAGCTAATGCCAACTTCAGAGTTCGTGGTCCCTTCCCCACTCAAGATTCAGTCAAATCCAGGGCGAGAAAAACTCCGCGCCTCGGTCCGGAAGCTGAGCGGTCTCTCTCAAGGCATCAGAGGGCTCCAGGCCAAAATGCAAATCTTGAGAGAAGAATCCAACAAGAGCCTAGAAGAGTCAGAAGATATCTCAGAACTCGGTGCTAGTCTCATGGCTCAGTACGAATCCATCGGTGCGGATCTCAAAAGCCTCGTATCGGCCTGGGAAACTGGTAAAGCCTCACTAGCGCTGAACATCGACAGGCACGAGCGGCGTGTTTCCCAGGCGTCTTCAGGCGGCATGCGCTCACCGGTACCGAGCTTAGGTGGTCTCACCGTAGTAGAAGAGGGTACCCCTTCCGATGCTCTACGGGCTTTGAATGGCGCATCACCAGCGCACTCAAGCGCTCCAAGCGTTTCTGGTAGCAACTCCGATGACGAAATCTTCGAGGCTATAGCGATACCTCGCACACGGAAGACGCTATCGCGCGAAGAGCGAATGGTCAAAATCCACGAAGATCGTGCGCGGCAGGTCTCGCTAAGAGAGCAGAGAGAGGCGAGCAACAATATGATGAAAGAGTTAGAGTCCGTGATCAATCTTCGGCCACAGAGAACCAATTACTCGGGACGAATTACTTCTATTTAACGATACCAACGGTAGCACCGTGCTTTTCATTAGTTGATTCCGCTTCGGAAAAGGGGCGCATAGCGGTACATATATGTGATACGGATTTCATTTTTTCAACTGGGTCGGCTATGCCCTTTCAGATACCACCCAGCTACAAAGTGCATATAAGCAAGACATCTGTACTACTATTACGCCATTGAAACAATAGAAACATTCATCCTAGTTGGATGTACTTACACGTTGGTAACTATTCGATGGTAAGATTTATCAACGGTGAAGTGGTTTTTTGGTTCGCTTTTGTTCGAATCGATAGGGCGCCACTAATAGCACACCCCCTTTTCACTAATCGCACACCCCTTTTTCACTAATCGCACACCCCCCCCTCTTGGCGCTTCACCGCCTTCCTA